AATAGTAGGCACTAGAAAGAGGATAGTATTTTCGGTTCTTTTCAGAAACTTCCAAAACTCCTAGGGGTTTACTATCATGTTACAACAAAACCACAACTGGTAACATACACATTTTTCACCAGTCAAATTTAAAGTTGTGGTGTGGCACAAATAACAGCACGATCAAAATATCAGTTTTGTGTGAAGTCCTCATCTTTTGGCTCAGGATGGCACTAAATCCCATATTTGTATATCTACATAAAAGGCATTCATACCGAGTGCCTCACATCTATGCTTTTTTTTACCCCTCACATCGATCATCATCTTTTGCAAGGCTAACAAGACATTGTACACTTTGGTCACTGAGCTATTTTGTTGTTTTCACAATATAAATATATCTTTCCAAAAAGCTCTCATTGTTATATGCTACTGTGAACATTTGTATTAAAAGCTTAATTGGGGCTGGGGTCATCCATCGTGGCCAGCAGATGGCATAGTTTAGCCCTTTGAGCTGGAGTCATATTTTGACTCATGTGGATAACAGAGTCCATTGCAACGTCAGGGTTGGCCTCCACCAAGCTAAACAAAAACAAAGAATTATTCAAGGTCACCATTAAATTTGATTGATAAATGATGGTTACCTGCGAATATGTTTGAGAGTGTTTTCTCTCTTGAGACACTTGATGTTTTCACGGATGGATGATGGCGCACCATCGTCTGATGACAACTGTGTATCAAGCCACTCTACAACCGCTTGGTTATTATCCCAGAGATACGTCTGAGAAATAGACAAATTCATGCAATTACAAATGATAGTACTTTCATGTCATGTTGGTTTTAAAAAGCACACACCTTGACAGTTCCCTCTGTCTCCACAAACCACCGGCGCAGCATCGAGTGCATGTGTCCATCACTGAGGTCTTTGTTGGCCTGCAGGATCTCACATTTTACCACCTGCTCCAACAAAAGCCGACGTAGACGCCAGTAAAAGAACAACCGCACATTCTTCCACTCCAAAATATCCTGCAACAATGTAATAACTGAGTAAATGGTTCCCAAAGAGGGGGTCTGGTTAATAATTTAACTCAAACAACATTCAAAGGAATTCAGCACTTCAAATTATAATCATATTAAATTGTAAGTCCCCAGATCCTGTTCTGTGGTACCTGTACTTGTGTTGTTGCGAAAATACTAAGTCCACACTGAGACAAAAGAGTTGGATACCACTTGGGGGGTGGTATCCTTTAACTGACTTGAAATTGAGGAGAAGAATGAAGGATAATTGACATAGAGTATCAATCCACCCTCATTTTTCCACTTCAACTACTACTCTAGTTAGTAGTTGAAGTGGGAAAACACTAATAATGTGAGAAAAGGAATGAGAGATGTGTTAAAAAACCTACTTCCTTCTTTTACTGCTATAAGATCAGCTCCCCAAGCTTTAAAGGAACCATATGTAGTTTCTGCTCTTTCTGACTTCAAACATTACAACAAACATGTAGCTGCTCCTCTAGCTCTGATTACGGATCTTCCAGCTTCTTTTAGGCTGCGACCAAATCAGTTGGATTTCACTGGTAGCCTGCTAATTCTGATTTCTACTATAAATATAAATGCATCAGTTTTGCATAGCACTTCCTGGATCATGGACTATTGTAGCCACAGCTGTTTTGGAGCAGCCTGACAAAAGCAAGACAACCAGGTAATACCATCAACCAGCACCAATCATTCACTCACACAACAGACTCAAACTAGGCAATAAGGGTGAAGTGTTTGGCACAACAGTTTGGCACTTTAGAGCAGCAGCCCCTCATGCTTCCAGAGGCTTCTTCTTATCACAATACAATAGCAAGGCATTTATGTTTAGATCAGAAAGGGAACATTTCAACCACTATCCTATTAAGAAGTTAGGGAAAGGCTTTGAGCTAACTAATCAGTCAAGATAGTCACAAGCAAGCAATCGGTGATCCTTGAGATAAACTTAGGCCCTGTCCCAATACTAGCACTTCCACCCTCACGCTCCTCATTTCCCGATGATGGGTGCGAGTACTTAGGGTGTCCCAATTCTCCAGGGAGGTCTTTCGCCCCGCCCCCTTTGCGTCCTTGAAACACACTTCGCCGTAACATGCATCTAAGCGGACTCTGGCGAAGGATATTGCCCATAATTCTTTGCGGTACACACCAAAACGTCGGGAAAATGCATTTAAGTGTACGTTTTGAAATATATATGCTGTATGTGTTAATAAGTTTTGCTACGTTACTTGGAAAGAAGCATAAATGTCTGATGAAGAATTACGGACATTCTATGGTAACAATGGTGACTTTTTTAAAGCAAGCATTCATATAACATTCAATTTAAACTTTACACAAGTACAATAAGATGTATAAAAACTGATCAGATAACAGTCAGTTACCCACATTTAACTTAAAATTATACAGCTATAACAAATTAAAAATAACAAATATACATTTATTTTAACGTGTGTGGAGCAACTAATTTTGTTTCCCACAGGGTCAGAGGGCTGAAAATGACCATCTCTTGACTAGTCGATGACGTAATCTGCACTCAGTGTGCACTGTCCCAATTCCGCCTTTTTTGCACGCTTATAAGTTCTTTTATTCGTCCCATAGTGGGGAAATTTTGTTGTTGCAGCGCACATACGGGACAGCAGTAAGAGGACACAGGGATCACACAATATATAAAAAATACGTAGTAACCTGTGCACTCAAACCCTTGCGTGCACTTCAAACAAATGCACACTTCGGGGAGGGGTGTAGGGTGCAGTGTGGGTATTGAGATAGCCTTACAGTGATGACCCCCTTTTCCTGCATCCGGCCTGGGGTATCATGAAGGTCAACAAACTGCACTGCCACCTGGTGGTAGATGGGCATCAAGAACTCTTCTCTAGCTTTGAGTTTTAACTCCAGTTCTCTGCGTTCTTTCTCTGACAGTTCTGGGGATGCTGTTGAAAACAGATTTAACAACAGATTATAGTTTATGGATTTTTTGTTTGTTTGTTACTGCCTCTTACAAAGGTTCTGGGCAATACAGGCATAAACAGGATCCAATCTCCTCATGGTCTTCAGTAGATCTTTCCTTCTGAATTTTATTTCCACAGTTCCTTCTGCCTCAAGTACACCACCTCTACCAAAGCCAAAATCAATCAGGTAAAAACATTAGAATTAATGTCTGCATTAGCAAAGTAGACAGTACCTGCTTTCTCGGTCAGCATACATCTCCATACACAGTGGGTTGATAGTTGGGTCAATAACTACCCATGATCCTCCTCTCAGCTCAGCATGGGGAGGGATGTATACTAAAACTGGCTGGTGGAACTTGTGTAAGGCGTCAACAATGTAGGCTCCAAACTTTAGAACTTGATCGTACATATCTTCGAAAAGAAACATACATGAATAAAATCTTGTTTGTTCTGCTTGGTGTAAGATTTTAAGATACCCTTCATTCCCCCAGAAAACCCTCTCCAGTTAGCAAATATCAGGAGGGGAAGTCCTTCACGGTTGAAGTCATTAATGGCTTGTGAAGTTTTGAATGCAGAGTCTGGAAACCAAACCTGTCCTGCCTGCTGTAAAACCTATGGAAAAACAACAAAAACGTAATTCAATCCAGTTCTGATTATATTTCCACATTTACTTACTTTAGACTCTGAATCCAGATTTGCTGGATCAGCAGGAACTGTCAATTCAACGGTACGGGTTTCTACAGCAATAACACCAAGAGGTATTCCTCCTAACCTGTAAAAGGAAAGTTATTGTTAGAAATAATATCTTTAACATATTTTTCCCAAAAGCAGAGACGCTTACCGTGCTCTGCCGACAACAACAGTTTGTGCCCAAGATCTCATGATTTCCATGAATGAACCACGGTCAAAGAATCCACTCTGCCAATCACCTTTGGCTGCTGAAAAACATTAACTTTAATCAGAATCGTCATATATATTTTGCATGATATAATCACTTATCTACTGACTAGTTCTTCCAGCTAACATCCATCGTGGATCATAGGGTGCTTTTGTGGGAGTGAATTCGATCTCTCTGTCCACCGGGTCCATGATCGATAAAACGGGCACAGAAGAATGTTTGTTCTGACAAAGAAAACAGTTAATACTTAACAATCAAAACGTATGATATATATCTTTAACATTCCCAGATGTGCGTGTGTGGACTGAGTCTTCGAGACCCCTGCCTTTGATCACAGCCCATAACCCACGTAGGTCGAACTTCGTTCAACCAACCCCAGGCCTGGCTCTAAGGTGGTGCAGTTACATTTGGACCATGTGTTTTTTAGAAATACACTTGTTGAATCTCATCATGAACCAGGACCCAGACCGCCTGTTCTGTTTTGCATGCAGGCAACCCAGTTCTGTGCCGCGTTTCATGGTCTGGTTCATCCTTTCTAGGCAAGACACAGTCCCCGCTCAGGCTGCTTGTCTGTAGTCTGTTTTTTTATTGATAACTCTCTATCCAATCACTTTATAAATCATTCCCATGAGTGCCTGTCGTAATAATCCTCAGGTTTCCTTAGGTCGCATTTATCATCAGCTGTTTCTGCACACGGCTGGATCACAGGGCAGTGTACACATCCATAAGTACCATGCTTATGGCCCGTTTCACTGCAATTTTATTTAATGAGGCCCAATGTCTCTCAGTTGGCCTGGTTCTACCCAATGAGCAGCAGGAAATGTGCATGGAGAGGGATGCCAGTTCTCCACTCAGACAGCCTTCTCCACAACTCCGCAATGAATACGGTAGTAGAAGAAAACTGATAAACAGAAGTTTAACATTGTGTACTTAGTTTACCTTTGGCATGTAAGAGAGCCACTGTAGTATAGTGGTGACACCTTCAAAGTCATCTGGCACTGTGGTGTGTGTAACTCCATTGTTGTACATAATCTGGATTCCTCCCAATTGGTTATTTGAAGCATAGACTTCTCTGCCAAGGACCTTCAGAAAACAAAAAGCGTAACGTAAAACTGAGTTTCACGTTCACAAGTTCACAAAAACTGTATTTAACAAACCTTATTCAAAGCACTTGCACCCGTTAGAATTATATGGGAGTTCTCCACCTGAATCACTCTCTGTCCTAAGCGAACCAAATAGGCTCCAATGCCAATAGCCCGGCATGTCACCTGCAAGTAAAAATGTGAAGTAAAAATGTGCAAAAGAACCCACATGTTTACGATCATATTAATGTTACCATGCTGATGGTAATGATATCCTCATAGGCTTGAGATGACTCTCCTGCAATAGTTCCAGAGCCGCGAAGATTTTCAACCCCAAGACCGTCATCCTTCCCAATGATATCTGTGATAATGTACCTACAGTATGACAGGTATTACGTTGGAAACATACCAGAAAATGTATATACAGTGGGGCAAAAAAGTACTTAGTCAGCCACCAATTGTGCAAGTTCTCTCACTCAAAAAGGGAAGCCTGTTATTTTCATAATATACTGTATACCTCAAAAAAAATCCAGAAAATCACATTTTAAAATAATTTATTTGCAAATTATGGTGGAAAATAAGTATTTGGTCAATAACAAACAAGCAAGATGTGTGGCTCTCACAGACCTGTAACTTCTTCTTTAAGAGGCTCCTCCGTCCTCCACTTGTTACCTGTATTAATGGCACCTGTTTGAACTCGTTATCAGTCTGAAAGACACCTGTCTACAGCCTCAAACACTCCAAACTCCACTATGGCCAAGACCAAAGAGCTCTCAAAGGACACCAGAAACTAAATTGTAGACCTGCACTAGGTTGGGAAGACTGAATCTGCAATAGGTACGAAGCTTGGTGTGAAGAAATCAACTGTGGGAGTAATTATTGGAAAATGCAGGACATACCAAGACCACTAATAATCTACCTAAATCTTGGGCTCCAAGCAAGATCTCACAGCGTGGGGTCACAAGAACGGTGAGCAAAAATCCCAGAACCACACGGGGGGACCAAGTGAATGACCTGCAGAGAGCTGGGGCCAAATCAACAAAGGCTACCATCAGTAACACACTACGACGACAGGGAATCAGATCCTGCAGTGCCAGACGTGTCCAGGCCCGTCTGAAGTTTGCTAGAGAGCATTTGGATGATCCAGAAGAGGGTTGGGAGAATGTCATATGGTCAGATGAGGGTAATGTATTGTGAGATATTGAATGAAAACCACCTTCCATCTGCAAGGGAATCAAAGATGAACGTTTCATCGAAGGAGTGGCTTTGTAAGAAGCATTTCAAGGTCCTGGAGTGGCCTAGCCAGTCTCCAGATCTCAACGCCATAGAAAATCCATGGAGGGAGTTGAAAGTCCGTGTTGCCCAGCGACAGCCCCGAAACATCACTGCTCTAGAGGAGATCTGCATGGAGGAATCGGCCAAAATACCAGCCACACTGTGTGAAAACCTTGTGAAGACTTACAAAAAACGTTTGAGCTCTTTGAGGGTAAGTATTGAGATTAACTTTTGTTATTGACCAAATACTTATTTTCCACCATCATTTACAAATAAATAATTTATAATTCCTTTTGTCTTTCATAGTTGAGGTATAGCTATGATGAGAATTACAAACCTCCCTCATCTTTTTAAGTGGGAGAACTTTGCTTAATTAGTGGATGACTGAATACTTTTTTGATGAAGGTTTTTGGTTTACTGTTCCATCCATCCATCCATTTTCTACCCTTTAATCCATTTCTGGGTCAGGGGGGTGACAGTCAGAGGTGCCACCCAAGTCTCATAGCACCAGCCCCTTACTGACCCTCTGCAGGTGGTGAGTCCACAGGAGGACGGCTGCTCTCTGAGTGTGAGCATAGCCTTGATCTTTCAGTGGGGGCTTTGGGCAAAGTGGGGTTAAGTGTCTTGCCCAAGGACACTTAACCCCACTTTTACTGTTCTAAGCATATATTTAGGGTGTTTATGCATCTTTAGAATTTTTTTGACAAGATGCGGTGCACTAATTCTGATGCTTTCTTCTTCAGACCTGTGACTTACATATTTCTCAAGGTACACAATAAATATCACATAACAGGCATAGAATCTACCTGGACTCCCCCTCTTCCTCCACATGGTGACAGTGGACTGAACTGGTAGAGCTGATGCGTGCGTAGTCCTGAGGCGTCAGGTAAAGATACTTGAACCCCTGTAGAGAAGTGGCATTGTAAACAAGAAGATACCAACAAATGGTCAAACAAATGTGTTTTTGAATACCTTGTAAGGATCAGCAGGATCGATCCAGGCCACTTGAAACATGTGCTTAACCTCCTCTGCAAGGCCAATGCGAGCACCACTGTTAGCTGCAATGTAAATGCGCGGAATACCTTCAGCTCGAGCAAGCTCAGACGCTCTGACGAACAGCTCATCCTCTTCAGGTCCAAACGAACCAATCATATGAGTGATATCATTACAGATCACAATAATGTCACGACCTTCAGGGTACTCCAGGGTTTTCATTCTCATCTTAAAAGCAACCATTCCTACCTGAATAAACAGGATCATAGTAACTTACAGACATAGTATACAGAGTAACAGTTTAAGTAACAGATTAAAGTGTGATGTACTTTATTATCTCCAGGTAGTCGGTTCATCTGGACTAACCGCCCCTGTGAATCCAGCACCATCTCAATACACATGAGCACGTCTTTGGGAGCTTTGTCTCTTGGTCCCCAGAGGTTAAATAATGCCTAGGAAAGGATTTTTAAAATTATATATACATTAATAATTCAAATAATGCCAGTATATACACTCACAGCTGTACCTGTCTGAACATTTCAGGAAAGTCATAGACATATGTAGTACCCAAAGATTGGGCCTGAAATCTCTTTGCCTGTAGCAAGTCCTTGGTCACATAAGGTGTGTTGATGAGCATGCCATGCAGAGGAGCTGGCTTCTCACCATATGACTGAAACATAATCTGAAACATCACATTTAATCAGTAAAAATACATTCATTTCAGATTCAATGTAATAAGGTGTTTTTTCTGACCTGCCCAGTGCTTGAATCTATTACTTCTTTATACAAACTGATGTCTAGATAGTAGCCAGATTCATTAGTCAAAAACAAGCGGATCGGGATGGCAGGGCTGTTGCTTGTTTGCCGAATGTTGATCTTAAGTTCAGCCTGGAGAACGCGCAACTTCCACAGGCGGCTGCCATAGCGCATAACCATGGAGCGAACTGACTCTTCGATCTATGTAGAACATTTTTAGTTTTAAATGTGAGAAACACATGACTGCTTGACATACATTGGAAGTAAAAAGCTTACTTTGGAAGGGTCCATAATGACAGTGGGAACAAAATTCAGAAAGATGTGGTTACAGTCAGTGACTGTAGTGTTGCTGAAAGCAACTTCCAGTTCATCCATAGCCTCCAGCAACAGACGCTCTCCTTCATTTTGGAGATACTCAAACGATGCTTCCTAGGAATTTAGCTAAATTAATATTACAAACAAAATATGGTAATTTGCATTTGAATATGCATTACCTTTGTAATTAGATCAGAGTGGCGAATAATTGCACGAATGAAAAATCTGTAATCAGTAACTTCAGCTCCCTCCTGAGCATGAGCCGCTCCAAGATACAGGTGCATTTTGTGGTTCTCGCAAGGAACAGCTTTCAGGTCAAAGTTTTTCATGCGGTTGAGCTCCAACTGAAAGGCTAAAGCTGGTTCCAGATTTCTATAAATCCGATCCTCAATAAACTAAAAAATTAGATGAATTAATCATACTTTTACAGTAAAGGAGGTTTGAGTGCAATACACTTACATCATCTCTTGCCCTGAAAGTGAAGAACTTTGGAAATTCTCTCTGTCAAAAAAGAACAGCAAATGTCAAAAGGCCCATTTAATAAATTACTTTTGAATATTTTTGACAAACTACCTTTTGAGCCACCAAAAAGGTGATTCTTCTAATGCCGTAATCAAAAAGAACTGACTTCTATTAAAACATAATTATAATTGTAATAACCATTTAATAAGCACACATTACATGAGGCATACAGCATTTCAAACCCACCTTCGATTGAGTAAATTCAGAAAAAGCAGTGACCAAAACATCATCATCCTCTGTGTCTGCCGTTTTTAAGGACACATTTATGATGTGAATAGGATTCTCCCTTGAATTCTTTGAACAACATCCATTGACTTAGTACAGCATATTTTAAGAACATTAAAGATTAAAAGTTCACACCTCTATCTGTTCTTCATCATACAAATTAGAACACGATTCTAGGAAAGATGCATTTTCTAAAAAAGAATCTGCAAAGCTCAAGATGATTTCATCAAAGTTTCTATAACAGAAAATAGCACAGTTTAACTGATGTTTAACATCATACCAAAGATATGAAATGCAGTTACCTCTTGAAATCGTCAAAGCACAGCAGCGCCACCATGGCCCCCATGCGCTGACAAGGCGGCGACAGGGCTCCTTCCAAGAACAACTCACTGCTTTGTCGCCTCATGTTGAACTGTCCCGTATTGTTCACTGGAATGGGAAGTCTAGAGGAAAGGAAGCATAGTAGAAAAGCAGCATTCAATGAGAACAAATGACACATTTAATCGAGAATGGGAAAGAATGCATTTAAGTTTGACAATTATATTTAGCACGTTGAACTCAAAGAGAAGTTTCACAGAGACTGGTCACATTTGGGCTTTTGAGAAGTACATGCACTGTAAAAAAAATTAAAACAATAGAAGAAGATGAACCCCTTAAAAGCAGTCAATAACCTGAAACAAGAACACATTTCTAAATTAAAATCAGTCCTGCTTCAAAACCACAAGGCGATTGTGGTACATTCATCATGCATAGAGACAAACACAAAATCAGGTTAGTTGTTTGGAGGAGCTTACTCTACCTGTTCAGAGTAGGACTTCTCCCTCTGAAATAAAATCATTCATGAATCAATACAAATTTTGGAATATAACTCACATTACACATTTTCTGTACAATTTAGTAATTCCACATTGCTGCAAATGTAACAATCTTCTATTTCAGAGAAGATTACTTTTAAATAAAAGACAAAAACTAAACTGAAAACTAAAACGTAAAAGTACATTTCTGAAGTAAATTGTGTGCAGGTACCTGTTGGGATGTGATGATGGCAACATAAACTGGAAATCCACTGCACAGGTCCCATCCTGAAGCTGGTGATGCTGAATGCTGTTGAGCTCATAGGCGATGTAGGCTCTGCGGACATACACCTATGAACATAAGAATACATGGCTTTCAGAATTATTCTAAACATTAATCATTTAATTTCATCTTTTGTCAAAACATATGAAATATATAAGAGAGCCAAAACACTTTGGCTCTCTTCTCTTTCCGACCTTTTCTCTATTTATTTCTTGTAGATGTGCTTTTTCATTTTTATTTTTCGTAGGCAAGCGTTTATTTGTGCATTGTGCACACGGGAAACCTAGCCTCGTGGACTTTCTCACTGGATTAACATGTCTTCGGCACTTTTTTTGGAGTCCTCCGCTCACAGAGCCACGAGACCAGCGTGTCCCATTGTATACACACGGGAGCAGCTTCTCGGACTAAGAGACTCCGCTTTCCGGCACTCAGAGAAGCCGGTGATCCCCTTGGAGATCCGTAGGAGACGCAGGGGCTCCAGAGGAGGCCGAAAGAGGAAGAAGAGACCGTATCTCCCCTCCATCCTCATGGGGAACGTACGGTCCATCTCTAATAAGACTGAGGAGCTGACCGCACTGGTCTGCCATCAAAAAGAGTACAGACAATGTGGACTTATGTGTTTCTCTGAGATGTGGCTGTGTGGGAATATACCGGACTCTGGTCGCGCTGGAGGGATTTAAACTTGTGCGAGGGGACTGCTGCGCGGAGGGGAGTGGGAAGGCGGGGGTGTCGCGGTCTACGTGAACGAGCAGTGGTGCATCCCGATGCATGTGGTTCAGCGTACATGCACACAGGACCTGGAGCTGCTCGCTGTGAGCATGAGACCCAGGTATCTGCCGCGGGAGTTTCACACCGTGGTTCTATGGGTTTACATTCCCCCGTCAGGAGACGGGGCCGCGGCATGTGAGGGGATACACAGAACTGTGACCCAGATCCAGACCCGCAGTCCCCGCGCTCTGATTCTGATCAGCGGAGACTTTAACCACGCCTCCCTCTCCGCCACTCTCCCGACATTCAAACAGTATGTTACGTGCCCAACTCGTGGCAATAAGACTCTGGACCTACTGTATGTTAATGTGCGGGACGCATACGCCTCCTCCCCCCTCCCCCCTCTCGAACGCTCTGATCACAGCCTGGTCCGTCTGTCTCCGGAATACACACCAGTGGTGAGAAGAAATCCAGCGCAGAAGAGGATTGTAAAAGTGTGGAGCGATGATGTGGATGAGATGCTGAGAGATTGTTTTCAAAACACTGATTGGGAAATGATCTGCAGCTCTCATGGTGAGGACATTGAGAGCCTGACACACTGCATTACAGACTATATTCTCTTCTGTGTGGATAACACTGTACCAACTAAGAAGGTGCGGTGTTTTTCTAACAACCACCCATGGGTGACCCCTGAGCTTAAAGCCCTCCTGAACCTCAAGAAAAGGGCTTTCATCTCAGGGGACAGGGAGGAGCAGAAGAGGATCCAGCACGAGCTCCAGTGGAGGATCAGGAGGGCCAAGAAGGACTATGGGAAAAAGCTGGAGCAGAAGCTGGCCCAGGGAAACGCCCGCGACGTGTGGAGAGGCCTAAAGCACATCTCCGGCTTTGGACAGACTGCCAGAGGAACAGTGGATGGAGACCAGCACCGGGCGGATGAATTTAACCAATACTTCAACCAGTTTGATTCCCCCCCCTCTCCATCTGCCCCCCCTCCCGCCCCCACCTCTTCACACGTCCCCAGCCCAGTGGACACCGCCCAGTGGACACTGCCTCCGGCTGCCCCGGGCCCTCCTGCCCCCGCATCCCCAGCCCCCACCTCGGACAGTACACCCCCCCCTCTCCATCACACCGGACCAGGTGAGGAGTCAGCTCCAGCGCCTGAAGCTAAGGAAATCTGCAGGACCAGACGGGATCAGTCCCAGGCTGCTGTAGACCTGTGCAGACCAGCTCTCTGGGGTCCTCAGCTACATGTACAGCCTGAGCCTCAGCCTGGAGAAGGTCCTGTGGAAGACCTCCTGTGTGATCCCGGTTCCAAAAACAGCACACGGCAAGGAACCGGCTCACTACAGACCAGTCGCACTGACCTCCCACCTGATGAAGACCATGGAGCGGCTCATCCTCATCCATCTCCGCTCCGTGGTCAGCCCCACCCTGGACCCGCTGCAGTTCGCCTACAGACCCAACATCGGCGTAAAGGACGCAGTCATCTACTTCCTGCAGCGGACGCTCTCCCACCTGGAGCCCGCCGGGAGCGCTGTGAGGGTCATGTTTTTCGACTTCTCCAGCGCTTTCAATACCATCAGGCCGGCACTGCAGCAGGGGAAGATGGACGCGGGAGTGGACAGTAGCCTCACTGCATGGACCATCAACTACCTCTCAGACCGACCACAGTACGTGTGGCTGCGCAGCTGTGAGTCTGAGGTGGTAGTCTGCAGCACTGGGGCCCCTAAGGGCACTGTCCTCTCACCGTTTCTCTTCACCATCTACACCTCAGACTTCACACACGACACACACAGCTGTCACCTGCAGAAGTTCTCCGACGACTCCGCCATCGTGGGCTGTGTGTCTGAGGGGAACGAACTGGAATATCGGTCGGTTATCAAGGACTTTGTCGACTGGTGTGAGCGCAACCACTTGTGCTTGAACACCAGTAAGACCAAGGAGATGATCATCGACTTCAGGAGAAAACCACTTTCCCACACGCTGCTGAACATCCAGGGGGAGGACATTGAGCTGGTGGACAGCTTCAAGTACCTGGGTGTTCACATTAACAATAAACTGGACTGGTCCCATAATACAAACGCCCTGCACAAGAAGGGCCAAAGTCGCCGCTTCCTTCTGAGGAGGCTGAGGTCCTTCGGAGTGAGCAGGCCTCTGCTCAGGACTTTTTATGACTCTGTGGTAGCTTCTGCCATTTACTACGCTGCCGTGTGCTGTGCCCCGGGCAGCACCGAGCGGGACAGAAACAGACTGAACAAGCTGGTCAGGAGGGCCAGCTCCACTCTAGGCTGCTCCCTGGACTCTGTGGAGGAGGTGAGGGACAGGAGGGTGCTAGCCAAAGCCACCTCCATCATGAACAATACCTCCCACCCACTGCACAGGACTGTAGAGGAGCTGAGGAGCTCCTTCAGTGGAAGACTGAGACACCCTCAGTGTAGGAAGGAGCGCTACCGCAGGGCCTTTATCCCCACCGCTGTCAGACTGTACAATAAGTCACTTTAAATGATCACTGTGCGAAAACCTGCACTACTATTGACACTGTTTCCAATTGACACTTGTCACTTTTTTGTACATCATTATTGTCACTTTTATTGTACATATATCCTGCATGTAACATGTTTGCACATTTCCTCCTTTTGCACAATCTGAGTGTTCTATCCATGCCAAATGTGACATGTAAATTTCTCCTATGTGAGATAAATAAAGCACATCTTATCTTATCTTATATAAAAGATTTAAGTTAATATGTTTCATGACTTTCTAGTTAATTTTTTAAAAGCCCATTCGCCTCTTCTTTCTGAGGAGGCTGAGGTCCTTCGGAGTGAGCAGGCCTCTGCTCAGGACTTTTTATGACTCTGTGGTAGCCTCAGCCATACACTACGCTGCCGTGTGCTGGGCCCTGGGCAGCACAGAGCGGGACAGGAGTAGATTGAACAAGCTGGTCAGGAGGGCCAGCTCCACTCTGGGCTGTCCCCTGGTCACCTCCCACCCACTGCACAGAACTGTAGAGGAGCTGAGGAGCGCCTTCAGTGGAAGACTGAGACACCCTCAGTGCAAGAAGGAGTGCTACCGCAGGGACTTTATCCCCACCACTGTCAGACTGTATAATAAGTCACTTTAAGTCACTTGCATTAGGACTGAAAAAACCTGCACTACTTATTGACATGGTTTCTTGATTGCCACTTTAATTGCCACTTTTTATTGTCATAATATATCCTGCATTTAACATGTTTGCACCTTTCTTTCTTTTGCACAATTTATCCTGTGTGAGATCAATAAAGTATCTTATTCAGATTTTCAGAGGCCAAATACAACATTTAGAGCCAATTAAAAAAAATATTGAGACTGACACTCAGCTTGCAAGCTGAGGTCATAAATTCATTGAGGAGCAAATGAGTTCTTTGAGAAAAATATATTTTCAATCAGCTTTCACCCAAGCCCAAAAAATAAAATCTATATGAAGAATGTTTGGTTCAGGAATTCAAAAAGTGCCATAAGAGACAATATCATATGATACACTCATGAAAACTGTATGATCTTCTTGATAGTATCTATAGATCATCCACCAGTACACTTACAGTACCTTGCGAAAGTATTCGGCCCCCTTGAACCTTTCAACATTTTGCCACATTTCAGGCTTCAAACAAAGATATAAAATTTTAATTTTTTGTCAAGAATCAACAACAAGTGGGACACAATCGTGAAGTGGAACAAAATTTATTGGATAATTTAAACTTTTTTAACAAATAAAAAACTGAAAAGTGGGGCGTGCAATATTATTCGGCAGCAAACTCACTCCAGAAGTTCAGTGAGGATCTTTGAATGATCCAATGTTGTCCTAAATGACTGATGATAATAAATAGAATGCACCTGTGTGTAATCAAGTCTCCGTATAAATGCACCTGCTCTTTGATAGTCTCAGGGTTCTGTTTAAAGCGCAGAGAGAACCATGAAGACAAAGGAACACACCAGGCAGGTCCGAGATACTGTTGTGGAGAAGTTTAAAGCCGGATTTGGATACAAAAAGATTTCCCAAGCTTTAAACATCTCAAGGAGCACTGTGCAAGCAATTATATTGAAATGGAAGGAGTATCAGACCACTGCAAATCTACCAAGACCCGACCGTCCCTCCAAACTTTCATCTCAAACAAGGAGAAGACTGATCAGCAATGCAGCCAAGAGGCCCATGATCACTCTGGATGAACTGCAGATAACTACAGCTGAGGTGGGAGAGTCTGTCCATAGGACAACAATCAGTCGTGCACTGCACAAGTCTGGCCTTTATGGAAGAGTGGCAAGAAGAAAGCAATTTCTCAAAGATATCCATAAAAAGTCTCGTTTAAAGTTTGCCACAAGCCACCTGGGAGACACACCAAACATGTGGAAGAAGGTGCTCTGGTCAGATGAAACCAAAATCGAACTTTTTGGCCACAATGCAAAACGATATGTTTGGCGTAAAAGCAACACAGCTCATCACCCTGAACACACCATCCCCACTGTCAAACATGGTGGTGGCAGCATCATGGTTTGGGCCTGCTTTTCTTCAGCAGGGACAGGGAAGATGGCTAAAATTGATGGGAAGATGGATGGAGCCAAATACAGGACCATTCTGGAAGAAAACCTGTTGGAGTCTGCAAAAGACCTGAGACTGGGACGGAGATGTATCTTCCAACAGGACAATGATCCAAAACATAAAGCCAAATCTACAATGGAATGGTTCACAAATAGACGTATCCAGGTGTTAGAATGGCCAAGTCTAAGTCCAGACTTGAATCCAATCGAGAATCTGTGGAAAGAGCTGAAGACTGCTGTTCACAAACGCTCTCCATCCAACCTCACTGAGCTCAAGCTGTTTTGCAAGGAAGAATGGGCAAGAATTCCAGTCTCTCGATGTGCAAAACTGATAGAAACATACCCCAAGCAACTTGCAGCTGTAATTGCAGCAAAAGGTGGCGCTACAAAGTATTAGCGCAAGGGGGCCGAATAATATTGCACGCCCCACTTTTCCGTTTTTTTTTTGTTAAAGTTTAAATTATCCAATAAATTTCGTTCCACTTCACGATTGTGTCCCACTTGTTGTTGATTCTTGACAAAAAAATGTAAATTTTATATCTTTATGTTTGAAGCCTGAAATGTGGCGAAATATTGAAAGGTTCAAGGTGGCCGAATACTTTTGCAAGGCACTGTACAGTACATAGAACAGATTTATGTAAAACATATTAAAATAAATATTATAAAAATACATGTTTTCAGCGTTCATACCTCAAGTGCAGCCATGCACACAACTTGATTGGTGTGATAAAAGAAGTTGGGCAAAACATCAAAGATTGAAGTCTCTGAGAGGATGAGCTTCTGTTGATCAGATAAAACTACTTGTTTGAGAAGAATGCACATGTGACATAATGCAATGCATTTTACCTTCAAATTCTCGGGACAAAACTGGTGGCCATACATATCAATAGCAGACAGAATTATGGACTCCACCTGGTTGTGTCTGAGTTCATACGATGGCAGATGCGAGGCGATTAACACCTGCGATGAACACAGGAAATCATGAACAAACATGTTTGGACTGTTTACAGGACCGGACCCTCACCTGTCTGGCCCTTAAAGCCACCTTCGAGTTCTCCATTTTATTTAGCTGTGTGAGTTCATTTAGAATGGTCATTAACTCATCAGCAAGAGTTGGGTCTCTTCCACATAATTGGTCCTATAAAATGAACACCATTAATTGAAACTGTCCAGTGCAATGCATAGGTCACATATTTGTATTCTTACAATGAGCATAGTGACCAGGACATTCTTCTTTGAGACTTGTGCATGAGAGAAGATATAATTGAGGACTGGTGTCATGTCAGGCTTGTAATGCTCCCTTAGATTAATGACACACTTGTCGTAGTGGGCTGTGGATGAGTTTCAACATGTAAACATAGGACACATTTCCAAAATTGCGTCATTATGTGACTGTTGTGATCACAATTTAAGTTGTACATTTGTTTACTTCCAGTAGAAACTGGATGTTTACAAAAAACAAAGTCATTTTCATCAATCTATGTCTGCTAAATAACTAATCTTTGCAACTTGAGCCTGTTGAAATTTCAATTTTAATAGATAATGATGTACAGTATTTAGAGACCTCACGGTGCAATACCTTGCTGAAACTGCATCTCTACTTCCAAGTATCGCTTTAACAAGTCCAGAACTACAGCTTTCATATAACCCCGGATTCCACTTCGATACCTGAGAGGAGAAAAAGTTTAGAATCATATTCAAAATAATATAGATTTTATTAGTATTAGTAATTCCGTCCTCTGTGGTGTCCATAATTTACAAACTTGCCTTTGCACCAACTGCACAATACTCTGAGTGTTCATGAAGAAAACCTCTCTGTCTGCCTTCCTCTGCAGAGTTGCTGCGTGACAGTCTAGACCATTTGCAATCTGAAATGTACAAGTTAGTTATTAATGTACACATTCACAACATTTGCAACAGACAGAAGAGTAAACCTTTTGGCTTGGAAACTGGCAAAGAACTGAAGTAATGTTGCTGGCATACTGGGCCATGACTTTACGGATATCTTTCTCCACACTCTGAGGAATACGTCCCGACACGCTCGTCATGATCTCCTGCAGCTCCAGCAAAGGCAATGAGGGGTCTCGAAGCGCTTTCATGAGGGTCGCTACCCAATGTTTTAGCTGCAGAGGGAAAAAGATTATACTTAGTCAGTTTATATATCAACAACAAAGCAGAAAATGTTTTTGACAAACCTTGTTGCTAAAGTATGGTTCGTCAAGACAATACCCGTCCATGACTTTAATCAAGTTCTCCAGCACAGTATGGAACACCTGGTGAAGCTTTTCCCCTACGACAGGCAGTGGTTGTTGGGGTGGAAGGACAGAGGTATTGAGTTCAACCTGCATGAACAATAAGCGCATGCCGGAAGGCTTTCATATGGCAAACATTTAAACAAACCAATAATTTTCATGTACCCTAAGTATACTGCTGGGATCATCCAGGTCCATGTGGGCAACGACACAACCAGTTTCAAGGACAGCTCCTGGTCTCTTTACAAAATGAATGCAACCAGCCTGTTGCACTGTCAAAGTCATAACCATTTTCATAACCTAAAATAGATTCACCTAAATTAACAACATATTTTTATACAGCACATCCTGAAATGTTTTATATAATAACTTCAATCTCTGCATAGGTCTCTCCAGCATGTATATGGCTTCCATCCTCAACAACATACTGCAGCAGTTTTCCAGCAGATGGAGACCTTAGTACAGTGGGGTCCTTCTCCTTTTCAAATACACAGGTCTTGTTGCCCACGATTATACGGTAACTAGTAAAAAGAAGATTAAAATATTAACTGAATCTTTAAGAAATGATAAATAAAAATAATATTTAAAATAAATTTTACCTGTCCACTTCCTCCTTCATGTAAGTGGTATGACTACTGCCATCATAAGAAAGAAGAAGGCCACCATCACTAAGTCTATGTACATCAATCTCGATGTCTGAGCCATTCATGATGATGACATAAGTGTTTGTGGACTGCCGAGCCACCTGTGAACACAATGTTACACAATGTTGGGCTACAGCAGGGAACGGTTTAAAGAAATGCATCTTTTGTACCATTACCTTCAGACAGTATTTGATTCCTTCATAAATGAGCTCAACATTGACAGAGTTGAGTAAACTTGCTGCAGGTAGCACTTGGCCTCTAACACAATAAGAAAGAATTATTATTTTATTATCATTATTAAATAAAATAAAATTATATATACACACATGACAATCAATACAAAATATATTCCTATACTTTTCCTAATTACCTTTCAAGTGAATGCAAAAACTCTGACATACTCTTCCTGAAGCTAGCATCAGCGACATGCAAAGCTCCACATATAATTCCTAATATGGTATCAGGTCTCTCAGCCTGCGGAACACAAGATGTTGATTCACATATTTTACTTTGTTGAACAAAACTGTGACTTGAATGAAAAGTTTCACACATGCCTGGACTTTTTCTGAAATGAGATGATCAAGCCAACCAGTGTCAGTTTCATTGTTTCTGAAGCTTTCGGTCTCCAATAATTTGATAAGATATTCAACAGTTGTCCGAAAGTCCCCTCGGATGGATAGTTCCTTCAAAGCCACCACCATGTTTCTAAAATAACAGTCAGGATTACACAAACAAATATTTATAATCCATTTCTTAATCATAAAATTAGATTCTTACGAAATTGCTTCCTCACGATTTTCCCCCCAAGAGAAACAGTGACCGAACTGAGAGTCTGCAAATTCATGTAATCCACCAGCTGCACCGACACTAAAATAACCCCAGACATTTTTACTGCTGCGAAAGTTTAATTCTTGTACTGTGCCAGAGCTGGGCTTAAAACCCTAACAAAAACAAAAAAGGACATGTTGCATTTTTGGAATAAATTAATCAGAGTTTTTAAGGTTTAGAAAATAAAAAAACACCTCATCTGGATTTTCACTTGTTATCCGTGCCGCAATGACGTGGCCTCTTGGTGTTGGTATACAGTCTGGATTTTCAAAGTCAATGATAGAGTCTCCCCATGGATCATTTTTATAGAGCAAACGTATATCCTTTATTCTATAAAGAGGAATGCCCATGGCAATCTGCAACATATTTACAGTGAGGTATAAGTCCATTCACTGTAGATGTGTTTGATAACTGGTAAAGTCATTACTTGAAGCTGAGCGGCTGGTAAATTGACATCTCCAATCATCTCTGTACACGGATGTTCAACCTGTAGACGTGGATTCAGCTCCAAAAAATGGAAACTTCCATCTTCGGAGAAGAGATATTCCACAGTCCCAGCGCTGACATAACCCACCATCTTGGCCAATCTCACAGCATACTGTGCCAGGAAAGAAATAGGGAGTAACAACTAGGTTAACTCATATAAAATGTAAAAGTAACTTATAACTTACCTTTTCCATTTGCTCTAATGTAGATGGAAGAGCAATAGTTGCGGGAGCTTCCTCTATGATCTTCTGATGCCTTCTTTGTATGGAACAGTCTCGTCCAAACAAAGAGATGGCATTTCCATATTCATCAGCAAGTATCTGAACCTCTAGATGTCTTGCATGCTGGGCCAATTGCATTATGAAAATAGGCGATCCAGGAACTTCTGTCTGAACCTGCAAGACATGTAAATATAACATCAAACAATGTTTTTGTTTTCTTCAAAAGGTAAGATAGTCATTGGAGTCATTATCCTACTATGAGTTTTTAGTTGTAATGTGCTAACTAGCAGTACAGCAACGATTGTTATTTTTGATTACTATAGACTATACATTCAGAACAAACCTGTCTGAACGAACTTGGAAAATCATCAGCACATTCTACTTTACGAATACCCTTTCCACCTCCACCCTCTGAGGCTTTAATTACAACCGGATATCCAATCCTTTCAGCTCCCTGTGGAAAACAGATTCCCAAATTCACAAATACATTATACAAATGCCATTCTGTTGAAAATGTTCTCCTCACAGCTAGTCCATCCTCAATATCATGAATACAGCCATGTGTATATATATTTGATGGAACGGTCACAATATCATGGAGCTGCTGATCCTTTTCATCCCAGTCCACTCTCAGGCCTTAAATAAAAACAGCACTTCAATTATTTTGAGCGCATGACCTTGACACTTTTATCCACACCAGTCCAATCATAGTTTACACAACATCAAGGAAAAATGATTGAATCACCTGATCCACTCCACGGCAGAGTGGGAATGTCGGCACTCTGTGCCACAATAGATGAAGCCACTTTATCACCAAGGGCCCACATGGCCTTACTGGATGGCCCTTAAAAACAAAATTTAAATTAGAATTCATAATTAATCAGATAAAAGTCTAATTATTAAGGGTTTGGACTCATAGATACCCAAGAAGGAAATCCCAGCTTTGTTCAACAGTTCAGGAAGTTTAGGGTTTTCAGAAGCATGACCCCAACCAGCCCAGACAGCCTAAAAGGAATTACAAAATAAAATAAAAAAGATACAAATCGGTTGTACATAGAATGATTAAAGACAAAGAACAAAGAAATATATACGTCTGATACCTGCACTGGAATTCTTTTTGCTATGTCTACAATTAGCTCTACATTTGCGTAGTTGTTATTGTTGGCCCCACCAGGAACAGGCACATAATGATCAGCCATCTTGATGTATTCTGCAGATAAAACACTGACAGTGACTAAACTGGTGAAGGTTTGAGATAATCCCATCTGTAAAGACACTGCTTTATTTCATTTACAGTTTAACACTGATAACATGTAATAAACTGATAATAGGGTCACATTGACCTGCATTGGCTTTCAGGTCTTCAGGAGTTACCATGACTACAAAACGAATGATTCTCTCATTACGAAACATTTCATAGGACCAGCGTCGAATGGATCGCATACATTTCACTGCTGCGATACCATTGTTGGCTATCAGAACCTGCAAGAACATAGACATTTTAAAGACATTTTGTTAAATGAGCTCAGGATACCACAATTAAATCTACTTACTTTCTCTATGACATGGCGACCACCAAAGCGGGTGACAAACTCTGCTGGGGAGGCCACAGTAACATCTCTTGGTGGGTCCATTTTTCGTTGTTCTCTGCCTTTTTTTACTAAATGAAGACCGGACATGCTCGGTCTAGGAAACAAATACTTATTATATCATTTTGTTGTTACATTTTAATTGCTTTATTGAACATTTGAAAAAAGATATTACAAATAAAATGTACTTTTTCTAAATATTCAAGGAGATCCAAATGAGTAAATAATTCCGGTAATGTTCAAAAGCAGTAGTTAATCCAGCCAAATTCAATCTAAATGTCCTATTGCTTTTAAGCACTTTCAAGAATGTTCGCACTTCCACTTACTCAAAAAACTCTCAAACTAAAACTAACAGTCTAAAATATATAATTATATATATATATATATATATATATATATATTTTCTTTTACAATGTTTAATAGATTTCATTTTTGATTGATCCAGATGCCTTTGGACCCTTGTCTACTCATGGACCATAGCTAGACAATGACAGATTAAATAATTTAAGCCAAATGAAGAATAACCAACAATAAGTACTTTCCAAAATGATGGTGCAAATTAGAAAAACGTGGCACTGAACAATAGTGTAAAAATATTAAATTACATACCATGACTCTGTGTAGGGCTACTTGTAAAATAGTCTGTAGCAACAAGATATTCCTAAGAAACACTGGACCAGAGCACCAGTGGAATTGATAGTGAAGTCATGCTGCAATAGTGTCTATGCTGATGACCTTTAGACATAACACCTGCATTGCATCTGCAGCATTCACTTATTGCAGCTGAATGATAAGCTTTTCAGTCTAATATCCTTTTTCAGAAACTTTTTATGAGCTATGATCCAACTAAGACTTTCTAAGTGCAATAAAATGTATTCTGCATTATTGTAGAAACCAAAAGTGCATATATATATATATATATATATATATATATATATATATATATATATATATATATTATACTGCACTGACTGCTGATGTCATTTGCTACATTTCCTGAAACATGTGCCAACAAATGGTTAATTTCCTGTTATGCAAAAAATAAACTTGACAAAATAAAACTGTATTTTGGTTTAAAAGTAAACCAGCTACCACCCTCCATGCACTTAGAGTACAAGTATAATCCACCAAATCTTATTTCATGCATTTTTAAATTTATATGCATGGGAAGTCAAAAGCCACTTCCTTTTAGTTGTTGTTTCTCCTCCCACATCACAGAGCTCATCTATGGATCACAGACCACCATGCAAAGGCATGTTATGTTATTTATAGACTAAAGATAAGAAAGTGATTAAATGCCATACCGGTCTCTTCTCTCATTTACGTTTTGATATTATAATGTTGAATAAATTGTAGCTCTTAGGAACAAACCATCTATTCATATTAAATACATGAAGTAAATGCGTACCCCTTTTTTTTTTCTTTGTTGTTACCAAATCAACTGGAACCAGAGTCACAACCTGCTTTACAATTGTGGCCATCTGTCTCTCACTCCACAGAGATGGGTGGCACATGCCAGAGCTATTATACATGTTTTTAGTGGTAGGAGAAACCAGAGCACCCGCAGTAAAACTTTCGCAGACACGGGGAGAACATGCTAACTCCAATCAGAAAGGCCCTATTCCAACCAGGATTTGAACCCAGGAGTGCTATCCACTCAGCCACCGCGCTGCCCAACATAGGAAACAAAGTATACATATACAAGTAGATTAGATTTCTGTGTTTTTTTTCTTTGCTGAAGTACTTTTTATTATCTTCTTATTTTATAATTAATACATTTTTTTCCGAGAAACTGACTACTTTCGGGATTAAGTATTTTTTGCAATGTAGTCGATACATGTTTTTAAAATGTTGCCCAGGAAAGGCAATTCACTCAAAATGATCCCACAACCCACCAGTTGAGAACTACTGAGTCATAATAAATACATTTGAAATCAGATCTTACTTCATGCCGGTAGAATGTTGAATTTCAGCATTTTGAGGATAGATGATGGGAGTGGAGGTAGAGGTGGATGGGGTGCAGCTTGGTGGTTTTGTGACGAGAAGTTCGTCATCTGATGAGTTGTCCTCCGAGGCTCCAAGGATGAACTTGAGGCGTTCCTTTTTCTGGTCTTTTAGCGATTTCCTTGGAAGTACAGAGTTCGACTGCAAAGGTTCTTTAGAGGAAGCGTTTGGATGCACATTGTTCACGGTTTTACTGTCCAGAGAAGAGGGCGGGGAACTGTCAAACTTTCTGCTTCCAGTTGGAGATTCCACTTCTTTATCAGCCATAATGTTTATTATCTTGAGTTTTAATCTATAAAAGTGTATCCCAAAATACTATTTGCAAAAATACTACCTAAAATCAGAAATAAAAGTTGGATTTAGTTTGTTACAACCAGAAAAACAGCAATGTTGTATCAGCTTGAAGTGGCAGTACTTCCCAGAGAATCTGAAGTAAACAGCCCGTCCACAACAGCTGACATGAGCCCCCATGGCAGCTTCATGTAGGCTAAAGGTCACTATGGCTGAATGGGTCAAACTGCAGAGCATCCACATTAAGATTTGGATTCCTAAATCTATCAATATATCTGTCCCTGAATAATTATCAATCAGATACAGAGTCAGGGGCAATTGTTGCACCGATGCTAACACTTTTGCTCCATTATATGCACCAGTGTAGTTGAATTACGTGAAATCCACATCATGTACAGAGGGCAAACATGTGGAATTTAATTTGAGGTGTTTTGAGGTGTAGTTATTCATGTGTTTCAACAAGTTGATTTAAGAGCATTTTTATATATACTTGAAAATATAAATTGGGAGTATTTCTGGTCTTTCCTATTCAGAGGACGGGGAATAGACTGTCAAAAGTTTAGCTAGTGTTCGTAATGTTACCTAAAACTCACAACTCCGTTATACCAGAAGCGTGACATTATGAGCAAAAGAACATGATTTCTGAGGCTTTGTCCTGTGCTAACACGCTAGCTTAACCGTAAGCAATTGAAAGTTATGACAATCCACAAACCCATATTTGGAATTAAATAATCCGTTGGTCATATGTTGGCGTAATGGAACTATCGCTAAATCAATGCATCGTTATTTTACCGTGTATAAAATAACTTGTAAATAGCACATCCACCTACCACAGTGTTTGTCACAGCCCTGCCAATTGCAGAGCCCTCTGTAAACATGTGCAGAGGGGGCTTGCTCATACAAACAAACTCGAAAAGAAATACACACACACACACGCATACACTTGTACGCATGCGCAGACACACACAGATCCGTGACCCAGACACCCAAAAGTCACTCTCCTTTTTCTAAATAGTTTTCATCGAGATCGATAATAAAAGGCTTCTATTGTGCGTTGGATATTTTAAATACATGTTTATTTATCTTATTCTCTCCTTGTTTGGTCTATCTAGAAGTTGCTTCTTTTTTTCTTTTTCACTGCACCACGTTCACATGTGGAGCATCATCTTTCGTTAGGATCTTTCCACTTCCTGTTCAAGTAACTTCTCGCGGCAAATGCAGCCCGCGCCAAAAGAAGTAAACATCACGTACAGACATCGCAGAGAGACAGTCACACTGTTTTCCCTTTTTTCTTTATTATAAGTTGTCAATCGCATACGGTGCAATTGGCAAAGGTTGAATGTATATGTCGCTTTCGGGTAGAACAACATGGTGCTACAAAACAGCGGACGATTCAAAGCTGAACGAGGAGGACAAAGTGGCGATCAGGAGAACCAGTATGTGTCATGCGTTTATTTTCAAATTTTAGTAATCTCTAATTTACAGCCTACCTAACGTTATATGTGTTGTCATAATGATACATTACATTTTTATAAAAATGTATTCATCACACCACGTAAAGGCAAAAACACAGGACATCTCATGACGCATATAATGAACATAGCAATATTAAGCGCTTATGAATACGGAATATGCTATTTCTTCACGTCCATATCCCTCTTGACAACCAAAGCCTTTTCTATATGCTACTGTTTTTCACTCCATTGATATGATAGCTGGGAAGTACTTCTGATGGTATTTATTATATGTGCTCTACGTTTTAACACACTTTTTATGATTTATTTAAACATTAGCCATCCATATACTGATGCATTACACACAGATTTGGACGAGCTTCATGGATCCACAGCTGAAACAAGTGCACTTTGAAATTGCATTGTTCTCATTGATAATTGATCATTGAATGATAAGTCTAATACATGTATCTAAATAAAGTATAAAAAATATCTAACGCAAAAAAAGGATTCCGATTGTTCTTTTGCCCAAGTAAGACACTTTGTTCAGGAGTATTTTGAAAATAGGAATAGGACATTTGTTTCCTGGACAGACTATATTTTTAACATCTAACATGTTTGCACACTTCATGTCTTTTTGCACAATCTGAGTGATTCTACCTATGTCAAATGTGACGTGTAAATTTCTCCATTGTGAGATCAATAAAGTCTATCTTATCTTAGCTTGAACCATCAACACTGCTTTTACGCTTGTTTGGACTAATTTTTGATGACTTATTGTGTGGACAATTTCATTTAAATATTACAAAACGCATGTATTTTGATGTAAATACAATAATACCTATGTATTTGACACTTCCCCAGGGATGATGGATCGTCTATGTCAGCTCTTAAGAGGCTGGAGCACAGCCAGTTTACAGACGAAATGGATTCTCGTTTTGGATTCGACAGATTTCAAGAACCTGGAGAGAAGACTGGCTGGCTTATTAACATGCATCCTGTAAGTTAAAATAGTTTTTGTTATGTTTGTTGTCATACAAGGCAATAATTGGTCTTCTATCTTAATTAGACTGAGATCCTCGATGAAGATAAACGGCTAGTTAGTGCAGTCGACTATTATTTCATTCAAGAAGATGGAAGCAGGTTTAAGGTTGACATAATTTTATTGTGTTATTACAATGTTAATATGTCTTGCTTAATACTTCCTGTACTTTTAGGTTGCCCTTCCTTTCAAACCATATTTTTATGTGGCAACAAAAAAGGTCAGTTTTTAATCTATACTTTCTAAACCAGCCTCTGAAACTAAATAAAATGTACTTTAATTGTAGAATTGCGAGAGAGAAGTTATCTCTTACCTATCAAAGAAGTTTCAAGGAAAAGTGACAAAGCTGGAAATGGTCCTCAAAGAAGACCTAGACTTGGTGAGTATTCTTTGTATAATGTCAGTGTGCTAACCAATTTCAAAATGCACATATCAACTTTGTGAATCTTGTGTGTCAAGCCAAATCACTTGGTTGGTCTTAAAAGAAATTACATCAAACTTGCCTTCAACACGATGGATGACCTTAACAAAGTAAAACGGGAAATTGCACCTGCAGTGCGAAAAAATCGAGAGAAAGAGCAGTCCAATGATGCATACACCTCAATGTTATCAAGGTATGGTACTAAATATTTCAAAATAAGATTGTGTGTTTTTAAAACTAACGCAAATACTTTAATTTCTTTTAGTGCTTTAGCAGGTGGCAATGTGATGTCTGTGGATGACGAAGCAACGGCCAAAAGTATTTCAGAACAATTGGACAACATAATAGATATGAGAGAGTATGATGTGCCCTTCCATGTGCGTGTGTCAATTGACCTAAAGATCCATGTGGTAAGGATGTGTCCAATTAATCATCTGCTTCTGACGACGGTACCTTTCTGCTAATCGTTCAATTATCATTTTTATAATCTTTTTAGGCTCACTGGTACAACGTTCGATACAGAGGTAGCTCCTACCCTCCCGAGATCTTACGAAGAGATGACCTTGTTGAGCGTCCAGTATGGCTCTTTATTATTGTATATTTGTTATACAAATATAAGATTTGCAAATCATATTAATTATTCTTGCAGGACCCAGTAGTGTTGGCTTTTGACATAGAGACCACAAAACTTCCACTTAAATTTCCAGATGCTGAGACTGATCAAATTATGATGATTTCTTATATGATTGATGGTCAAGTATGTTCACATATTTTGTTTTAATTCCTGCATTGGTTTGAAGTTTTTCCTATTTCTGTCAAAGGGTTTTTTAATCACAAACCGAGAGATTGTCTCTGAAAACATAGAAGATTTTGAATTCACTCCTAAACCAGAATATGAAGGTCCCTTTACAATATTCAATGAAGATGATGAGGTACGTTATGTTCAGTCCATTAGCCCAGTTTGTATGTTTTGTAATCTGACTTTGTCTGAAGGTTGCCCTTCTTAAACGCTGGTTTGACCATGTTCAAGAGACCAAACCAAATATTTTTGTAACCTACAATGGAGACTATTTTGATTGGTGAGATTTTTAATAATTACACTATACATTCTTGTTGATAATATTTGTTTATTGTCAATTCATGTGTCCCACTTGTTTTGGTTTGTCTAAAAATTACAGGCCTTTTGTGGAAACACGAGCTTCCCTTCATGGACTCAATATGCACAGAGAAATTGGATTTCAGAAGGATAGCCAAGGGGAATACAAGTCTACCCAAGCCATCCACATGGACTGCTTAAAGTATGTTTTCAAATAACTTTTAAGTAACTAAGTTCCTATAATTTTGAAGGATTAAGAAGAATGTTTTTTATTTTAAAGATGGGTAAAAAGAGACAGTTACTTGCCTGTTGGAAGTCATAATTTAAAGGCAGCTGCCAAGGCAAAACTGAGCTATGACCCTGTTGAGTTGGACCCAGAGGAAATGTGTCGAATGGCAACTGAGGAACCTCAAGTAAAGAGCATATAAACATTATATACATTCATACATCGTATTACCCTGTGTTAATACAATTGTTTTTTTGTGTTTTTTTTCCAGACTTTAGCCACTTACTCAGTTTCTGATGCTGTTGCTACTTACTACCTCTACATGAAATATGTTCACCCTTTTATTTTTGCACTGTGCACAATCATTCCAATGGAACCAGATGAGGTTTCAATATATTATATACTGTATAATAGATTTATTCCCCCCAAGGCTGACTGTACTTTGTGTTTCCTCAGGTTCTGCGAAAGGGTTCTGGGACACTATGTGAAGCCCTATTAATGGTCCAAGCCTTCCATGCCAATATCATTTTCCCAAACAAGCAAGAGCAAGTGTTTAACAAACTGACTGATGACGGTCATGTTTTGGACTCCGAGACATATGTAGGCGGTCATGTGGAGGCGCTTGAGTCCGGGGTATTCCGCAGTGACATTCCCTGTCGCTTTAAAATGGTACTTTCCTCAAAAGTTTTCCATCTGTCAAGTCTATTCAGTTCCCAAATATTCTAATTTACTACGCTTTCACAGAACCCAGCAGCCTTTGACTTCTTGTGTCAGAGAGTTGAGCTCACAATGCGTCATGCCATTGAAGAAGAAGAGAATATCCCTTTGGAACAAGTTACTAACTTTAATGAGGTAGGTTTAGCTTTGGATACTGTGCATGTGTTAATGTCTTGTCAAATAAACTTGTGATGTATATCTTTAGGTGTGCGATGACATAAAAACAAAGTTAACGTCCCTTAAAGAAGTTCCAAATAGGATCGAGTGCCCACTTATTTACCATCTGGACGTTGGTGCCATGTATCCAAATATTATTTTGACCAACCGTCTCCAGGTAAAAGAGGGAAATTTAACTTGTTAAAAACAAGGTTTTTGACCCATTTACTTCCTTTGGTAGCCATCTGCAATGGTTGATGAAGCCACTTGTGCTGCTTGTGACTTTAATAAACCTGGAGCTACTTGTCAGAGGAGGATGACTTGGAAATGGAGAGGAGAAATCAGTTAGTTTACATTTCATTTTTTATACAAAATGTTGTCACAAAGAAAAGTTCAACATACAGTTCATGTCTCTATCTAGTGCCCGCCAGTCGCAGTGAATTCCACCGTATTCAGCAGCAGCTGGAGTCTGAGAAATTTCCTCCTTTTTTCCCCAATGGTCCTCCTCGAGCATTTCACTCATTGAATCGCGAGGATCAAGCTAAGCATGAGAAGAAACGATTGGCAGGTTGGTTATATTTTTGAAATTGTACAATCTATTGTTTTAAATCGAACTCACGTATTTTTGCTACAGATTATTGTAAAAGGGCCTATAAGAAAGTCCATGTCACCAGACTTGAGGAGAGAGTCACAACTATTTGTCAAAGGGAGAACTCCTTCTACGTTGATACAGTGAGAGCTTTCAGAGATCGACGTTATGACTTCAAAGGACTTCACAAGGTACCTGTTTCACTACACTGCTGAAGAACAAACACACACTCAATTATAATGTACACCTTTAAATGTATATGTAAATTTAGGTCTGGAAGAAAAAACTGTCGGCAGCCCAGGACAGTGGTGACGCTGCTGAAGTAAAGCGTTGTAAGAACATGGAGATTCTTTATGAGTCTTTGCAGTTGGCCCACAAGTGTATTCTCAACTCTTTCTATGGATATGTAATGAGGAAAGGGTATGTATCATTTCTGGATCAACACTGACATTGAAGGGAAATTAGCCAAGAATTTGTATATTGTACTAAGCCTGATCATTAATTTCCATTGTGTTCTCTTTATGTTACTATATTTATCGTAACCGCCATAATAACAGTTTAAAACAGCAGAACTTATGGTCTCACTTATTCATAGATACATGTCATTGTCCTTAGGGCACGCTGGTACTCCATGGAGATGGCCGGCATTGTTTGTCATACTGGAGCGAACATAATCACACAGGCCCGAGAACTCATCGAACAAATCGGGTGATTATTTTCATAATACTCTATTCTTTCTTATGGCAAGGCAAGTTTATTTACAGTACCTTGCGAAAGTATTCGGCCCCCTTGAACCTTTCAACATTTCAGGCTTCAAACATAAAGATATAAAAATTTAATTTTTTGTCAAGAATCAACAAGTGGGACACAATCGTGAAGTGGAACGAAATTTATTGGATAATTTAAACTTTTTTAACAAATAAACTGAAAAGTGGGGCGTGCAATATTATTCGGCCCCCTTGCACTAATACTTTGTAGCGCCTCCTTTTGCTGCAATTACAGCTGCAAGTCGCTTGGGGTATGTCTCTATCAGTTTTGCACATCGAGAGACTGGAATTCTTGCCCATTCTTCCTTGCAAAACAGCTTGAGCTCAGTGAGGGCGTTTGTGAACAGCAGTCTTCAGCTCTTTCCACAGATTCTCGATTGGATTCAGGTCTGGACTTTGACTTGGCCATTCTAACACCTGGATACGTCTATTTGTGAACCATTGTAGATTTGGCTTTATGTTTTGGATCATTGTCCTGTTGGAAGATAAATCTCCGTCCCAGTCTCAGGTCTTTTGCAGACTCCAACAGGTTTTCTTCCAGAATGGTCCTGTATTTGGCTCCATCCATCTTCCCATCAATTTTAGTCATCTTCGCTGTCCCTGCTGAAGAAAAGCAGGCCCAAACCATGATGCTGCCACCACCATGTTTGACAGTGGGGATGGTGTGTTCAGGGTGATGAGCTGTGTTGCTTTTACACCAAACATATCGTTTTGCATTATGGCCAAAAGATTTTGGTTTCAATGCAAAATCGAACTTTTTTGCGTGTCTCCCAGGTGGCTTGTGGCAAACTTTAAACGAGACTTTTTATGGATATCTTTGAGAAATGGCTTTCTTCTTGCTACTCTTCCATAAGAGCCAGATTTGTGCAGTGCACGACTGATTGTTGTCCTATGGACAGACTCTCCCACCTCAGCTGTAGTTATCTGCAGTTCATCCAGAGCGATCATGGGCCTCTTGGCTGCATCTCTGATCAGTCTTCTCCTTGTTTGAGATGAAAGTTTGGAGGGACGGCCGGGTCTTGGTAGATTTGCAGTGGTCTGATACTCCTTCCATTTCAATATAATTGCTTGCACAGTGCTCCTTGAGATGTTTAAAGCTTGGGAAATCTTTTTGTATCCAAATCCGGCTTTAAACTTCTCCACAACAGTATCTCGGACGTGCCTGGTGTGTTCCTTTGTCTTCATGGTTCTCTCTGCGCTTTAAACAGGACCCTGAGACTATCAAAGAGCAGGTGCATTTATACGGAGACTTGATTACACACAGGTGCATTCTATTTATCATCATCAGTCATTTAGGACAACATTGGATCATTCAAAGATCCTCACTGAACTTCTGGAGTGAGTTTGCTGCACTGAAAGTAAAGGGGCCGAATAATATTGCACGCCCCACTTTTCAGTTTTTTATTTTTTTCGTATCCCATTGACGCACAAATACGTCAAAGCAAATAGTAACGTCGTGTGCCATTGACGCATTAATACGTCAAACGTCATTTTTCGCTATTTTCACGTTCCCAGATGTCTATTGTATCTAATATGTATGGGGATGACTTGAGACCATATTTTATCGAGCCAGCAGGTGGCAGCATTTCTCTCTGAATGGTTTGAAAACATGTAGGTGCACATGTTGTGCCTCTTTTTTCTCAACTTTCTGGTCATTTCTGGTGATTTCAGTAAAACTTCCCTCTACTCGACGGAGAATTACAGGGGAACGAAAAAAGCTCTAAACAAAATTCTTTTTGCTGAGGAAAGTAGACAGTCCATTCTTTTAGAATCTGGTGTTGGATTTCAGATAGTCATAGTACACAATATTCTGTGGGTCTTGAAAAATCAGTAAAAATCATCAGAAATGGCTAGTACCTGTTCTGAAATAGGCTGGCATTCAATGAGTTAAAAGTTTAAATTATCCAATAAATTTTGTTCCACTTCACGATTGTGTCCCACTTGTTGTTGATTCATGACAAAAAATTAAAATGTTATATCTTTATGTTTGAAGCTTGAAATGTGGCAAAATGTTGAAAGGTTCAAGGGGGCCGAATACTTTCGCAAGGCACTGTATATATACATATGCATTATATATTTTTCATGTCTATTGATAACAGGTCATCAATTGATAATTTGGCCTGTGTATGACATAATTTTTCTGCCTTCATAGAAGACCACTTGAGTTGGACACAGATGGTATCTGGTGTGTTCTTCCAAACACTTTTCCAGAGAACTTTGTAGTGAGGACGAGCAATGAGAAGAGGCCAAAGGTGACGATCTCATACCCTGGGGCCATGCTGAATATTCTTGTAAAGGAAGGATTCACAAATAACCAATACCATGAACTGGTTGAGCCCTTGTCTCTCACGTACAACATTAAATCCGAGAACAGCATCTTCTTTGAGGTGGATGGACCGTATCTGGCCATGATCTTGCCTGCCTCTAAAGAGGAGGGTAAAAAACTAAAGAAAAGGTACATGTGTTCATTGTTTATTGTAAGTCTTTGTCTCTAATTGAAACTGTAAAAACTGTGATATTAAACAAAAACATTTCATACTATTTAAAGGTATGCTGTGTTTAATGAAGATGGTTCCCTGGCTGAGCTCAAAGGCTTTGAAGTAAAGAGAAGAGGAGAACTGCAGCTCATTAAGATTTTTCAGTCATCAGTTTTTGAGGCTTTTCTGAAAGGTACCAATCTGGATGAGGTTTATGCATCTGTGGCTAAAGTGGCAGATTACTGGCTGGATGTACTCTACAGCAAGGTAAACATTTCATACTGTTCTCAGTTTCTATTTAAAGCCTCCAGTCATTTTACCGTGATTTTCATGAACAGGCTGCTAATATGCCAGACGCAGAGTTATTTGATCTGATTTCTGAGAATCGATCAATGTCAAAAAAGCTGGAGGACTATGGGGAACAGAAGTCAACCTCAATCAGCACAGCAAAACGTCTAGCTGAGTTTCTGGGAGATCAAATGGTGAAGGATGCTGGCTTGAGCTGCAGATTTGTAATTTCTCGAAAACCAGAAGGATCACCAGTTACGGAGAGGTTAGGCTCATGTCTTTAAACCCTTTAAGTTTGTCATATGGTCATTTTGCACATTTTATTACTAGCTTGAAAACAATATGAATAAATAATTTGATATACATTTCCGACATCCAACATCTCCAACTTTTGGATGGGAGTTGAACAGGGGACAACCAATTTATATTTGTGTACTGTATATGTGAGCGGCCATAGCGCTCGGGCCACGGCAACCTAGCCATGTGTTCACTTTGATCTGCAATTTTCTTATTATTCTGTGATATTCATATAATTCACCTGCCTAATTCACTATTTTTTGGAAAAATAAAATATTCGCTCACAGTCAGAAATGCCTTTTATGTGACCACGTTCCACTATCACGAAAAGTAAAAAAGCCATTTGGCAAGACTGAATATAAAAGTGTGCAACTGGTCTCTTTTATAACTGAATATTGACAAAATATTGTAGATGTCATAAATCATCATATAGCAGACAGAACCAAGTTGTGTTCTCTTGAATCATTCTAGATGACTACTTTTAAAAAATACTTTCTACCAAGCAGTTGGAATCCTTCCCCTTTTTTAAAGTCAGCTCTTTGTTACCTTGATCCTTATGACATTATTAGTGAAAACCTTTATGTTGACGTGAAGTTCTTGTTTCCAATAGAGCAATCCCTCTAGCTATTTTTCAAGCTGAACCCAGTGTGAAAAAACATTTCCTTCGAAAATGGTTAAAAATGCCCAGTTTGCATGACCTGGACATTCGATCGGTAAGTAAAAAATATATATCTATATTGTAGGATTAGATCCAATTTTAACTTTCTTTTTTCTTTAGATTGTTGACTGGAGCTACTACATAGAAAGATTGGGCAGTGCTATCCAGAAAATCATCACAATCCCAGCAGCTCTCCAACAGGTACTTGTATAATGTTTGATTCGTCACGTTATTGACACTAATGTTGCATTTTTCTTCATTATAAGGTAAAGAATCCTGTACCAAGAGTCAGGCATCCTGACTGGCTCCATAAAAAGCTTCTAGAAAAAAATGACATCTACAAACAAAAGAAAATCAGTGAGCTATTTACAAGTGAAGGAAAGCGGCAGGTTTGGAACTTGATGGACATTTGATTTGTTCACTGTTTATGAGTCTATTACCTATGTGGTATCTTCTCAGGTGGCTCATCAGGCCCTTGACAAAGGATCCACTGCTGACATTGAGGATTTTGGAATTCCAAAACCCATACAACCAGCCATTCTAATCAGCACAAAGAGGAAACGGCCTTCTCAGGGAGAGGACAGCCAGATGACGTCTCAGGACCTGGAGCTCACACAGTCCTGGAGAGAGATACTGGGTCCTCCTCCATCCATGGGATCCACAAAAGTAAACTGAACAGAAATATTATTAGAGAATATGTAATTCAATCTATTTATTTTTCCCAGTATATAAATTAACTCTTGGCCAGCGGTTATGTAACAATACAGCGGTACAATTCCTCGACCAGCAACAATAGAATATTAATGGTTATCACTAATTGGTTTAATAGGAACAGCATCTAGTTTGGCTGCGATACCATAAGAAGAAGTGGGAGCTGCAGCTGAGACAGAGGAAGGAGAGGAAGAAGAAAAGGAGACTGTTGGATGGTGAAGTTCAGATGACAGGTGCAGGTGTGATCAGAGATGGACCCGCCACTGGACTCGGAAGTTTTCTGAGAAGAACAGCTCGAAGCATCTTAGACATGCCTTGGCAGATTGTGCAGGTATATTGTTAAATAGGCTCAACAGAAACTCTGTCAATAATAAAGACTTTTTATTCTCTTCCAGATTGCAGAAACTAGTCACCCTGGCCTGTATAAGCTCTGGGCAGTGATAGGGAATGACCTTCACTGCATGAAGCTTAACATCCCCCGGGTTTTTTATGTTAACCAGAAAGTTCCAAAACAGGAAGAGGGTACCACCTATAAAAAGGTATTGTATATGCATTGCACTACCAGTAACCAGTAAATGCAAAATAACTGAGTTGCAATCTTTCTGCAACAGGTGAACCGCATGCTTCCACGCTCCAACATGGTGTACTACCTTTATGAGTACACTGTACCAGAAGATATGTACCAGGAGCACATCAATGAAATAAATGCTGACCTGTCTGCACCAGATATTGAGGGAGTCTATGAAACACAGGTATTGCGTTTAGCCCACATTATCCTGTTATCATTGTTTGTCCAAGACACACTTCTCTCTGTCATGAGACAATAAAGACTAATCCAATCTAGTATGACATTATTTTGCTTAAATTAAATTGTGGTAAATGCACATTTACCAGCTTATTTTGTTTTGTCACACTTAGGTCCCACTGTTGTTTCGAGCGTTGGTGCAGCTTGGTTGCGTTTCTATGGTAAATAAGCATGTAGTGCGGGACTTGGCGGGCAGAGAGGCTGACACTTATGACCTTGATCATCTGGAAATGAGATCTTTGGCACAGTTCAGCTACCTTGAACCAGGTATATTTGCTAGTCAAAGCGCTTCAAAGACACTGTGCACTAGTTCTCTGGAGGTGGTTGGATGTGTGCTTGCTCAGCACTGTGTCTGGGTGAAAGAGGAGGCCGATGGACTTTAAGCACTTGTTCACACTATTCCCCCACTGACAATACTCAACTTTCAGCCCCACTTCCTTTTACACCCAGGCAAATTGCCTGCACACCTACCCCCATTGCTTGTGTATTATACACATTATACCTTTACATACCATCCATTTTCTTCCCCTTAATCCATTTCTGGGTTGGGGGGGTGGCAGTCAGAGCTGCACCCAGTACACATAGCACCAGCCCCTCACTGGTCCTCCTGCAGGTGGTGAGTCCACAGGAGCACCTTTACATACCCTTGTTCCTAATTTTACTGTACATCTGTAAAAAAAAATGTCAACATGAAATGTGCTTGTTTTATACAAAGAACTTTGATTTCATAATATTTTGCTGACTATTATCTTTTCCCATGTAGGGAGCGTTCGTCACATGTACCTGTATCATCACAGCCAGGGCCAAAAGGCTCTCTTTGGTCTTTTCATCCCATCTCAGCGCAAAGCTAGTATTTTCATCTTGGATACTGTAAGAAATCATTTCTTTTTTCTCTACTTTGAGAACCATGATGTATATTCTCTGGTGAAGGGCGTGCCACCTGCTTGATGCATTAGAGAAAATCAGTTGCATCTCATAAATTGCGTTTCTTTAGGTTCGAAGCAATCAGATGCCCAGCCTTAATAACTTGTACAGTGCAGAGCGCACTGCACTCCTTGAGAAAACAACAGAGGAGCTCCTCCCTCCAGAGAAACATAACTTTGAAGTGCGAGCTGAAAGTGATGTCAAGTCCATATATCGTGCTCTGCAGCGTATATTGTTAAACTACAAGGTAAACTGGAATTTCCTTAATGGATATAGTATCAAAATGGTTAACTACAAATGACTGTTATGATAGGATGAACGCCGCGGGCCTACACTCATTGCAGTCCAGTCTAACTGGGAGGTGCGGCGGCTAGCTGCTGGGATGTCTGTGCTGGAGGAGTTCCCTGTTGTTCCAGTCCATGTCATTGATGAGATCAACTACAACGTCCTGGACTGGCAGAGGCACGGAGCACGACGCATGATTCGCCATTATCTCAATCTGGACAGCTGTCTGTCACAGGCCTTTGACATGGCAAGGTATGATCGAGTGTGATCTTAATCTTAATCACAATTATATTTACAATATTTTATGTCACCAGGTATTACCATTTGCCAGTAGGAAACCTGCCTCAAGACATCTCCATTTTTGGATCTGACTTGTTCTTGGCAAGACACCTTCGAAAGCACAACCACTTGTTGTGGCTTTCACCCACCTCCAGACCCGATCTTGGAGGGAAAGAGGCTGACGACAGCCGCCTGGTCATGGAAAGTGATGACAGGAGTTCTATTGAAATAAATGCTCAAGGGTGCTATTCCACAGGTTTGTATAGTGTTGGTCAAAACACTTTTTGTTGTTACATTATATCTAAAAAATTACCCTTTTTTTCTCAGTTTGTGTGGAGCTTGATCTGCAAAGCTTAGCAGTCAACACAATCCTCCAATCACAGCATGTAAATGATATGGAGGGTGGGGCCAGTCTTGGTGTAAGTTTTGATGTGATACAACAGGCATCTTTGGAAGACATGATGTCTGGAAACCAAGGAACAAGTGCATTGGCGAGCTACGACGAGACCGCTCTTTGCTCGAACACTTTCAGGTATCGTAGGTTTGACCCACATGTTTACTTTTGTGTTGTTGCGTATAAATAACATGTTTTTATGAACAGGATCTTGAAGAGTATGGTGGTGGGATGGGTCAGAGAGATCACACAGTACCAGAATGTGTACGCAGACAACCAGGTGATGCACTTCTATCGTTGGCTGCGCTCTCCCAGCTCCCTGCTCTATGATCCTGCTCTGCACCGCACACTGAACAACATGATGAAGAAGGTTTTTCTCCAGTGAGTGCATATTTGGGTTTTGGAATAGTTGGAATCATTATTCCTGCCGGGTTGAAATGTGTCTTCTGCTCCCTACAACGATTGAATAATCTCATCAAGGAAACACTTATGCACTTTTAACGCCCACTGTGGAAATGGCGTGTTAAACTGTTTTAACTCTCCCCAACAACTTATTTTTAGGCATTTTCATAGAAACTGAAAACTAGGTTTATTCTAATCAAAATTCCTGGCTGGTGTGTCAGAATGACTCAATTGACACTCCTTCTCTCCTACACTTTTTACCGGGGCGTGCACAGGGAACGCACAGACCATCCAACTTAACTTGACCCACATTGTTCATGTACAATGCATTAAAACAAGCTGTGGAGCTGTACAAAACCACCATAAAAATCGAGGGTTACGTATGTAACCACGGCTCTATGAATCCCGGATGACCGCCAGAGGGCGGTGCATAGCACTGAATGTTCCCTTCGCGCATGCGCAGTTCGAGTAATAATACCAAATGAGTCACACCTGTGACCCCCTGGGTGACACACCGGAGGTAATAAATTCCAGCGTCATCCAGCACTCTGTTCCTGCAGAATCTTCTCGCGGATGCAAGGACCCTGAGTGACAGAGCGCCTCTGGCGGTCATCCGGGATTCATAGAACCGTGGTTACATACGTCACCCTCGTTCTATTTCATCCCTTCAGACCGCCAGAGGGCGGTGCATAGCACTGAATGACCTTATACCAGCTATGTCACGAAGGATCTTGACCACACACCTCACGAAGGAGAGCCAGAGGATTCCTGAAGGACCACGCCAAGAGGAGCCGGAGTGGCCACATTGATGTTGTAGAATCTGGTGAACGTGCTTGGTGTAGCCCAAGACGCAGCAGCACAAATAGTTCCCAACGGCACCCCGCGCATAGCGGCCCAGGAGGCAGAGACACCCCTGGTAGAATGGGCCCTCACCGTGGCTGGCGGGTCGCGGCCGGCCGAAACATACGCCTGACTGATAACGTCAACCACCCAGTGGGAAAGGCGTTGCTTCGAAAGTGGACTTCCCAGTCTAGCATCACCATAAGCAACAAAGAGCTGGTCTGAGCGCCTCACACCTGCCGTCGCAGCAACGTAGGCCTCCAATGCCCTCACAGGACACAGCAGGTGCAGTCTGTCCTCACCCCCATCCAGGGGGGACACAAACCGCGCCAACCTCAAAGGCCGGTTACAATAGTCACGGGAAAGCACCTTAGGGAGGAAAGTGGGATTAGGCCACAAGACCACGCCAGCCCTCTCAGGATCCCAGTGTAGGCATGAGGGACTGACAGAAAGTGCATGCAACTCACCGACCCTTTTTGCAGAGACCACAGCCAACAGGAAAGCAGTCTTATAGGAGAGCCACTTGAGGTCCGTTCGGGCCAATGGCTCATACGGAGGGCGGCGGAGAGACTCCAACACCAAGGCCAGGTCCCAAACCGGAGACCGCGCGGGCACGCGAGGGTGCAGCCTACGAGCTCCGCGTAAAAAGAGAGACACCAGGTTATGGCCCCCCACAGTACAGTTATCAACCTAGCCATGATAACATGAAATAGCAGCAACATATACCTTCAGAGTAGATGGGGCCCGACCTTCATCCAGGAGAGACTGAAGGAATTCCAGGACAACCGCCACCGGGCACGACACGGGATCCCGACCGCGGGAAGAACACCAGCGGGAGAACAACTTCCACCTGTTCTCATACAGCCGCCGAGTAGAGGCCGCCCTGGCATTCAGGAGTGTACGCCTGACAGGGCCAGTGACATCGAGTGCCCGCAGCTCGGGCCAGCCAACGGCCATACCCATAACTTGAGGCGGTGAGGACAGGGATGCCACACCTGACCGTCCAGCTGTGAGAGCAGATCCCGCCTGGGAGGGAGAGGCCAGGGGGGAGCCCAACAAAGTCTGAGTAGCAGTGGAAACCAGGGCCGTGCAGGCCAAAATGGAGCCACCAGTAATAAACTGTGCCCCGCCCGAAGGACCCTCTGGAGGGTTGGCCAGATCAGAGGAAAAGGGGGGAAGGCGTACAGGAGGGCCTGAGGCCAACTGTGCGCCAGGGCATCCTGGCCGAGAGAGCCCGGAGCCCCGTCCAGGGAAAAAAACTGAGGGCAATGAGTGGAGGCCACCAAAGCGAATAGGTCCACCTGTGCCCGACCAAAAAAGGCCCCACACCCTCTGGACCACACCGGGGTGGAGACACCATTCCCCCGGGGCAGGCCTCCCGCGAGACAGGGAGTCCGCCACGCGATTGCAGTCCCCTGGCAGATACGCTGCACGCAGTGTAGCCAGGCGAGGCGCAGCCCAAACCAGCAGAGCCTGAGACACCTCGAGGAGCCGAGCCGATCGGACACCCCCTTGATGGTTGATGTGATACACGACCGAGGTGTTGTCCGAACGAACGAGGACATGTTTCCCCAGCAGGCGAGGCAAAAACCCCTGGAGAGCAAGGTGGACGGCCCGAAGCTCCAGTACATTTATGTGGTCTGAGCGCTCCGCCCGAGACCAAACCCCTCGGGCCAACCTGTGCTGCCACACAGCACCCCATCCCGTACGGCTGGCGTCGGTGGTGACCACTTCCCTGCGGCACACTACCACCCCCAAGGGGACCCCACGTGACAGGAGACCCCGGTCCCTCCATGGAGCCAAAGCACGAAAACATGCCCACGTCACCCGTAACCGTCTGTGGCGGTGACGAACGGCATCCAAACGAAACCCGTTCAGCCACCTCTGCAACGGGCGAAGCGAAAGCAGCCCGAGTGGAACCACACGAGAGATCGAGGCCAGCTTCCCCACCAGCTGTAGAAAGCTGACGTAACTGTGCAGGGTGCCAAGACCGAAACGGGACACCACACCGTGGATGTCGACCAGGCGGCGCACGGACGGACGCGCCGTCATAGTCACACAGTGTTCAGACTCAGGCCAAGAAAAACAGCGGCTTGTGAAGGCACCAGGCTGCTCTTTTCGAAATTGACCCTGAAACCCAAGCGGGCGACATGAGTCAGAAGGCGCTCCGTATCTTCCAAGGACCGTGCCCTGGACGGGGCGCAGATCAGCCAATCGTCCAGATAAGGCAACACCTTCATGCCACTGGCCTGCAGCGGAGCAAGAGCCGCCTTCACGCATCGAGTGAAAACCCTCGGAGAGAGAGAGAGGCCAAAGGGAAGAACCCTGAACTGCCAGTGAACGCCCCGATAGGCGAACCGGAGGAACCGCCGGTGGGGCTGCGCAATGGGCACGTGAAAATACGCGTCCCTCAAATCTACGGACGTGAACCATTCCCCGGCCCCAACAGTCTGAAGGACTTCCGCAGTCGTCAGCATGCGAAACGGAATGACCTTCAGGAAATGATTCAAGCCCCTCAGATCCAGAATTGGTCGAAAACCCCCCGTCTTCTTGGGCACGAGAAAATAACGGGAGTAATAACCCCTGGGTTGCAGCAGCGGATCTACCGCCTCGATGGCACCCTTGGTCAGGAGGGCGGAGAGCTCCTGATCCAAGATAAAGGCTTTTGCCGGGTCCGAGAACAAAGTAACCTTGACCCGGCCCGACAAGTGCGGCCGGCGTCGGAATTGCAGACGGTATCCGTGGGTCAATGTGGCAACCACCCACGGATCCCGAGCTCGAGCAGCCCAACACTCGAGCTGCTGATGGGAAAAATGTCCGACGCTCGGCCCTGAGGCGTCAATTCCGCGCCCCCCGCCCCCTAGGGGCTCTGGGGGGACCTCGCCCAGGACCAGTCGCGGCGCCACTTGGCTGGCGGGTCGGGCGCCTATGTACGGGTGGGGCACGAAAATTCCCGGCAGGCCTGACCTGGGGAAAACGCTGAGCACCAGACCAATCCCGAGGAGGCTGCCGAACACCGGGGGCCACCATCAGGCGCAAAAACTGCCGGGGAGGGCGCACCACCCTGCTAAGGCTAGAAAGTTGCTGTCTAGTCTGACCAGCATGGACAGTCCGGTCCAATGCTTCCTGGGCCGCCGTCCCAAACAACTGACCCGGCTCGACAGGCACGTCACGGAGGGTCCTACGACAGGCCTCAGTCAGGGGAGACTGAGCCAGCCATACCTGCCGACGAGCCTGTACAAGGACCGACATGACCCGTCCGAGTTCCCTGGTCATCAAGGCAAAAGCATGCAGAGCTGCGTCGCTAAACGCAGTAACATCAGTGCCCACAGCACTACCCTCTTGGAGGGAGGCAGACAGGGCAAGCAGCAGATGCGCTAAGGAGTTACCAATACGGCCAGCTCGAGCACCAGAATTGTAGGCCTTTGTTAGCAAGTGATCCGTCGCACGACACTGGCTCCGAGGGCACCTCACATTCTCCCGCAAGGACTCCTCCGGGGAAACAATGAGGGAGGCAACCGCCGGCTCAACAGCCGGCATGCAATCCAGGCCAGCCGAAGAGGCATCGTGCATCGCGGCCAAAGCCCGACCCTCAGCCGAAAGCTTAGAGAGACGGCTGGGGTCCCTCCAGCACGCGTGTAGCCCCTTCAGATACTCCGCGGACGGGGGCACAACAAAAGCAGGAGACGAACCACCACGCCTGAAAAAGCACTGCCAGGGTCAGCCTGTCCCGACTGGGGAAGTTCCACCTGCAGACGGGATAAGGCCCTGCGAAGAACCTCCTGCATTGAGCCGTCACCAGACCGGCTGGACACACTATGTGCGGAAGAATAAGAATCGTCACCCGAAAGGGACCGCGCGTCATCCTCGTCCCGGAAGCACGAAGCAGATGCCGCCAGAGAAAGCACATCCTCTTCCGGATGGAGGGATGGCATGGAGCAGGAACCAGCCCCAGAGACGGCATCAGCAGCACAACATGCCTGGAATGCAGATTTCATCGCCTCCAACTCTGCAGATAACTGCTCCACCCTCGACACCAGGACAGCATCCGGCTTGGCCTGCTTGGAAGGACCATGGCCATCAGACCGCTCCCCTGAAGCACAGGCCTCAGCACGGCGCTTAGAACGCCGAGGGAGCGGAGCCACAGCAGGTCCCACTGGCAAACTACCACCGTCGCCAGACGAAGGCAGCTGAACCAGCCTCGCCACCCTAACAGCCCAGGGCAAGCAGCTGCAGTTCATGCACGGGTTATCGGACACTGCCTCCCTCAAGTGAGTGGGGCCGAGGCACGCCGGACACAGGTCATGGCCGTCATCAACATCGAGTGCTGACCCGCAGCCCACACACGCATGTGACCCGTCCATAACAAGGTGTTTTTTTTTTTTTTTCTCTTTATTATTATTATCAAATTATTATTCTTGTTTCGTCTGTCTGTGTCGTTAATTCAATATGTAACTAATCCCAAACGGTATACAAACTGCAGAACCGAATCAACGTACTGCAGTTCCACAACAGAAAAGCCAAATATAGCACGGTGGAGGAGCGGACGCGCGAACAGCAGCCTTCACACCACACAATGCACCCGCAGCAAAATGCCTCTCGAATAAAGTAGTGATGGAGGAGAGGGCGCGCGAACAGCAGCCGTCACACCACACAATACACCGGCAGTAAAACGCCAACTCAAAAATAAAGTAGTGATGGAGGAGAGGGCGCGCTAACAGCAGCCTTCACACCACACAATACACCGGCCACAGAATAAACACAGGCAGCAAATGCTAACCCAAACAAGAACTGATGGAGGAGCGGGACAACGAACCGCAGCCTTCACACCACAGAGGACACCGGTAACAAAAACTAACCCAAAGAAGAACTGATGGAGGAGCGGGCGCGCGAACAGCAGCCTTCACACCACAGAGGACACGGGTAGCAAAAACTAACCCAACTAAGAACTGATGGAGGAGCGGGCGCGCGAACAGCAGCCTTCACACCACAGAGGACACGGGTAGCAAAAACTAACCCAACTAAGAACTGATGGAGGAGCGGAACCGCAGCCTCACACCACACAATACACAGGTAGCAAAAGGCTAACCCAAATAAGAACTGATGTAGGAGCGGGCTAACGAACCGCAGCCTCACACCACACAATACACAGGAAGCAAAGGCTAACCCAAATAAGAACCGATGGAGGAGCGGGCTAACGAACCGCAGCCTCACACCACTCAATACACAGTTAGCAAAAGCTAACTCAAACATGCACAGGCGGAGGAGCAGGCCAACGAACCGCAGCCTTCACACCACGAAATGCATGTACCAAAAGAAAGTACTGACGGAGGAGCAGGCGCCACAGCAGCCTTCACACCAACCAATACACACGTATATAGACAGAAAACACCAATAAATACCCAAAGGACAACGTCACCGTCGCGCCCCACAGAGGGCGAACCGCAGCTCCGATGAAGAGGGCTGTCAGCGACAGACGTTGACGAAGTTCAAGCAGCAACGATTCGAACCGCACGCGAGAAGAAAAAAGGAACAGAGTGCTGGATGACGCTGGAATTTATTACCTCCGGTGTGTCACCCAGGGGGTCACAGGTGTGACTCATTTGGTATTATTACTCGAACTGCGCATGCGCGAAGGGAACATTCAGTGCTATGCACCGCCCTCTGGCGGTCTGAAGGGATGAAATAGAACTCCAGGCGCTGCTCTTTATAAAGTTTCCCTCATAAAAAATATGTCCATGTGGATGATACACTTTCTGTTGTCGTTTATAATGGGATTCTCTTTGATCCTGTGTGCTTGCGACTGGTTATCATATGCTAAGTGAAGCTTTGTTATTTGCATGCTCTCCCTTTGTGCTATCAGGTTGATTGCTGAGTTCAAACGCCTTGGTTCTACTGTTGTGTATGGAAATTTCAACCGAATTATCTTGTGCACAAAAAAGCGGAGAATTGATGATGCCATTGGTTACATCGATTATATAACCAAAAGGTTTGTTTAATGATGTAATCATATTTTACTAATTCTTGCAGCATTGTCACATTTGGGTTTCTCTTCCATATTTTATGTTTGACAGCATTCACTCCAGAGAAATCTTTCACTCATTATCAATTTCATTTGCTCGATGTTGGGAATTTTTGATGTGGATGGACCCAGCCAATTATGGGGGAATAAAGGGCAAGTTGCCCTCAAACTTCTTGTTTGGCGAGGTACATCTGGAATATAGAACTTTACAACCAAAATGGAAATAAGTGGTGATAATTATGATTCCATTTTTAGGGGGGGACTAAGCAAACCAAAGCAGAAAAACAAGGAGAAGATGACAGTGATGTTGACGAGGAGGAAGTGGAGGAGGAGGAGGCGGATGTAGAGGCGGATGAGGTTGAAGATCTGATTGAGAGCAACTGGAACATAATGCAGTACTTGCCACAAACCGCCTCCTGTCAGAAATATTTTCTGATGATTGTCTCTGGTAAATGTCTTTTCTTATGTTTTTGTTTTATTAAAGAAAAACATTCACAAGTTTTTCTTCCACAGCCTACATTGCGGCCGTTTATCACAGCATGAAAGAGGAGATCCGGCGTAATGCCCCTGGAGCCACACCAATAAAGCGACGCGGTGGAAGTCAAGTTACACAACAAACAGTTGGGGAGTTGAGTGCTCTTCCTGGTGAATTTAATATTTTTTTCTTTTTTATATTTAAGGTCCCAATATATTTTTATCTTTAATGAAATTATTATTACAGTGTTGGCTTTTTACCATTTTGCTTACAGTGCATGCAGAATTATTACTGTCGCATATTGTTGTGATTGCTTACCTTTTTTTACCTCGTCTAAATCATTCACAGGTGTAACTTGAATCCTATTAAACAGATTGGCTGGAAAACCTAGCGGTAATTTTTAGACTAGAAGCACTTGAGATGAATACAAGTTGCCTCCATTACCTGTATAGATTTATTAGCTACCAAGCTTGCATCACAACTATTTCAACAGGCTTGAAATTAAAAACAAAATCACAAGAATATAACATAAATACAATAATGCAACATTTCAACCACTGTCAACAGTTAATCAGGATCAGCAGAGTTTGCTGCCGGTAAGACTTGCGTCCTAAACGGTATCCAACCTTATGTATTGTTATCCTTCAGCATTAATAACATGTTTGAATATATTCCATACATTCTTTTATTGGGTTTAAATCTTTGGGAGCTTGATGACGTCACATTAGGTGGTCATATTTAATACCTCTGTGCTAACCATGCAGTAATATAGTGAGAGGCGAAAGGAGTGCTGTCAGGCATCATCCAGTCATCAATTTATTCTGCTTTATCTTGCTGGGTCAGGGGGGGCACCAGTCTAAGCAGACATCCAGCCTTCCCTATCCACACACTCCTCCAAGTCATCCGGGGGATCCCCAGGAGTACCCAAGCCTCCTCAAATGGCTCTTCTCAACATGGAGAAGCAGCAGCTCTACTCCTAGGGTGAGGACGGGAAATCGTGAGCTTTGTGATGAGGCTCAGCTCCCTCTTCACAACAGTCCAAACTAGCACTCCATCCCTCCCTCACTTGTGAACAAAAAGGAGGAAGTCTGCATCCACCTGGAGATGGCAAGGAACTTTTCTTTCCCCAAACCAGCACTATGGCTTCAGTTTTGAAGGCGCTGATCTTCAGCCCAGTCGCTTCAAACCTGTGGTCCCAAACCAGACTCTCTTTCAACCCAATGGTGGCAAGTTGTCTAGCAAAGAGATCTTGCTGCTGATTTGTTTCATTGTTTAAAATTTACACTTGTGAAACCAAACGGGTGTAAGTAAGTCATCGCAACAATATACAACTTTAAAACATGGGGCTACCAAAACATTCTTCACACTGTATTCCTCATATCTATGAATGTGTCTATGAATCTATTAACTTTTTATTACAATTTGTATGTTTAAGGAACCATTTCTTTCTCTCAAGAATATGTGTCTGGCGAGCTGACACAGAACATTTTTACCATCACTCAAAAAATAAAAAATAAAGTGACAGGAACCAGAAGTGTGACCCAGCCATCAGAGATGTTCCCAGTCCTACCTGGTTCTTACCTGCCACTTAATAACCCAGCTCTTGAATTTATTAAATACGTCTGCCAGGTAAATCACTCAATTGTAATCCTGTTAAGACAAATTCCTGTTTCCTATAGAGGTTTTCTTCTGCCTGCTCAGGTGCTATCATTGGATCCCAACATCACCAACCAAATGAACAAATTAAAACGAGATCTCCTCCGTCTTGTAGACGTGGGAGAATTTTCTGATGACGCCCAGTTTTGTGACCCATGTCAGTCCTATGTGCTTCCTGAAGTAATTTGCCATCACTGCAATTTCTGTCGAGACCTTGACCTCTGCAAGGATCCTTCAATAGCACAAGTAAGGGTCTTACAATAATATAGAGTACTTTAGTTTGGCTCCTTCCCCTTTCTGCTCTTATGCCACTAATATGAACTTTACAGGATGGGTCGGTTCTGCCACAGTGGTTTTGCTCGAACTGCCAGGCACAGTACGAGACAGAATCCATAGAGATGGCACTGGTGGAAGCTCTGCAGAAAAAACTCATGAGCTACACATTGCAAGACCTGGTAAATGTCTTTTTTTTTCTAACAACAATGTGTAAACATTTATTTTCTTTAATTTTGTATACATGTCTTTTTAAAGGTTTGCAGTAAATGTAAAGGGGTGAAGGAAGCAAACATGCCTCTATATTGTAGATGTGCGGGTGATTTTGAACTCACATTCTCAACAAAGGTTTGGCATTCATCTCTTCAATCACATCAAGTCTCAACCCTGTCTATACTAAATATTGCTTTGTCCTACTTGCAGAGTTTCTCAGAGCAGATCACAGTATTTCAAAACATTGCGTCCCACTACAATATGAGCTTCTTGGGTGAGACCATCGAATGGCTGCTTGCTATGACTCCGCATTTGAGTCAAAAGACTCGCTAAGTACCATCTATAGAGACGAAAGTTTGTATACTAAAATGTTGGTCTACTTACCATTCTATAAATTCTCTTTACATATTTGGTCAGTTAATCTATGGACTTCCGGGGTAGGCTTTTTCATCTCTTTGTTATAGACACTAGTAGAATCTGAACTCTACAGGGACTTGATGAAATAAAATAAAAATTAGATACATTTGTCTCTATTGTCTGATCTATCTTATCTATTCACATTTTGAAAACAAAACTACCTGGTACCAGCTTCCTGGTTGTGTTCAATATAGTGAATGTAAATAGTCTGCTATTCTAAAGAGCTAACATTTGGTTCACTGCAGTTCCCCATTTGTGGTATTTGCTGCTATTGGCTATCCATTACTCTTGTCTCGTACATAGTGCACTGCTGAGGCCTCTGATGCATTCACACTTACCCACAATCTTGTTAGAGAAGCTATTTGATGGGAAATGTTCTCTTCATTTGATTAGTGCTTTTGTGGCGCTCCTCTTCCACCAGTTGGCTAGATCTCCATGCACACAAGTTGTGACTGATTCCATAGTTATATTTCTGAACTGATTTCTGATAGACTCAGTAAATTATGCCAAACTTATAAAGTAATTTATTACGCTGCATGGTTTCCGTATTTCATATGGTATGGGAGGCCCAGGAGTGTCATCCTTTTGGGAGGTAATAAGGAGTTCACCTTTTGCGTTACTCCTGGAGTCAATGAGTAATTGTATATGAACTTGTAAATCAGAAAAATACTGTAACCTCATTGGATATGCATGAAACTTGGAATTACAAAAGACTAGACTGATTAATAAATCTGTATTATTCATATGATCCATCCAGGCTACAAATTCCTGCAATAAGAATATATCGTAATTTAAACGGTACCATAAAAATTGTGACACAATGAAGACTGACCCCAAATAAAAAGTTTTATTTTTTACCAAATAAAATGTTACAATTGGTGGACTTATCAAGATGACCGTAAATGTTTTATTGTCTGAGTTCTCTATTTTATATATGAAATAGAAATGCTGTATGTTTTATGTCATCTATACATCAAGTATGTGATTTTGTTTTAAACAGATAAATCTAATATAAGGGATTATTTCACTATACAGAATGGCTTGGGTTGTACATTCACTGTTACATGTGTTTAACTAAAACTCGATCAGCAATGCCTGTAATCCATATTTGAAATGACTCAAACAATAAAAAGGGTGGAATCTGAGGCCAGTGGGAATCTCTACAGTGGGACACCATCTGACAGGTCTGAGTGTGTAGAGCCACTGTCTACAATATATCCAAACCCCATGGAAAAATGTTGCATAGGTTCTTTGGCAACCTAAAATGACAATATGTAAATATAAAGAATTCATTGTTAATTCTCCACTGATATAAGGGATGCACCTATCCTGCCTTTTCAGATCCGAACCATGGGTTACAGAACGATATAACATGAAGATTATTGCCATTTTATGATTAACAATTCAAAACAATATGCCTCAGACATTGTTGGTTTTTATCACAGATTCCTGACTAAACTGAGCCAGCTTCTTTGAGATCCTCAACATGCAGCAGTAAACAAAGACCTGAAATCCATGAATATCGATAGTTTGGTGGTAAATATCTGTCAATACATGATATTAACGAGTTAATTATTGAAAATTGATCAGGAAATGGGCACTATCATTTTAACAACTGAAAATCTTTGTGAGTAAACATTTATATGTCTATATGTTCTGCTGCCATACTTGCTTGCCAAAACTCTTGTCAGATCTCAGAAGATAAGATGTGCTTGTCCCTTTGTTTTTGGATGGGAGACCACCAAACTTGTGTTCTGTGTCCACTTTGCACACAATACTAAGTATGAGTTTGGTGTGTGACCTTGGGCAGCTGTAGCTACAGTAGCATACCACTATTGTGTGCTGTGTGGAGTGAAACTGAGAGATATCTGATAAGAATTGAATTGGTGCATCCCTAATTTATATATATATCTCTTAATACTCACTTCATCAAATTTTCTTTCACTGTAGATTTCATTCTTGTCAATAAATGTTAGCATAATCCAGTCACAGATGATTGTGCACTTGAAAGAAGTCAGAGCAAGGTAACATGTTCATTATGGAAAAGGCCACAACATGTTCAGAATGATGGAAGTAAACTTACAATCCCAACGGATGTCATAGCAGTCACAATGCTTATGATTGTTGGAACAAGACTGAATTTACCAGCCTGCAAGAAAGAAAAATATATCATCATATTTCAATTGGTTTTAAAAAGTTAAAGCTCTTACATGTCCATGAACTATCACATCCAGGCGAATCCCAAAAGCTTTGATTAGTGTCCTAGACTCTACGCCATCCTTGCTGTAATATTTCCCAAACCTATAAAAGATATAGGGTTGTGTGTGTGGTAAAATAGACTTAGAAGATATGTGTCTATAAACGTGAGAAGCGTATTACCTGTAGTAATATCCTGAATTTGGCAAATCTTTCCTCGTATCAAGCCGTCGAAAAGAGTATGTAGGTTTACAGTTTGATGCATTCACGTCTAGGTTACATTTCCAGTTGATGAACACTCCTATCACGCCACCCTAAGGAGATATTTCTGAAATTCATACATCTGTCTACATATATGAAAACATCCATGATATCCATAACCTGAAAGTACACTTAATTTTACTTACTGTCTGACAAAGCTCTTTAAAATTCTCCCTTGCTTTATTAGCAATGTATCCAAGTCTGAAGTTTGGACAATATGGCTCCTTCTCTTCATCATAATGGCACTTTTTTAGGTATTTACTCTGTTTGCGCTTATTTTCAGGATACTTTATGTTTCCCCTGACAAACAGTTAACATAATTATTTCAATAAGTACTGTCACATTTGATGTTTGCATACCTTAGCACTTTGAATTTAGGGAAGTGGATAGAATTCCTGATGAACACAGTAAAATTAATGGCCTCCACTAAAGCCGGTTCTCTGTGGAGAACAACAAAGAATATCTTGTTACATGGCAACACCAAATCTGCATCAATTTTGATTTGAGTATTTTGGTTTTGTGATCATTTTAATCAGTTAAGTTAATGACTTCACTCACCGTACTGCAGCATACCCTTCAACTGGGCACCAACTCTGAATTTCACAGGTTTTGAATGTGTAATTATAGTACCACACACATCGGCCTGTCCTTCTACCTAACAGACAAAGAGAAATCATAATTAAACAGCCCAACATAAATCTTCAGTGTCATAAAAGATGTACCATGGCCATTAAAGTTGATCTCTCCCTCCACACAGTCTAAATCTGATGTGCAGTTGGCATTGTCAACCTGGTGATACTAAAAGGAAAAAACACTTAGGTGTCTATGTAACTGATATTCTTCATTCAATTACAGATGGTTTCAGCATGCAGCTATAGTGGTCAATTTAAAGAGATAATTTGTGAAGCATTCACCTCTGCGCAAGTTCCCTGCTGTTGAGCATATGTGACTTCTCTTCTCAGTATTGTACTGATCACATCCCCACCCTGAATCAAGCAAACACAAGTGATTCCACAGTGTGCATTATAACAACAGAATTATGATAATAAAAAGTGAAAGAGAAATGAAATGAACTGACTTCAGATGGTCGGGCATATTCTGCAACGTCCAGAATGTCATCACCATGAACTGCAATGCCCTTCATTGTTGTGTAAACAGAGCTCTCTGGGTGAGTTTCACTTTCTTGGTAGGCTTTCTGGCTTATAAAAACATACCTATGGCATAAAAAAGCAGATTTGAGATTACACTGTATATATTTTGATGAGTGCTGCAGTCAATTGTTTGATAGACCTCAAACATAGGGGCATGCAAAAACATCACATGCAAAAGGATTGTAATCACATTTTTAAAGGTGAATGTGTAAATTAATCAATTACATAGAACTGTAAGATTTTCAGGGACTTACCAGATAAAATATGTGATGACAAGAAACTGGACTCCTCTGTAAATTACTCCAAGAGTTCTGTTTCTAACCTTCATAACCTTTGGGGTCTCATAGTCCCAGAAACCTAAAAAATACTCCCTAATAAACCCCCTGAGTCCCACTAGAAAATTGTGAATAACTTCACACATGTTGAGCAATAGCAAGAGGGTTCTTCAGATTGTTCTCCCCTAAACTCTCTCTCTCTTGTCCTCTCATCACATACACACAGCAGCTTAGATTTACAACAAGCGAAGCGCATCTCTCCACAGCATCACTCTCCCACAGACACTCCCATAGCTGCACGAACTAAAGCAAATGAGACCAAATACTGTAGTTTGGTCCAACTCTTGATTCAAACCTCAGTTTTAACCCTTTAAGGATCACCTAATTTCGCCTGCTCCTTCTTGAATTATGATACTCAAATGGAAATGCTTATTGTGTGGACATCTTGTGTCTGATTTTGTGTTATGAGGCCTCATTTGAAAGGTAACACCTTCTAGTTTCTGGAGATTACAGTTTGTTAGGAAGGACACAGTCTGCACTACACCTTCTCAAACATGAGTCAAAGTTCGTTTTTTTTGTCTCGAAAAAAAAAAGGCAATTTCAAAATAATCTTCTGAAAACATACTTTATGGTATGTTGTTCAAACTCACCAGAGGAGATGTCTGTGGTGTTGGCAACAACTGTATGAAATTTTAGACCTTTAGGTGAAACCATTTTGATGCTGGGGGATTTTTTGTGACTAATGGGCACATTCGGCACAAGTGGTCCATTTTTGTGCCAATTGTGCCAAAGTGTTTTACATGCAAATTATCAACGTTATTACACCAAAAATCTAATTATATCATTTTTTGGTTATTACTCTTGTTATAAATAGGATTTTTTCCAGATATTGAAATGTTTGCAGAAAAGCTATTATTCATATAGATATACATAGTTCCCACATGACGTCACTACATACGGGGATTTGCCGACCCGGCGCCATTTGTCTTGGCATTCTGTGGGCCAAAAAATAGAAAAAGAAGCTGAAACGTGTGATAAAGTTGAAAATGGTCATCTCCTGCTGGGTCAATGGATGTTCTAATCGTGCCGGAGGTTCAGTTAAACTTGGATTTTACAGTATACCCATCATTAGACTTCATGAATGTGAGAAGACTAAGCTTTTGTCAGAACAACCACGGAGGTTATGGCTTGCGAAGATAAACAGGCAAGAAACTCCCTCAAAACACGCAAGAATATGCTCGGAGCACTTTGTGTCAGGTGCGTATCGTATCTTATAATGTGTTGACAGACGTAATTTACTCAGTACTAACTTGTGTATGCTGATATCTGATAACTTGAGAGTTTCATTATTTAGATTACTTTATTATGAGGAGGATCGGTGTCGCGTCCGAGGCTCTCGAGGGCAACGTAAATGTATTAAATAGATAATAATAGTTCTATGGTGGGCTAAAACAATGTTCACAAACAGCATTGCTTCTGTAAAAAGATCTGTGTCATAAAATAAACTGCTCTTTACGCCTGGAAAAATCAGTTGCCCACCATTCACCAAAACATACGGTCAAAAACGCGGAAATAAACAATAACAGCAATCCAGAGTGTCCGTGTGGCATTAGCATTAATTAAATTAATTGTTAATATAATTAAAATAATTAAATGGAGCTCCAACTGGTATTAAATCTAAATTTTTTGAGAAATGTTTGCATTGCTTGTTAATTTTTGCTGCATAATTTGATCAAATATGTAAAACATGTCCGTAGCACGTTAAACTGTGGTGCCATTGTATTAATATACAATTATTTGCTCAAAAGTTGCCCTTTTTTTCCAATTTGCGTTTGAATATCTACATTTATTCTCATTCTTCTGTTTAATGGAATGCACAAACACAGCAGCGTGCCATCAAAGATGGCGTCTCCGAGGAGGTCATGTGACATTCATTGGTCTGTGGGAACTATGTATATTTACTGCAACCCCAAACTTTGTTGAAAGTAGTGAGACATTTCCATTCCATTTGTATAGCGCGTGTTCTCCGTGAAAATGCTCCGCCTTCCTCTCTTACGCATTCAAATAACACTCGAACAGTGGGAGGAACCTTGAAGTCCGACACATCGCCTGAAACCTGAGATTATTGGCTACAAGATGGTTTGATTGACATCCAAATCGGCCAATGGTAGTCAAGACAATGCTGTCGTGACGCACAGATATCTATATGACTGGAGCGGTAAAGTTAGGTGCGCTTGTTTTACTCAACTTACTCTACCTTCCAAACCATAGCACTGAAAAGTTCGGGAATGGGCTTGTTTTGAAGGGGAGGCTTGGGTGAAGACGAACATACCCATTGACGCTAGGTAAATAGTAACATGCCTTCTTCATACAGTGCGCAAAGAATAGGTTTTATTTTCGTTTGTGCAACTTTCAATACTCAAATGTGTTGTTACAACTGGATATCTACTATAAGGATGACTTTGTAGAAAAAACAACTGGATATAATTATTCTATGAACCCTTACGAACAAAACGAAAGCACACATGTGTGGATTAGACGTGATTTGCCCCAGAATATTAGCATGAAAAGGTAAGAAAGGACGATATATATTTTATATATATATACAGTTTGACTCCTTTTTCATACTTTTGGTGATATTTAATGTTTATTTTAACATAATACGCGTTTAGAGGTGGGAATAAGCTTTCAAAAGAGATATAGCTTGACTATATTGACACAAGTGAATTCTAATACTGATGCTGTTAAATGAAAAATTACTGAATCCTCCCTGTACAGGGAGGGTGATCCTTAAAAGGTTAAAAAACACATAAAGAAGCTACGAAACACACTCAAAGGCAATCTGAAAAACTATAAACATATTAGAAATGCTATACTACAGAAGCTTCTAATACTTATTTGCTATGGTTATCCCACATATTTTATACAGGATGTAAAGTTGGTCCCCAGTGTGAATCTTTAAAATCCCGGTTTAACAAAAGCTCTTTGAAAATTCATGATTAAAAACCTCTGTCATAACTCCCCCTCCCACCCTTTCTCTCAGAGAAAGCGTCTCAAACCATATTCGGGTTACAGCATGGATCTAGTATAATAACGGGTTACAGTCTTTCTCATATCAAGCAATTAGCCTTCGCATCATATGTACTATAAAAATATAAAATGTTCACATGTCTGACCGATTCTCAATCAGTTGACTCGCTATAATTATCAGCATGTCCTGGACAAAAGCCCCCATTTTTTTGCTTTTTTAAATACAAAAAAAATACTATATTTTACTAGTGTATGGTGTATGCTACTAGTTTACTACTGGCACGGAAGAGGCAGCCTTAACGAGGTCCTGACTGTTTGCTCACGTGGTTCACACGTGCATTGCGGAGGTGAGTCGTAGTTGCTAGCTAAAGTCCAGCGCCGCCAAGTGAACAGTTGATTAGCTATTACGTGATTTTGTACAATACTTTATAATACTGTGTTCTCTGTTATAGTTGTTGCATATCACTTACTTCGAAATGGGTGGTCTTCAGAAGAAAAAGGTATGTCAAAAATACATGTGTTTTGGGTGATAGTTTAACAACGTGGCTTTAGCTAGTTCGAGGCTAACGTGTCTCCTTATCTAGCTTAGCTGTTAATTGCCGTCGTTGTTTGGGGATTTCATTAGTGGTTGGTATAATCAATTTTCATGTCTGGTCTGTCTGTTATTAGTTTGAGAGGGGATCTGCCACGAACTACATCACGAGAAATAAAGCTCGTAAGAAACTACAACTGAGCCTTCCAGATTTCAGGTATGAATGTTAAAGTCAATCTTTGTATTGACCTGAGACGAATTTTTGGTGTAATTATCGTTATTATTGCATCTAACGTCAAATATTATCAGCACACACACATAGCTGCCGCTGTCGCTCAGATTCATAATGTGCAGTGGACGAAGTTTAGAGAGTGAACGAGCTGGTTTAAAGGATCCATATTTCGCTCTTCTTCATGTTTCACTGTTCATCCACATGTGATAATAATTTTAGTGATACACAGTAGGGGTGGGTCCCAGCCGTAGATTGTAAATATTAACGGATGTAGTCACGCCTATCTTCGCCGTTGATCCTCATGTGCCACCACTCTTGCCCATGGATCTATAATCATATCTGGATAGGGTATTATTAGCTCAGGGGTGCTCACACTTTTTCAGCATGCGAGCTACTTATAAAAGGATCAAGTCAAAATGATCTACCTACTACAAAAATGCAAATCATATATTTCAAAAAATATTCTTTATATCTACAATGTATGTTTATGTACATGCAAAACCGCATGAGCCAATATAGCACAACACAACACAATTACCTATGTACATTTTTTGTCATTACCCGAGTTTACTCTTATGACTTGCACTGAATTGAATCGGCCAGGGATGCATAGTCCGGAAAATTGGTGGTAACTCGCTGACAAGTTTGTCGTGGTTTAGCTTTCCTGCACTGTGCGGTTGTTTGCGCATGTGCAGTCACCTAAGTGTCAGTAAAACATTACTGAGTAAAACACAGATGTCATTTGACTGTGGGGCCATGTCCATGTGCCATGCCTGTTTTTTTTTTTATTCCAAATATTTCCCCTCCTCCGTTTATAAAATAATTTGCATCCACACATCTGCGTTATCAATCACATTCGTAACATTCCAAACATGTGCGTCTCTTACGTCCTGTCCTGCGTTGGGGAAAAACACAGAAGTGGGCGGAGCTTTGATGCAGACGCCGTTAACGGCACTTTTACAGTCATAGAAGACACTCAGAGTAAAGAGTAAGACGTATGTTTACAAGCACTGACCCCGTCCTCAGCCCTGGTTTAGTCCTGGTTTAGTCCTGGTTTAGTCCTGGTTTAGTCCCGGTTTAGTCCTGGTTTGGTTGTTTTCGAGCGTGAGTCCCCGCGATCACTTTGCTGCTCTTTGATGTGGAGGATGTTCGCTGCTGCGAGCATCTCACAGCGAACAGTTTTTAAGGTAGTATGATCCATGCTTCAGTGATCAGAGGAATTTAGGGGGCTGTGGCGTGCGAGAACGCAAAACTCTGGTTATCTCTGTCTACACACAAATGCATTAACAGAGTTTTCAAAAATCTCCACTTTGCCCGGAGTTTTTTGTATATATTTGTTTAGAATGTGTAATTTTTTATTTATTTAATGCGATCTACCAATACTACCTTTGCGATCGACTGGTAGATCGCGATCGACGTATTGAGCACCCCTGTATTAGCTTATAGCTGTCTCACCCATGGGCACAGGGGGTGCCCGTGGTACTTAAGACTAGGGCTCTGACTTTTGCACTAAAATCATATTCGAGGTTCGTTTGCTTATTCATTTAAATATTCGAATATTTAATCATTTGTTTTACAGCTCCTCACAGCAGCAGTAGAATGCTCCGTTGATTTAAATTTTAAAACGTTCCACCGATTACACTGGGTAACAAAAAAATATTTTTTGAAAATAGCCCAGGGTTTTCCAGCTGAATTAGACTGATTTTGACGCTCTGAGTCCGAAAATGACCTTGGTTTTGCTCAATCAGGTCAGGATTTTTTGCTACAGAAATATTTTTTTTATTGATTTTGCGTAAAAAACCAATTTCTGCGGATCATCAGCTGAGAAACCCTTGACGTTTTTTCCGTTTTCCTCAAGAAATAAAAGTCAATGTATCCAAAGTCATTCAGTTTTTATTTACTCCATCAAATTTGATAAGCAGAATTCATAATAATGTAGACGTACGTAATCCGTAACACTATGGCTGTATCTCAAAAAGTTAACCTGATAGAGCAAAATGCATGTGATATTCGGACTCAGAACACCTAAATCAGTTGAGAAACCCCTGACCATTTTTTGGCTGTCAACTTGTGTTATTAAGGAAGGTACTTATTTTCCGATAATGACCTACTTCCGCTTATTGTACGGCTTTGTACCATCTGATATAAAAAAAAAAACTTCAGTCCACTTTTACGAATGCCGAAAGGTGTAACAATTAGGAGTAACAATTAGGCTAGCAACTTCAAAACTATAACTCTACATGAAAACTGGACAAAGAATTCTGAACATCAGCAGTGAGTGACCCATATATAAACTCAACCTAAATCCATAATTTGATCCTCTGCAAATGTGTCTTAAAATTTTATTTCATGGTAATGGTTACCATTGCTTTTTGTCAAATTAAAACAGCATTTTTGTCATGAAAACATTAACAGATAGTTCTGAAAACCTCCGTGCATGTGTGTTTCGACTGTATATGTATGTGTTCTCCGATCAATATTTAAATGTGTTGATTGATTGATATTCTAGCCATTGATAAGCTAGCCACGCTCATTAAACATAGATAACAATCAATCAACACATTTAAATGTTAATCGAAGAATACATTATGCATATACATTCTTAATACACGCACACAGAGGTTTTCAGAATTATCCCTTAACGTTTTCATGGCAAAAGTAATGTTTTAATGTGTCAAAAAGCAAAGTGACCATTAACAATAATATAACATTTTAGGACACATTTGCAGAGGATCTGACTATGGATTTAGGTTGAGTTTACTTTTGGGTCACCCACCGTTCACAATTCTTTATTCAGTTTTCATGTAGTTCTAGTTTTTAAGTAACATGCTAGTCTAGCTGTTACCCGTCTAGCCACATCACGGCGAACCCTTTGGGAACTATTTTATATATATCATTTTAAAAAGATAATGCCCATTACATTACTTTGATTATTAAGCGCTGCCTACATTTTTTTCAAAAAAATATAATGTGATAAAAACATTTTTTAACTTCAAATTCTATTCGAATATCAAAATTCGAAGTCAAAACCCTACTGCAGACTAAATTTACGGGGGCTACCCAGAAATTTTCCCAATTTTCTTTTGCTCGTCCACGTTCTGCGCAGTGGACAAGCTCCCATGACGCGTTGCCCCAAATACACATGTGTGGCTCTCGTGCACAGAGGGGCTCGGCCGCGCTTTGACCAATCAGCGCTGCTGATCACAGCAGCGGTAGAGCTGAGCCATAGCGGGAAGGAAACGAACAGAGTTTGTGGCAGTAAAGTGTGGATTTAAAGAAATTCGAAGGATTTAAGAAGAAAACATTTTTAGGATGACAAGGGACACTAAAACCCCCACAAAATATTATCTTTATGAAAGCTGCAGGTTCTGTCAGCTGAGGTCGAGCTGTTTTAGTTTACATTGAGTTCTATGGGACTTTTTTATGGGTAGCCCATGTAAATGTAGTCTGCAGTACCACAGGTGCACCCTGTGCCCGTGGGTGGGACAACTATAAGCTAGTAATACCCTATCCAGTTATTATTATAGATCCATGGATACACCATACGACACCCTATTGCCATCTCTTGCATAGGGGTCAACTCAACTAAATCGAGCTGATCCAGAGAGCAATCTGCTCCTCTGCCTGTCTCCCCCTGCCCACGCGGTGATGTATCTTCTTGCTGTGAGTTGTTTATCTCCAAAGCAAACTCTTCAGCTTTACCCGGTGTATTTAGTAATTTCAGATCTGATAAATAAACTTTATCCGACAATGGCAACCCAACATATCAAGACCTATGTCCTCAATCCAGAATCAGACCCTAATTATTTAGTTTACAGAAGTATACGGTGAGTTAGTAGCTCTGTACTTACAGATTGGGTCTTTGTGTTAGCGTCTTTTATTGTGGGAATAACACTGGTTTCAAGATCAGTTGTTGAGTAAGACCAGTTCCATGGTAGCTGTAGTTCTGGAACAGTCTTAGTGAAGTGTCGCATACAAACAGATTTGTTGCGGATTTCAGAGGCAGTTCCCTGTGAAATAAATTGAGCTGAAGTTTTAGGGCCAAAAAGTGCGTCACATATTTACACCCAAAAACAAATGTTCTCTTAAGTTGTCGTGATCCTAATACTTTAATATTGTGTATTGTTTTCCCTGTTTTGACAACAGTATTTAAGAACCAATTAAAAAAAACAGGCTTATGCGTGAAACCGGGCATTTTGCTGTCTCTTGAGAATGAAAGAGTCTGGGCATGTGTAGGAAGGCAAAATAGCACTGTAGTCATGATTAAAGCAGAGAAAAGCGTAATATGGGACCTTTTTAAACGGAACTGGCAGCTTAAATCTCAATACATCCAATCTGCTTTTAGCATGGATTGTCTGCAGCGGTATGTGGCTACTATGGTCAGATTTTTATTAAATATGGATGTGTATTGAATTAAGCAGAAGGGGTTATATCATATACCTTGTAATTTGTGAAAAATAAATAAATACATGAACTGTTATTTTTTTGCAGACGATTATGCATTCTTAAAGGGATCTATCCACATGAACCCAAACACAAAAAGAAGGTGAACAAGGGTTCAACTGCACCGAGGACGTTCTATCTGCTTAAAGATATACGCTTTTTGCTTCACGAGCCCATTGTTGGAAAGTTCAGAGAATACAAGGTAATTCCTAACTGAGCATTGGAATTTGAGTGTGCCAAGCATAAATGTATCTCATGCTAGTTATTTCTATATCTGTACAATTCCATGGGGTAAAAAATTACTTGGGTGTAAACCCTGAGAATGAGAAACCCTGAACATGATTTTTTGTTTTCCTTTCACAGGTCTTTGTAAGGAAACTTAAGAAAGCATATGCAAAAATAGAATGGACGGATGTCGAAAGATTAAAGGAGAATAAACCAACCTACAAATTGGATCACATAATCAGAGAAAGGTGAGGGCGTAATTGTGCAACATTTAAAATCTGCTGCATGATTTAGCTGTCTGTAACAAAAAGTGATTTTCACATTAGCCTGGCTCTCGCTGAGCCAGCTCATGGATGTATTATGGCTGGGGTATGGCTAAGGGCCCACCCTTGACTCTCAAGCTTAAATTCTTTAAGGATATTCTCCACAGGCCCCAATGTTAACCAAAATTGTTCAACCTTGTTGGGGAACATACAGCTTTTTCAAAGGTCTGATTTTTGTGAGGATTCTAGGCTGCGGTCACATACGCAGCCTAAATCGCGGTTAAAAACTGCGACCAGGGCCCGCTTCCCAGCACAGATGAGGGGAGTCTGTGTCGCGGGTGGTGAGGGGTGGTGGGGACTTGATATTGTGCGTCATATTACGTCTTCCTGTGATACGCATTTTCACACAGTCTCTCCTGCACTTTTGTATTCACCGCTTGTGTCAAACCTTTCATATAAGCCCCGGACCGTGCTCGGGCAGCGCTGGGGGAGTTTCTCTCTGCAGGGCCAAAGAAAAGCGTTTCCTACGGGTATAGCTCTCTTCTGTCCTGACCCTCGCTCTCAGTGTGATGCTATTGCAATAACACTTCAGACATTCAAGAATCAGTCTTTATTTAATCACCAGAACACACACTTGTAACCTCCCTGTCTGCGATCGCTCTGCTCATAAGCCACACTTTTCATTCCTTCATTCTCATTCATTCATTTCTCAGCGCTCTTACGCTAAAGAGTGAGTGTGTGTGTGTCCGCGGCGCGCACACACACTAACACACATGTGTGCGTTCATGTTACCCACACGTTACCCAATGAATTGCTGCACTTTGCATCAGAGCAATTGGACAAGTGAGATGTATCTTTCCCTAAACAAGGCGATCTGTACTGAGTTGTTAGCTACTGTAGCTTTAGCTGTTAGCTACAGTAGCAGAATGTAAACAGGAAAAGAAGCGGATCTCAACCAGGGCAACGAGGTAGTCTGATAGTATTAGCGCCACCAGCTGGACTGAGTGTTGAACTACAGCACAATTTCCCTGGCACGGTTCAGACAATACGTTCATATGACCGCGGGCCGTTTTCACAGCCCTGTGGTGACGATCTGGGCCACTTGGCCTAGTTCGTTTGTAAAAACGTATGCGACCGTGCCCCTAGTGTCCCTTGTCATCCTGAACCTTTGTTTGGGGTTTTATATAAATCCACACTTTGCGCAACAAACTTCGCTCATTCTTGTCCCACTCAAGTTCCACTCTGATCAGTGGGGAGCTGATTGGTCAGAATGCTCAAATCTCCCTCTGCATGTGCACGAGAGAACGGTGCCATCCAGTCTGTTGATTTGATCAGAATGCTCATTTCCTTTTTGTGCGGAAGTTGGCAAATTTTTTGGGCATCCGTGGTGCGAACATGCGCCAAAGAGCACAAGCCATTGAAACGAATGGGCAAACATCTTGGAGACCAGAGGTTTGGCCCAGCCCGGCATGGTACTGTGAGGGAGATCATCCCCAGACATTGTGCTTTCACATATGAATGAAGGTGGCTTCTTTTCGGGGATGTTTTTAAAGTTCAAATGCAAATGTTCAAAATATTTAGGGAGATGTTGGAACCAATTAAATGCAAACCAATTAAATACAAAAATTGGTGTCCATCACCACACTGTCAAACTATAAAATCAAAAATGTTCAGTGCTCAATGTGGGGAAATGTGTTTTATTTTCTCAAATTCAAAGGAGTGCTCGTACCTGGTTTGTCTCTTCTCAGGAGGACACCTGGGTATTGTAACTTAGTTCAGCCCAGTTTTTAAGAAGCAGCAAGACACCCATATTGCCTAGAAAGAGTCTGGTGTGTGTGAACAGTTGGTGGTGGTCAGAGGGGCCAATGGCACATTCTGGTCGCCTCGCTTCTGTGCCCCTTCTTGCTTCTATGCCCCGGGGCAGCTGTGGCTACGGTAGTAGTTTATCACCATTGTGTATGGGGTGAAAGATTGACATATGAAGCGTCTTTGAGCGTCCAAAATAGCGGTATATGAAACCGATGCATTATTAAATGTGTCCACCAGATGTCATTGTTTCTGGCCAGACTGACAACTTTGACATATCTCAAAGGCAAGAGCAAGAAAACCCTCAATGCTTCATAGTTCCTTTGCAAAAATAAATTTATAAAAATTGAATTTCCTCTTTTTAAATAGAAAGGGAAGAATTGCCCAGGCCAAGATTAGCCTGGCACAACATTTTGAGAATGTTTTTGGCTACAAGATACAATTGTGGCTTGTGATATTTCTCTCTGAATTCAAATCCTTTTCATTCTGACTACACAATTGAGATATTTGGGGGTAATACTGGACTCAGACCTAAATTTCAATAGCCACATAAAATCAATAACATCAACAGCTTTTTACCATCTGAAGAACATTGCCAAAGTTAGAAATATAGTGTCCAGGGCAGACTTGGAGATTCTTGTCCATGCATTTGTCTCCAGCAGGCTAGACTACTGCAATGGCCTGCTTACAGGTCTGTCCAAACAGACCTGTAAGCAGCTGCAGTACATCCAAAATGCAGCAGCTAGAGTCCTGACAGGAACCAGGAAGTATGACCATATTAGTCCGGTCCTCAGGTCTCTGCACTGGCTTCCTGTGGCTCAAAGAATAGATTTTAAAACGGCTCTGCTTGTGTACAAGTCTCTCCATGGCCTTGCACCAGAATACATTAGTGACATGTTGGTGTCATATGAACCGGCCCGGACTCTGAGGAGCACAGGGACTGGCCTCCTGCTGGTGCCCAGAGTGAGAACCAAACATGGGGAGGCTGCGTTTCAGATCCATGCAGCTAAGATCTGGAACAATCTCCCTGAAAATGTGAGGGAGGCGTCTACTCTGTCAATGTTCAAATCCAGGTTAAAGACTGTTCTGTTTGCCTGTGCATATAACTGAAGGATTTTATCTCCATTTTTAATGCACTGCTGTCATTTATTTATTTTTTTAAATTTCTTGTGTAATTTTGAAAGTTTTAATGGTTTTATTCTTTTGTGTGATTTTAATGTTTTTATTGTGTTTTAATCTTTTGTGTGATTTTAATGTTTTAATTGTGATTCTGGTGTTTGTTTTATGTGATGATTTGTGATGTGGACTGTGAAGCGCTTTGTGTTGCCCTGTGTATGAAAGGCGCTCTACAAATAAACTTTGATTGATTGATTGATATTGGTCAATGAGGGTTGTTTTTGTTTGCAGGTTCCCGACTTTTATCGATGCCCTCCGCGATATTGATGATGCACTCTGCATGTGCTTCCTTTTCTCAACGTTTGCACGAACTGGAAAGTGTCATGTACAAACTATCCAACTGTGTCGGCGACTTACTGTTGAGTGGATGAACTTTGTGATTGCATCTCGTTGCCTCAAAAAAGTAATAAGTCCAAGATTACATTATCATGTGCACTTGTACATGTACTGATTATCTACTTCTTCATATGCATCCATTATGATAGGTTTTCCTATCAATAAAAGGAATATACTATCAAGCCGAGGTGATGGGGCAGCTTATAACATGGTTGGTACCATATCAGTTCTCACATGATGTAAGTACACAAGGATTACCAAGAAGAATTCCTCAGGGGAAATAACAAAACTGTCTCTTTATAGCATCCTACAGATGTTGACTACAGAGTGATGGCTACATTCACAGAACTTTACACCACTCTCTTGGGGTTTGTCAACTTCAGGCTGTATCATTCTCTTAATTTGGTTTATCCGCCAAAGGTTTGTTCTACAAACTAATATTCAATGTACTGTGAAGTTGCATGAAAATTAATAAAACAATTTTGCAGTTGGACAGTAAATCCGAGTCAGAGCTGAAAGAACAGAATGAGGACGACTATGCCATGAATTCTGAAAGCTACTTGGAGGTAAACTTTCTTAACACAATCTTGTTTTTGGAAAGTTAATATGGGCATAATTTGTTTTTTGCTATAAAATCAGAACTATCATCTTCCCTCTTGTCACTGTGTGCAGAAACTGTCTGCCTTAAGTGCCAGTCTAGCTCGAGTGGTTTCTTCAGTTGAGGAAGAGGAGAGTCTTGTGGACCAATTTCCTCCTGAAGCGGCAAGATAATTTATTCTACCTTCCCATTTTTTTTATGTAAATGCCCCAGTCACAGGTTTTATAAGCCTGAGACCAGGGATTATTACTTCATGTTTGGTTGCTAAGGACAAGTGCTTCTCACCCCAGCAGGTTGTTTTGCCTTACACATTAAAGCAGTCATGTTCCTAGAATTGATAAACGAGCACTCTTGGGTAAGCTACTTATAAAGGGTAGTTAGCTACACATTATCATATTACTCAGCTTAGTGCCTAAAGTTACATCACTATGGTGTTAATCAAATGTTATTAATTATAAAAGGCAATTAAATGACAATAAATGATAGGATGTGTTGCTGAACTGCTCATAAGATCAATAATAGATACCTAACTGCTGTTTATTGACCTAGGTTTCTGTTTACTAACGGTGTAGATGTTTTAAATTTGAATCTAAGTTTTTTGTATTATCTTAGTGTTCTAAAGTAATGTTGTTGCAATGTTTACACAACCCTTTAATGGTTTCTTCAACCACTTGGTAGACTTGAAGAGCTTGAAACTGAAATCTACCTGTTGGGGCATTTGCTATTACTCTTACCATCAAACTTCCTCAAAAACTAGGGTTTCAAAAATAAAAATAAAGCAAAAAACATTAAAACTATTTGTTATTAGTGATCCTACATCAGATAAATATATTTCTGTCTTCAAGGACTGAACATTAAAGGGTTAAAATGTAATGCCTAGCGTACATCGGACTGGCAACTGATTAGAATCTACTTAAAAAAGTAGAACACGGGCAACTGACTGAATCCGGAGACCGACTGTTTATCTCCAGTTGTAAGAGCGCTCACATCGACCGATTTCGGCAACTGATCATCTCCCTCATCTCCTCTCCGTTGCCAAAAGCCGCCTTGCAACTAGTTGTCTCCAGTTACTGTCGATGTACGCTAGGCTTAAGGTGTTAACAGTAGCCAAGAGATGTCACCTGTGGAACTTAATTATATATAGTTTAAATTTCAATATTTCATCTATAGAGCTATAAAGTTAATTATTTGCAACTAATTATTGAAATGGATGTCTACTATTTTAGGATTGAAAGTATATGCAGTCATACCTATACCTAAATACAGTTTAGCATGTATTCCAAATAAAGACAGCCTCAATATTTATTACTGTATTGATTTCTTATGCCCCTTTTGTTGCAATCACACAATTTGTATTGGTCCCTCCTCATCACAGGATTGTCTGTTTTTAATTGACCCTGTTGGAAATCAATCCACTTCATTCTAATTTATTTTACTCATTTTAGGAAGACATGGAAAATACGGAAGCCAAGGAAATGGAACTCAAACAGGAGGAAAAATCTAAAAAACTGTTTGAAGGGATGAAGATTTTCCTCAACAGAGAGGTTCCCAGAGAGTCATTGGCTTTTGTCCTGAGGTGAGTAGTGACAGCCCATGTAATGTACGTCAAGAATAATGACTTCCTGTTTTCTTCTAACAAAAATTTTAGATAAAAAAGGGGCACTTCTCAATATTGGCCCTCGTTGTGCCGATTCTGACACTAACCCTAGACCCACAGAATAGTGTGTGCTATGACTGAAACCACTGTGAAATATGAAACCAGATTCTGAAATACTGGACTGTCTACTTTTAGCTGCGAAAATCAGTTTGTTTTAGCCTGTTTTGTTCTCCTGTAATCCCCAGTCAAAAAGAGTGAAGTGACAAATCATCAATTTGAGACAAAAAGCTGAGAAAATAAGGTTTCAAAACGCACCATGCAGAAACATGATTTTTAACCCTTAGTTTAACTTTTGCTTGGCCTCTTGCATGTTAGAAAACGGCAATAACAAGTCAGTCAAACTGTTTTTGATGCAATATAATGTATTGAATTTCAAGAAGTGCGTATTTACTTGGGCTGTCAAAATTATCGCGTTAACGCATGTTACATTTTTTTTCATTAATCGAGTATGCATCCCATAATAACACTCAGAATGGCGCGGACACATGCGTGTGTGAGATGGCGACAGAGCAGGTAGGCCCTTTTGGGAATTCAAGTTTAAAAAGAAAATGCGCGTGACCACGGGGCACTTGCTCTTGTTTGCAATGAACTCAAACGGGATTCTGCGGCCGCTCTGGCTAGTGGTTCCCACCTCTAGCGGCCATCGCTTTGATAACAACACGGTGAACGGCGCCGCCGTAACGTCACACGCGCAGGACTATTCTCTGCTTGTTGTGTACAACCTGTGCATGATGCAATAAATACACCTCTGAACCTGGACTACGGAGCCTCGGTCTCCTCCGTGTCTCCTCTTTGTCTTCTTCCAAAGCGCACTCGCTAAATTAAAGCTGGGGTACGTAATTTTTCCCTTCCACTACCAGTTCATGTTGGTTGTGCCCAAAAGTAAAATGTTGGGAGCAAATCAGATTTAATGACTTTCTACATTTAAGACTTTTTTGAAATGTCCCTCATCCCTGTAACAAACGGTATTTTTGGTCTGAGTCACAGAAAGACAGAACGTTAATGTTAATGCCATATTATATGGATTTATTGTCATAACAAACATACTGTACATATGTACACTATGTTGTCATGTATCTTTCCATTCAAACGGCCATTTACGAAAAATATGGCATCCTTTTGCCGATAGTTTGAAATGCGATTGATTACGATTAATTAATTTTTAAGCTGTAATTAACTTGATTAAATTTTTTTATTGTTTGACAGCCCTAATATTTACACATTGAAAGTTGAACCCATGACAAACTATACCAGAAAGAATGGCCAGTATTCATCCTTTAGGTGGCGCTGTATTTATGTAAATAATAATAATAAGTCACAGAATAACAATTACAATGATAAACACAATAAATTACAATAGGAGTGTGACAATATATCGATATGGTGATGTATCGTGATACTTTCTCACGCAATCGATTATCGATATGTTTTTTATCAAAAAAAGGTTTTGAATAAAAAAAAAACAAGTATTGATACTCCAATATATGGCTACATTACTCATTCTACAATTCTGTCGAATGTTCCTATTATATTGGATGTGAGACAGATTAAGATTTTTACTAAAATGTGGTTAAAAGGCGTTTTTGCTTGTTCACTTTCATGTTTCACTTTCATCCCCCGCTGAAAGATCTCAGCTCCTGTGGACTCACCACCTGCAGGAGGATCATTGAGAGGCTGGTGCTCTGTGTACTGGGTGCAGCTCTGACTGTCACCCCCGGACTCATAAATGGATTAAGGGGAAGAAAATGGATGGATGGATGGGCACTTTTATGTTACACATGACACTTTCCATTTATCTTGAAATAAAGTGAATTTTTTCACTTCATTTATGCCAGAAATATGAGAAATATTTTTGACTAATATCAATAATTGCTGCATCGTCATATCGTGAGATAATAGTTATCGTGAGCTTTGTATCGCGTATCGTATGTGTAGGTTCCCTGAGGTTCCCACCCCTAAATGACAATAACCCAAAGTAGGATCTTTTTGCTCCATAATCAATTTTAAAACCATTTTTATTTTGTTTCCCCCATAATCAGAATCAGAATCATTTTTATTGCCACGTAAGTAACAGGAGGTCACAGACTAGGAAATTGCTTTGGCTCAGTGCAACAGTCAAAAAGAGATAATAAAAATAAGAATAAAAAACACTTCTAAAGAATAAATTTACATTTAAAATAGAGTTACAGTTACTATTTACAATATACAAGTGCACATGGTGCACACAATGTAAGGTGACAGCAGTACAGTGAAGTAAAGTGACGTATGATGGGCAGTAAAGTGACTTTATAAAGGGCGGGGGGACAGGTTAAGAAGTGTTCAAGAGTCCAACAGCAGAGGGGAAGAAACTGTTCTTGTGGCAGGAGGTTCTAGTCCTGATGGACCGCAGCCTCCTGCCTGAGGGGAGTGGTTGGAATAGTCCATGTGCAGGGTGAGAGGGGTTGGCTGTGATACGACCAGCCCGGCCTCGAGCTCGGGCGACGTACAGGTCCTGCAGCGATGGAAGGCTGCGGCCGATCACTTCCTCTGCAGAGCGCACAATGCGCTGTAGTCTCTGTTTGTCCCTGACTGTGGCTCCAGCGAACCACACGGTGATGGAGGAGGTGAGGATGGACTCGATGATGGCCGTTGTGACGGGGTGAGCCCGTCCCTGAGCACGCTGTCCCACGGAGCGCATGTGAAGATGCGTGCGCCCGGTGCCATGGTGGCTGCGCGCAACGGCCAAGCCCATGCATTGACTACTGCTAGGAACTGTGTTTGTGACATGTAGCGTGCGTGAACGCGTCTTCAGGGTGCACACTTGGAAGCGTTGCATGGTGTGTTAAATCTAGTTACATGTGTCATTCACTCGCCTGTGCTGGCGTGGTCGTGGCGTCTCCATGGTGCGGTTTGGCAAACCCGGACACAAGGAGCCATAGGATTAAATGCGCCTGTCTGTGGGTCATGTGACCACAGCTCATTTGCATGGACATTTGGACTCTTCGTAGTGTGCTCATAATTTATTTCATTGTATATGTGTCAATGTAGAATTGTAATGTGAAATCATGAACCTAAGGAAAGCGCCATGTATTGTAGATATGGTTGGTTATTAGGATGATTGGTTTTGTAACGTGGGAGGGGCCGGCAGGGTACATAAGGTGTGCTTGTCTGCCCCATGGCAGTCGTGACTTGGTTACAGTGAAGGTAACGTGGACTGCAAGAGCAAGTGTTACAGTATAGGGAAAAGAGACTTATTGCAGAAGTCGTGTATATTTTTATTTGTAAATATCCTTTTCGCCTGAAGACTTTTCACTGTGCTCTGTAAATACGTGTTTTGTAATTTCCCACTGTTTTTTCTACTGAGAGTTTTTAATTTAAAAACTTCTGAAAACGCCCTTTCCGACCAAGCCATGTGTTCTGTAAAAAGAACCTTCACAGCCGTGTAGAACTGCACCAACATCTGTGCAGGCAGCTTGGCTTTCCTGAGCTGCCGCAGGAAGTACATCCTCTGCTGGGCCTTCTTGATGAGGGAGCTGATGGTCGGCTCCCACTTGAGGTCCTGGGTGATGGTGGTGCCCAGGAAACGGAAGGACTCCACAGAGGTGATGGGGGAGTCCATCACGGAGGGTGGGGGTGGGGGGACAGTGCTCTTCCTGAAGTCCACAATCATCTCCACTGTCTTCTGGGCGTTCAGCTCCAGGTTGTTACCACTGCACCAGGACACCAGCCGGTCCACCTCCCTCCTGTAGGCGGACTCATCGTTGTTGGAGATGAGTCCCATAATGACATGAAAACACATTTTTTGGAGATTTTTGCAAATGTATTACAAATAAAAAACAAATCACATGTACATAAGTATTCACAGCCTTTGCCGTGAAGCTCAAAATTGAGCTCAGGTGCATCCTGTTTCCACGCATCATCCTTGAGATGCTTCTACTGCTTCATTGGAGTCCACCTGTGGTAAATTCTGTTGATTTGACTTGATTTGGAAAGGCACACACCTGTGTGTGTATATAAGGTCCCACAGTTGACAGTGCATGTCAGAGCACAAACCAAGCATGAAGTCAAAGGAATTGTCTGTAGACCTCCGAAATGGGATTGTCTTGAGGCACAAGTCTGGGGAAGGGTACAGAAAAATGTCTGCTTTGAAGGTCCCAATGAGCACAGTGGCCTCAATCATCCGTAAATGGAAGAAGTTTGGAGCCACCAGTACTCTTCCTAGAGCTGGCCATCTAAACTGAGCGATCGGGGTAGAAGGGTCTTAGTTAGGGAGGTGACTAAGAATCCGATGGTCACGTTGTCAGAGCTCCAGCGTTCCTCTGTAGAGAGAGGAGGACAACCATCTCTGCAGCAATCCACATATCAGGCCTGTATGGTAGAGTGGCCAGACGGAAGCCGCTCCTAGGTTTGGAGTTTGCCAAAAGGCATGAGTAAAAAACTCCTCTGGTCTGATGAGACAAAGATTGAACTCTTTGGCGTGAATGCCAGGCGTCATGTTTGGAGGAAACCAGGCACTGCTCATCACCAAGTCAATACCATCCCTACAGTGAAGCATGGTGGTGGTAGCTAGCCTGACTCTCGCCAGACCCATGTAGTTCGCTCGAGTTCGCTGCACTTCACACATGAGTCTGGTACTGAGCCATAGTGGTTGGATTTCAGAAGGCAGGGCCTTGTAAAAAAAAATCCTTGTATGTGATTGGATAGATCACTTGTCCGTTATCTTGAATGAAGTCTGCTTTCAACCACTCACATCGAAGCACACGGCTACCATAGGTTGCCAAATCCCAGCAAGATTTTCCAACCCAAAATCCGCGAGAATACCCAAAAAAACAAAACACTCAATGATTTTTTGGCTAAAAACGTAATATAATCAACTTGGGCTATCATGATTCTCTTTATCATTTAATACCTACAAGTCTCTTGGAAAAAAATATGCGGGAACCACCAACCCTGCTGCATAGTGTAAAAAGGAACACTGAACCAGTGCTTCAACCAAACTTTACAGAAACATTTGACTCCTAAAACACACATATATCAACATAGAACCATCAACATCTCGCCTCAAATTGCATTAAAAGTGACATCTGTGTCTTAATTCGAAAAAGATTCGCGGACTTTACGTCCGCCATCTTGGATTCCTCTCGCTGCTGCATGAGAGAAGCTTGAGAAGGCAGTGCAAACCCCACGTAACACCGGCAATTGTGATTGGTTGATTAAAAAATAATCTGGGGAAGGCGTTCGCTATGACGTCGATACCAGACCCATGTGGTTCAGCCAAACGCCTCTGGTGGAGCATGGCGGAACTACAAGGGTCTGGCAGAGCCAGGCTAGGTGGTAGCATCATCTGTGGGAATGTTTTTCAGCGGCAGGAACTGGGAGACTAGTCAAGATAGAGGGAAAGATGAATGCAGCAATGTACAGAAACATCCTGGATGAGAACCTGCTCCAGAGTGCTTTTGACCTCAGACTGGGCGACATTTCATCTTTCAGCAGGACGACCCTAAGCACACAGCCAAGATAACAAAGAAGTGGCTTCAGGACAACTCTGTGTATGTCCTTGAGTGGCCCAGCCAGAGCCCAGACTTGAATCCAATTGAACATCTCTGGAGAGATCTGAAAATGGCTGTGCACCGACACTCCCAATCCAACTTGATGGAGCTTGAGAGGTGCTGCAAAGAGGAATGGGCAGAACTGCCCGAAGACGGGTGTGCCAAGGTTTCATCATAGTAAAAAAGACTTGAGGCTGTAGTTGCTGCCAAAGGTGCGTCAACAGTATGCACTGTTGATTAAGCAGTGCATACTGCTTAATCAACAAGTATTAAGCAAAGGCTGTGAATACTTATGTACATGTGGTTTCGCAATAAAATACTGTTTACAGCCAAACCCCAGAAATAGGATTTGATTATTTTTTTTCAATTGGCGGATTAATGCGTCCATGGCAGTCAATGTTTTAAATTCCATCCATCCATTTTCTACCCTTTAATCCATTTCTGGGTCAGGGGGGTGCCACCCAAGTCTCATAGCACCAGCCCCTCACTGACCCTCTGCAGGTGGTGAGTCCACAGGAGGACGGCTGCTCTCTGACTGTGAGCATAGCCTTGATCTTTCAGTGGGGGCTTTGGGCAAAGTGGGGTTAAGTGTCTTGCCCAAGGACACAACGACAGCAGTCATCAGTGGGAGTCGGTGGAGAAGGTGTAGAGGTGGGAATTGAACCCACGACCTTCTGGCCTTAAGGCCAATGCTCTACCAACTGAGCTACTGTCGCCCTTTAAAGTCAGTAAAGTCAAAGGGCGGCACGGTGGCTGAGTGGATGGCACTCTTGCCTCTCAGCAAGAAGGTCCTGGGTTTGAATCCCGGTTCCACCACTCAGTGGAGTTTGCATGTTCTCCCTGTGTCTGCATAGGTTTCCTCCGGGTACTCCGGTTTCCCCTACCAATAAAAACATGCACAATAGATCTGGCATGTGCCTCCTGTACTGGCGCCCCCTCTCCCCTCTCCCATCTCTGTGGAGTGAGAGGACAAATGCCCAAAAATAACAATTCTAAACTGCTTTGAGACTCTGATCTGCAGTGAAAAGGCGGTATATAAATAAAAGATTACTTAGATTACTTACTAAAGTAGTTCTTAATGTTATGCAGAGATCATTTACTCAATTTCCAAAATATAGATATTCAGAGTTGAGAATAACCTAACCAAGGATCAGTGACTTGCAGTGAGGTTGGTGATTGGGGTGAAGTCGGTGCCTCACCAATCAGATGTCCACATATCATATAAATCAACGCGACCTATAGAGCGGCTTATTCACAATTTGTTTGGCTACGGCAGAAGGTTTCATGCCCGCATTGTTTGCTCATTTAAAACGCAAGAGTATGTAAAAAGCACATTTCAAAGTGTGCGTGTGTCTGTCATAGTTTATCATCACCGTGTATGGAGTGAAAGAATAATGACATGTAAAGCGACTTTGAGTGTCCAGAAAAGCGCTATATAATACCGATTTATTATTATTATTATGATGGGTCTTACCTTAAACTGCACAGACTTCAGTTCAGACCAGTTTCATGTTTTAAGTCCAGATAATAGTTTGAGCGCAGATATGTAATAATCCTCCTTTTGGAAATAAGTTCAATACGTTTTAAAAAGTAAAACAAAACGGGTCTCATCCATAAACTTGTGTTTTGCAAGCTGCAGCCGACTCACAGGTGCATCCAATTTATAAAATCAACCTTACCCTCCACCTCTTTATCATTCATATCATCATTGGAAGCATAAAACTACCCTAAGTTCATTATAAATTATCTTAAAATGTGTTATATGTATGTTAGCCAAACCTGTGGCTGCCCTTAGAAGAACAAGAAAGGAGCTTTCTGATGAAATTGGATGCTGTCAAATTCTGCGCTCACAAGCGCCCCCTACACTGAGGCTGGCCTCAGTTGGTGATATTACAAGCTGTGGTTGAGCACGATTAAGACCCATATTTGTAGTCATAACACAATTTATGACTCATCCTCTCAAAGGTAGACTAGCAGCGCACAGGCCTCTCTCCCAGTGAGCTATGGGCTTTTTCGTCTCTCGTGAGGCTCGCCTCACAGCACGCCGCTCTGTCAAATATGCAATTTCAAGGTTGAAAAAAAAAAAGATATACGATGTAAGCTAGCTATGTTCACCTGGGCTTGATTTATTTTTTGATAATTTTTTCGCTTTAGTTCCCTCTTCTCTTCCTCACTGTTTCGTTGTTTGGACTGTTTTGCTTTGTATGCAATTACAGCCAGAGGAGTTAGAGCCAAGTCTGCTAACATTCTACTGTGTTTAGCAACGCTGTAGAGCAGGGGTCTCAAATCGGTTCCAGAAAGGGCCATGTGGCTGCAGGTTTTACTTCCAACAGTTCCAAACTGAGCAGGAGCACAGATGACTCCACCCATTTCCTCAAATCTTCAGGTTAAAACTAGACTCACCTGAGGAAATGGGTGGAGTCATCTGTGCTCCTTCCAACAGTTCCAAACTGAGCAGTAAAACCTGCAGCCACATGGCCCTTTCTGGAACCGGTTTGAGACCCCTGCTGTAGAGGCTAGAGGACACCGCCTCGTTCTGTGATTGGAGGAGAGCAGGCGTCACGCTGGCGTCACGCTAAGTCTCTACTCAGCACATTTTACGGCCTGAATTCATACGCAAGCTGAATCAATAAGCTCAAGTTTTCAATTAAATTACGGATTATAATACAACTTGTATGTAGTAATAAGCATTTTTATTCATTCATTACAAAAAAAACGGGTATAACTTTAAGTGTAATACGTATTGTGAGCATGTGGTGCTGATGTAGTCATCAAAAACAATTTGACACAAGCATGATGTATTTGTGTTTTGACTGAAAGCCGCTCAACAGCGTGTGATAGGCCAGCCCCGGCAGTTAAAATCTGAGTGCAAAACAGTAACATTCTTTTGAGATTAGTTCTTGAAATAATTTTTGTAACATAATATTTATCCAAATTATGTAGAGAAGTAGATTAAAACATGATACTGTGTATAAAATGACACATTCCAAATTGTTCTACCTATTAGGTGTTTTGGAGCTGAAGTTTCTTGGGACAAGTCTGTCTGCATTGGAAGCACATATGAAGTGACAGATGAAACCATAACGCATCAAATTGTTGACCGGCCAAGCATTGACCAACAGTATATCAACAGGTACAACAATTCTTCATTATCATATTGCTATTATTATTTAATGTTGTTATAGGTTATTTTAAGATTGTCTTTATTTTTACAGATTTTACATCCAACCACAGTGGGTCTATGATTGTGTCAATGCCAAGATTGTGTTACCAGTAGAGGACTACTTCATTGGAGTGAACCTGCCACCGCATCTCTCACCTTTTGTGGAGGAGAAGGAAGGAGATTATGTGCCTCCTGAGAAACTAAACATCATAGCCATGCAGCAAGGACACAAATCAGGTTGATTCTTTTTAGTATTTTAAATTTGATCTTTTTCTAACATGCGGTATAACGTACAGAAAATCTTTATGTTTATGCTTTTGATATTGCTGTAGATAATGAAGGCAAAGAAGAAGAGGCCAGTGACGATGATGATGACGATGATGAAGAAGAAGAAGAGGATGAAGAAGCAGAGGACGAGAAGGAGGAAGAAAACCTGCAGAAAATGGAAGAGCAAAGGTCCAAAGGAAAAGTAATACAATCCCACTCAATGAATCAATTAAATATGTTAAATCTGATTCCCTGACAGGACATTTTGTTCGTATGAAATCATTACAGGTGACAGTGACGCCTGGAAAAATGAAAGTTGAAAATCCAGCTCGCTTGGAGCAGGAGGAAAAAGCAGAGGAGAAACGTCTGGCCATTATGATGATGAAGAAAAAGGAAAAATACCTCTACGATAAGATCATGTTTGGAAAGAAAAGAAAAGTCCGAGAGGTTTGTTCATTTTTGTTATTGATTTACTTTAGGGTTGCATTGATATGATTCACATAAAGTGTTCTGGAAAGATAAGATCTACATTTTAAACTTTGCAACATTTTCCTGATTGTTAACATTTAACAATTTTTGTTCACTGCACAAGGACGTGCGGGTAGCCCAGTTCTGATATTTGCAGTTCAGTGACCTCTCAAATTGGATTTGTGCTTCACCTTTAATCAATACACTATACTTTTGCAGGCGAACAAGTTGGCAGCCAAGAGGAAAGCTTATGATGATGCTGAAAACGCAAAGAAGAAGAAAAAATCCAGAAAATGACCTGTCTTTAGATACAGAATAAGCACAGCCTAAGTATAAACATTGTGTCAGTGAACACTTGCTATATGAACGGTTCACTGTGTAGGTCCACCATCTACTCATCTCAAAGTTGTCTCCCTGTCATACAATACTATACAAAATGAAATAAACCTCTTTCATTGTCATTTCTTGGATTGTTCTGCTTTGTTATTATTCAGTCAATGTAAGTACTGCATTTCATGAAAAAAAGGTATAGACCCTCAGACTGCATTCTTTTTTAAATTCCAATTTTAGCAAACTGGACAGTTATATAAAATTATAACCTTTTAATTAAGAATCTTGTATCTGAGGTTTATTTTTTTCTTCATGATTAATTAAGCGATTCTTTATTTGGAGGGGTTGATGATGGGTAGCTAACATGTTATTGTAAACTTAGTGAGTTGTGTGTTAAAAAAAATGCTCTTGTTTATGGGTCCTTGGGTGCTGCAGACGACCACTGTTCTTGACGGAAGGATGGGTCTAAAGGAGAAGAAAAAAATCCCTATAGGGACAAAGTATACCACAATTTGTTTTTGTTTTTTTTGCTACAAACTTTTAAGAGTGTAAATATCAGGAACATTGCTTCTAACTATATTTTCACAGTCAAATACAAAAATGGCACAGTTGTGGGGTTATAAGCTAAACCAGACCTTATCAAACTTTTTAATTTAAGTGCACCACACCCATATTCCCGTTTTTGGTTTTCATTGAATGTTCAGCTCAGATGGGCACCAGCACTTCATTCTGTGATTTGGGTGTGGTACATTACACATCCATGACTGGGCTGTAAACGGCATTAAATATTTGTCAGTATTCACTAGTGCGCCGAAGGTTACCGGCTAGGTGCACTTGCCAACTTTTTCCAACCAAAATAAGTGCTGTGAGCCCTGTCAGAAGTGTCAAGATATCTTGAACTGTAGATAGAATTCTCCATCTACAGTTCAATCTGCAGTCCAACTGTGCCCACCCAGTCCATTCCTTCTGTGGCACAGCACAGCCAGAACAACAAAAGCCTCACTGTCATGTCAGAACATGATTGTGGGACAGGCAGCACAAATCGAGTCATGAATTCCTGTATATCCAATGCCAAGATTGCTCAAGAATAGTGAATATTGCACATCGATTAAATGTCTCTGCAGAATAAAATCCCACTCCTGTTACAATTTTAAAGTACCTTTTTATAAACTGGAAGTTAGTTGAACAATTATTAAACAGTCATATTGAGAAATCAAGGGGTACAGTAACATCTTTGTTCTTAATCCCGCTTCCTTCGTTGCTTTATGCTGTATTCACCCCTCCTATCAGCTTGCAACTTGGACGCCACTGTCTGCACTCAATAGCCCTCTGTATGTAGACACAGAATGGAACTATACAATCTCTCCCATCCCTCCCTCTTTTACACTTGCACTGACAAGTGCGTGTGTCCCTTGATGAGGTCTCTTACGTCACAGGTGGGTGGTAAAGCCTCCCTGTAGTGCTTAATTCAGCAAGCTCTGACTTTGAATTGCATGGGGGAGGTGGCAGCTCTGAACATGCAAGCTGTGGGAGTAATAGGAGAAGACGCTCTAAATGACTGGTGTCCATTGCATGGGACATGTGAGACGCTCAATAGGCTCCAGCCTCCATGCATCACTCGAAAGTTTCTGGTCAATAAGTTCCCTGAATCGAGAAGACGCGCCCAAAAGATGACCCAAAAGATCTATCTGGTCTTTGATTAGATTGAGGTAGGTGAACATTTTTAAGCTCTTTCTATATTAACCTTGTATGCACCAAAGTGTCAGCATTAAACCCCATACGGACTTGGCTTCTTGCAAACGTTTGCAAGAACTGCGTATGGAAAACACGATGGCATTTATAAAACATTCATAATCATGTACTGTCCACATAATTTAAGGGCACTAGATGTGCTCAAGATGAGCAACAACGTTGTCTGTTCTATTACAGTGCTGCATTCAAAAAAGAACGTTGACTTCTGAACATTCTCGTCAATCGGATTAGCTCTCATTAATATTACATCTGGTAAATGATACATTTGTGGAAACGTTTTGAGTGTGATGATGGGTGAGAGAAACTGGAGTGTGTCCTAAAATAAACTTCCAATTCACCGTTTGAATCTTTAGAGCAACCAACGTGCGTTACGGTAAGGCAAATGTATATAAAGCACTATTCATGCAGAAGCAACACAGGGTGCTTAATAGGCACAGAATTAATATTGGTAAACCAAACTGTTTAGGAATAAAAACCTGTATAGAATGCGAAAAATATACAATGTACTTATACACAAACACATGCACACATCTGCATTTAAAAAAAAAAAATAGTTTTTCTGAGTCAGTACGTTTATGGAAAATATCTGTGGTGAATAGCCATGCTTTAATGGCTAACTATTCCAAACCTATGAGTCCACAGGAGCCTTACTGGCAAACAGAGGCAAACTCCAATGAAAATGTACATAGTACAACTTTAGGCTGTGAGTCCACTAATGATTCGTTATGCTGTCTATTATGTATACTTTATTGGGCTGGTAAAATTGAAGTGTTGTTCATTTATACTCACAAGTACTCACAAATATATGTCCTGAACAAACATTTGAGTGGACTTAATGTACAATAAAGTATAACTAGGTTATGCCATGTCTCTGTAGGTTGAACTGGGTGATTGCGGAGTCAGCCTGAGGCTCCTCTTAACCTCCATCTGTTGAAAATGAAAGATTACTTTCTACTGTAATAAATGAATAATTAAATGAGGCATGTGCCCACAAGAACATTTTCAAGTATTGTTTAACTGTGGCTTTGATTAGTAGATATAACCGATATTTTCTGCTTTTTCATTTTAATTGAATTTACAGAATTATGATGTTGAAGGTAAAGCACTGGAGATCTATGTGCTATAGGCTTGTCCTGGGTACTGCTGTGACCAGCTGCATGATCCTTCTTTACTGCATGTCTATGCCACAAGTTAACATCAGTTTGCCTGAGTAAGTATACACCAGCATATACCCTTTTTGTGAGATATGTTTTATGTTTTTTCTTTTTTTTAGAGTCCCTGTGCCTTATTCCTGTGCCCATCACCCATTTAATCTGAAGCTCAAAAGTACCATTAATTCTTCTGAGCAAAGCAACAGTAAAACATGCTCTCCCAAGGTGGACATAATGTTCTTGAAGACTCACAAAACAGCCAGCAGTACTTTTCTCAACATACTTTTCCGCTTTGGTGAGAAGCATCGGCTCAAGTTTGCTTTCCCAAATGGTAGAAATGACTTTTTTTACCCTTCCTTCTTTGAGCGATCACAAGTCAAAGACTATAGACCTGGAATGTGTTTCAATGTTGTTTGTAATCACATGCGATTCAACGCTCCAGAGGTGGCAAAGGTTCTCCCAATGGATACAACCTACATCACTATTTTGCGAGACCCAGCAGAGCTTTTTGAATCATCTTTTCATTACTTTGGTCGATTAGTTCCTTTCACCTGGAAGATACCTGGGGATGATAAGATATCGGAGTTCTTACTCAACCCTGATAATTATTTTGATCCACACAGTTTCAACTCTTTCTACCTCAAGAATCTGCTATTTTTTGACTTTGGTTTAGATAACATGCTTCAAGTGACCGATCCACAAGTAGAAGAAGGAATTAAATCTATTAGTGAACGTTTTCACCTGGTCATGATGGTGGAGTACTTTGAGGAATCTCTAATTTTGCTTAAGGAGGTCCTCTGTTGGGATATGGATGACTTGCTTTTCTTCAAGCTCAATGCACGTAAAGGCTCCACTGTATCCAAACTAACTCATGAACACAGGGTAAAAGCTCTTGAGTGGAACGACATTGACTGGAAGCTTTATCGTCACTTCAATAGAACCTTCTGGGCCAAAGTGGAAGCCTATGGACAGCAACGCATGGCCCTGGATGTGGCTGAGCTCAGGAGAAGGAATGCAGAGATGACAAAACTCTGTATTGAGGGTGGTCAAGCTGTGGAGGCAGGCAGGATCCATGAGACAGCCATGCAGCCCTGGCAACCTATTGGAGAAAAATCAATTATGGGCTACAATTTAAAACCCAATGTGGACAAGGCATACAGAACGCTCTGTCGAAAGATGTTGACCCCTGAGTTACAATACTTGACAGATTTAGGTGTTAATCTCTGGATCACTAAACTGTGGGGACATGTTCGAGATATCATAAACTGGTGAAGAAGTTGCCTGACCATCAAATGACAGTAAAAGTGTGTAGTTATTACTGGTCAGAAAAGTCAAGAGAAGAGAACAGAGGCTGTTGTCAGATTTCAGTGTTGTCATTCATGAAATATTGTTCCTATATTTTAACTGTATATTGTTTGGTGCTTTTTAAGCTGTATATTTTATACTGTTCCCAATAACACACAAACCTTACATAAGTTTTATGTTGTACGCTTTAATTTTCTTTCCTCAAGTTTATGTAAACAATGTTTTTAACCTGCAGATTTCTCAATCAGTATTTCTGTTCTAAACATGTATTCTTTTAACTAGAGGTCTGTGGGTATGACACATATGATTATATATACATATGTATACATATATTTCTTTTAATTCACATACATGATACACTGGTAAACTGTTTGTCACATTTTGCCAGCCTGGAAAAGCAATGGCTTTAGAGAGTACCCAGTGAAGAGAATAAAATGTCACGTTACTCATGTTAAGTTAATTATCATTTGCATCATACATCTAGCACTGTGAGATGTTAGGTGCAATATAGTTAAAATGTGTTTTATAATACATTTAAAACATATATTAATAGTACCAAGGCTGTCGTATTAGTGCCCACAATAAGCAAATTGTTAATACAACCTAAACTGCATGAAAAGAGAAGTAGAGATTTTTTTGAATTAGGGAAACATTTCACATTTGTAGAATAATGTTTCATTATGCTATTACTTCATTTGATATGAAGTAATAGCAACATCTGTTATGCTTGTTCAATTAAAGACTAATTTTAACATAAATGGGTATGGTACATGGATCTATTATAATGACGGTCCATGATGCTACAGTCTATGGATGCCACCGAGCGAGCACCGCGGTTTGCTGAAAGGAGATCTCAAATCCTTGCTGCCCCCTACGGAGCAAACTCACAACCTGCATCCCGATAATATGATGCATCTGTGCTTGCGTCCCAGTGGTCCCAGTCAATGTTTACTACTCACAGCCTCCCTAGTTGAGCGATGAGTGCAATGCATAAACAGTTTTGCACTCATGGTTTATGTAAACCACCAAGTTATAATGAAAATATATTTTTGGTTTAAAAAATAAAATAAAAACAAAAACTTTAAACTAAATGAAAAAAAACAAAAGTCCTATTGTAATTATTAGAAAATACCTCAACTTGTGATATTGAAAATGTTTATCACAGAAATCCTTACTTGACTAGGCTACATAAAACATAACAAAAAAAAACCCAATCACTAGAACTTAACATACTACAAAATAAGAAGTAATGTGTCAGTAATGTCATGAGTCACACCAAGACGACAATAAAAACTTCTAAAAAGCACAAAAGCAAAATTATTTTTCTACCAAAATTTATGGAAATATTCTACTAAAAAATATTGCAAATACGACCAAACAAAGAGGTCACGCATTTACTTTTATTTATCGAGTCTCAAGATCTGTGACCTTGTGTTCACAGAGCCAGTGCTCCAGTTCTACACCATAGACTATATATTTCTACACACGTGTAGGATGAGGGGGGATCTATCTAACCCGATAGATCAACGGTATTTACAGTATATGTGGTATCATGGATTATCTACTCATTTGGTCTGGAACTAAAGACCCATGGTTACAGTCTGGGGGCGTGGCTGTGGACGCAGACGCCTGCGGCATCTGTATGCTAGTTTAGCTATGCTAGTTTCGAGTTAACGTCCTTGTTGTTTGGAAATTAATTCATAGTTTACATATTTTTGGAATAAAATTAGTTGCCAAATGTAGCTTTGTGCAAACACTTTATAGATCTCAGCATCTTAGCTAATCCGCACACGTTAGCCTAAGCCTGTTTGCTAACAAGTTGGAGATCGTTGGGAAGGAGGAGGTAAGCGTGTTTATTTCACATCTTTGTGAGGTTAATAGTTCGATGACATATTATTAATTCTCTGTTGCAGACATTTTTGAGTTAATTATTAATTGTGATATTGTTTAGACATGTTTTAGGGTCGGCTTGTCTTGTGCTGCGACCTGGCGATGACATATTCCGATGCGTTCACGATCCACAATGAGTTGTAAATCCAAAGTGGCTCCTAGTGTAGATTTTGACCACAGCTGCTCTGACAGTGTGGAGTATCTGACCCTTAATTTTGGTCCATTTGAGACTGTCCACCGCTGGCGAAGACTCCCTCCTTGTGATGAGTTTGTAGGTGCCAGGTAAATGGCCTGAATGATTATTAACTGGATAACTATTGGTTTTGTTTTGATTAATCTGTTTTTATTTTTCAGACGAAGCAAACACACTGTTGTAGCCTACAGAGATGCCATATACGTGTTTGGTGGAGACAACGGGTGAGTATTGAGTACTAGTATTTTAAACAATACAACTTTCTTCACATTAATGGTATGGTGTCATGATTTGTATGCAAATATTGTGCTACTAATATTTGTCCTATTATTCTCTAGGAAGAATATGCTAAATGACTTACTTCGCTTTGATGTCAAGGACTGTTCATGGTGCAGGTAAGACATAATGCAATATGGGACCATGCTTTCCTACAATTACAACTAAGCAGTGCAGGGCCTGGTTTGTATTGTGATGGCAGACCTCTTGGAACAGCAGGTGCCATAGTGGGATGGCTGTAAATTTATCATATACTTATGCAAGACCCTTCCCTCACATTGCGTTGTAAGAACCTGGTGATTGAGTGACAGTGATTGGTGGTGGTTGGAGAGGCTGGTGGCATAAATGAGTTGCCTCACTTCTGTCAAATATGCCTAGGGCAGCTTTGTCCACAGCAGTAATTTATCACTGTGTATGAAGTGATCTAATAATGCCATGTTAAGGTTCTCTGGGTGTCATGAAAAGTGATATTTAAGTACTGTTCAGTATCATGATGATGATGATGATGATCATAGTATTACAACATTTGTTGCCATTTATGTTTCGTATAGAGAGAACACATGTTGCACTCAGGTGATTTAGGATAGAATTAGTGAATGCTTCATTCATGCAGTGGGCCCTGGGATTAAAATCAAATGTACATATTATTCTTTTAGTAGTCGTGTTTTTATGTTATGATTTGCAGAGCTTTTACCACTGGAACCCCACCTGCTCCCAGATATCACCACTCTGCCGTTGTGTATGGAAGCAGCATGTTTGTGTTCGGTGACTCACTTCTTTCTCAGATTTACCAGATAAGTTTAAATTTTCCATTTGAGTAATGTTGTCCTTGTCACAATCATTCTATTAGGGGGTTATACTGGTGACATCTACTCAAATTCAAACTTAAAGAACAAAAATGACCTTTTTGAATACAAATTTGCCACTGGACAGTGGACTGAATGGAAGGTAGATGGAAGGTAAGCAACACTAATCTTTTGGATTCAATAACACCTGTTTATTGCTGAATTTATTCAAACTTTGTTGTGTTTTTAGCTTGCCTGTGGCTCGGTCTGCACATGGAGCCACAGTCTACAATGATAAACTCTGGATATTTGCTGGCTATGATGGAAATGCAAGGTGAATATTGTTTTTATTCCTTACTATACATTACTTTACTTGTTCACTGTTTTAATTTTATTTTTGTGTTTTAGATTGAATGATATGTGGACTATAAGCCTTCAGGACAGAGAGCATGCCTGCTGGGAAGAGGCCAGTGGACATCTTCTTAAAATAAATAAAATACTTAAGTTAATCTCATACCCATTACTGATGTTCTACTGTTTAACAGATTGATCAGAGTGGGGAAATTCCGCCATCTTGCTGCAACTTTCCTGTTGCTGTTTGCCGAGACAAAATGTTTGTGTTTTCTGGTCAAAGTGGAGCCAAAATCACCAATAATCTTTTTCAGTTTGAATTTAAAGGACACATGTAAGCTGTATTTAATTTGTCATTAAAATGTTGGTTTCCTGATTTATAATGATTCTTTACGGTCACAGGTGGACACGTATCCCAACTGAGCACCTACTCCGAGGCTCTCCTCCTCCACCGCAGAGACGGTATGGTCACACGATGGTGGCTTTTGATCGTCATCTCTACGTCTTTGGTGGAGCTGCTGACAACACACTACCCAATGAACTGCACTGCTACGATGTGGACTCTCAGACCTGGGAAGTCATTCAAGCCAGTATGGACAGTGAGGTAAGCATGTGGTTAGTGAAGTCGCGCAGTGCTATAAAGACATTTGAAAAAACATTACACAGTATTGCTACAGATAGGTAAAGCAATTTATGTCAGTAAAACTTTTATAACTACACTATCAGTAAAATGCCTGAGATTCAAGAAATTAACAGCAGTAAGTGGTTATATTTTATTATGCCAATATATAATCATATTCCAAAGACAAAATTAATATAGTGTAAATACTGTATATATAAACTAAAACAAAATGTGAAAAATACCACTGGTTTTCAGATGCCCAGTGGAAGACTGTTTCACGCTGCTGCTGTAATTCAAGATGCCATGTATATTTTTGGTGGCACAGTGGACAATAATGTGAGGAGTGGAGAGATGTACCGGTTTCAGGTATCTTCCTCATAATTATTTTGATTTTCAATTTTTGTGTGTGAAAATAAATCAATTTTTCAACATGTTTTTTTTTTCTTCAGTTTTCATGTTACCCCAAGTGTACTTTGCATGAAGATTATTGTAGACTTTGGGAGAATCGCCAATTTTGTGATGTAGAGTTTATCCTTGGAGAGGTAAGCCTGCTGTCCAAACTTTCATGATAATACTAATGATAAACATTATTTTGTGTTGTGCATTGCAGAGGGAGCAAAGGGTTTTGGGACATATTGCCATAGTAACTGCAAGATGTCAGTGGCTCCGGAGAAAAATTCTGCAGGCTCGCGACAGACAGAGATCGGTCAGTTTTTTTCTCATTTGTTCATTTTCCATTTATCAATTTGTCATTTACAATTATGTCCTCTTATCCTCAAACAAAGAAGTACACATATGTTTACATTTAAATGTTTATATACATCATACATATATAAATTACATGCATGTTTATGTCTACACAAACATATACCTTCATGCTTCAGATATACACATACAAACATACACGTTTGCACATGTGCTGAAATATATACATATACACGCACACACAGTACCAATTCAGTGAGAATAATAAATACTTTTCAATCACCTGACAATGATTAGTATGAATTATATACTATATTGTTTGCAGAAAAGTAAAAATGATTGTGACGAAACTGATGAAGGGGCTGCACATGGCCCTAAGGACATCCCTGGTGGCAGCCAGCTGCTAGAGGTTCACATCCGAGAGGCAGAGGCCCAGCCCTTTGAGGTCCTGATGCTGTTTCTTTACACTGATAAAATACAGTACCCACGCAGAGGTAGTCTTATATACTATACATGCATTTTCTCCAAACACATTATCGTCTAAATCTAACATTAATTTTGTTTTCTCTACCAAAAGGTCATGTGCAGGATGTCTTGTTGATTATGGATGTGTACAAGCTTGCTTTGAGTTTTAAGTTATCCCGATTAGAGCAGTTGTGTGTACAGTACATTGAGGCCTCTGTTGACCTGCAGAATGTTCTCAGTGTTTGTGAAAATGCTAATAAATTGCAACTTGACCAACTGAAGGTAAATAATCGGGGTTGGGTTTATAAATACTATTGTCTCATCATCAAAATCACTGATACACACTTTTTATATGTGCAGGAACATTGCCTCAATTTTGTGGTGAAAGAATCACATTTCAACCAGGTTATTATGACAAAGGAATTCGAACGCCTGTCCACCCCACTAATTGTGGAGATTGTTCGTCGCAAGCAGCAGCCTCCTCCCCGAGTTTACTCAGACCAGCCAGTGGACATTGGTACATCTTTGGTGCAGGACATGAAGGCATATTTAGAGGGTGGTGGCCTGGAGTTCTGTGACATCATCCTCCTGTTGGATGGACACCCTCGACCTGCTCATAAAGCTATACTGGCAGCACGATCAAGGTAGTGTAAAAATAAACTCAATGCGGCTATTTTGAGAGGGTCTATTTGTACCATAAATAGTTAGTATGATGTATACCTTTGTGTGTGTGTGTGTGTGCGCGTGTAATATATAATCATATTGTCTCAATATTTCTGTGTCTTAAGTTATTTTGAAGCCATGTTTCGCTCCTTTATGCCTGAAGATGGGCAGGTTAATATATCCATTGGAGAGATGGTTCCAAGTAAACAAGCGTTTGATTCCATGCTGCGCTATATCTACTATGGAGATGTCAATATGCCTCCAGAAGATTCACTGTATCCTTTGTGTGAACCAAGGGAGATTCAAGTTGTTAATTTGCATAAATGTTTCAGGCAATTTCATTTATTTATTTATTTAGTTGGGACAGTACATTTTAATGAACATATCACATCACTTAGCCATGGGCTAATTTGCATCGGTTGTCCCACATTCGCACTTTCTAACACACTCATTCACCCTGAACTATTGCACATGTATTTAGTGGTAGGGGAAACCAGAGTACCCGGAGGAAACCTAGCCAGACACGGGGAGAACATGCAAACTCCACTCAGAAAAGCCCTGGTCCGACCAGGATTCGAACCCAGAATCTTCTTGCTGAGAAGTGAGAGTGCTATCCACTCAGCCACCGTGCCGCCCAGGCTATTTATCATAAAGATTATATGTTGTGATTGGAAATTGTCTTGTCCTCAACTGAAATAAACAGCTACTTGTTTGCGGCCCCATATTATTATGGCTTTTCAAATAATCGCCTGCAGGCCTACTGCAAGCAAAATCTGGAGATGAACGTGACCGTGGAAAATGTGTTGCAGGTAGTTGTGTTTTAATCTTCCTGATTCCTTACACTTAGGATAAAACTGGTTTCCCAATAGTTTATTGTTGGTTTTTTCTCTTCAGATATTGGAGGCGGCTGATAAAACCCAAGCTCTAGACATGAAGAAGCACTGCCTCCACATTATTGTGCACCAGTTCATCAAGGTGGGTGGGATTCTATCTGGAGCTCTTGGGATTTGCTGCCCACTTGCTGCAGCTGAGCTAACCCACTTGCCTTGTCTACTTTGCGGGAGACTGACATTTTTGGTACAGCACGGCCGGCTGAACAAGCAAGCCACTTAACAAAGGGGATGGCTCTGATTGTTCCTTTTCTTGAAAATTTCAGTTTTTTACCCTTCCTTTCCATTTTTCTTTTGGCTTAAAGAGCACCCCTCTTATTTGGTTTACTGTTCTGTTTTTATTCATTTGGATTTTCCTCTCTTTTTGAAGGTTTCCAAGCTTCCCAACTTACGGTCCCTCAGTCAGCTGCTGCTTTTGGACATCATTGAGTCTCTAGCTTCTCACATATCAGACAAGCAGTGTGCTGAGATGGGATCTGACATTTAAGATGATGTGGGTAAAACCAGCATGTTGTTTCCTTTTGCTCTTCAAAGCTATAAGTTGCCATTACTTCAGTCAATCCCTTATTCTGAACCACAATAGTTCCCTTTACATTTGACTTTGCATGTTGGTATTTCTTCTATTGATTCCATTTGTTTTGTTATTGTGAACTCATCATTCATTTTGTTTCTTGGTCATATCCTTATATCCAATTCAGCCTTCATATATGACTTAAATGTAAGGAATCTGATGTACATTATACTATCAAAACACATACGTCAATATTTATAATTATGGATATTGTACACTTTTCATTATTGAGTGACATTCTGTATTAAATGTATAGCAATCTATTTATATCCTTGTTAAACTGATTATGCACTTATTTCTTGCCTCTTGCTTTCACTATGGTGTTTTTACTTTTATAAACTCAAGGAAAGACCGAGCAGGAGCTGGTGCCTTTGGTCTATGATATAGTATGTTTCAAGGAAAGGTTGGTTATTATCTTATCCACACATATTTGGGCTTGTTCACACTAAAGGACACAAAAGTGTGATAAAAGGCCAAAAATTAGATTTTAATAATCAGAAGATATTTAATGTTTTTTATGTTTCCAAACACCTCCTCTGTCCATTAGAAGTTGCTAGAACATAACTGTTTTATACATTAGACAAGTTTCCTATAGCGGCCCTGATTATTTTATGTAACGGACGTGATGATTGAGCTTTGTGGAAGTTTGATAGGTATTTTCAGATGTCCACATTTGATTAAGAGATTCTATTTTTTTACACAAAGTAGATGCAAAGTGATACTTTCATATTGTCAACCAATTAAATGTGAAAACAGACCAGATTTTTTATTTTCTCAAGTTTAATTTTAAGAGAAAAGAGGACCATCCTCATCACGTCCGTTATACATTTTTCGGGGGTCATTTAATTAATTTTTATTTTTTCACGATTCCTTTTTATAATCAAGTGATTTACTTATGTTGTGTTAACCATGTAAATCTTGTGGGATTTCATCTTTCATCATGTAACTGGCGTCACGGTAAAATGGTCCAATCAGAGGCTAATTTGGTCGTTTAAAATGTTGCTAAACATTTTTATGTCAGTCTTTCCTTTTCATTTTTTCCATACTATCTCTTCAATTTGTCTGTGTTTGAAATCTTTTTTCCAATCTATGAAACTAATTTTAGTTTTTAAGTTATAACCTTTTAAAGTCCAGATACTTCAATTGTCACTTTACTGTGAACACACTCGTATCTATTCCATTTAGATGGATAAATAGAAACATGTTGGTTGATTTGTAATGCGCTTACATTATAGTGATTTTGAATAAATTAAATTGGGGATTATGTGCAGAGTAAAGTCTGTAGATCAGACTACTTGAATTGTCTTTGTTGACTCAATCCTTGATTAAGGCCATTAAGGTTGGCGTCTCTCTGGGTGCTGCACTACTTAAAGGCCTTTTAAGGTTAATCTTTGACCTTCCATCAACTGAGTGTGTCCTTCGGAGTTTCAGCTTCCACAATCCACAGATCTGTGCTTGATAAGGCTGGACAATGGCCCTTGTTAAACATACATTCCTTAACATATTACACAATTACAGCTAAATTAAATGTTCAGTATAATAACCACTGCCATGAAATCCTTTTTCCTACAGGACATTGTAAAACTGCTTTAGTGAGTGTTATACCCGTGTAATCTGTCATTGTGTTGGCACTTGATTCTTAAGACCCATTGATATGCCTTTATTCAATACACCTGATTTGATGTTTTAAATATCTTTTTAAAAAGACAAAGCTTCAGAAGGCCTCCCAGATCAGGATGAGGGTTTTTGTGTATTCAGCAGTGCCCAACTTGCTCATGTTTCATTCATTTAAGCTTGTACTTGTATGCACGCTGCACTAAATCCCTTTGGACGTCTCCAGTTTCATCCAAACAGTCTTCCTTGTTCACTGTCCAGATATTTAACACTGAAATAAAACAGTGTTTCTCTTGTCATGGCACAGCGCTGGGATACGTTCCACTCATCAAGTGCATTTTTTGGACTCTAGTGAGTGGGCTGGCCGACTTGGTCCTGTTACCCTACCTTTAAAGAACTATTTTGAGGCTTCCACTTTAGTCTCTGGCTGGCATCTTTTGACTAAAGGCTGTATAAGTGTGTCTTCCTTCACTGGAGAAGATGGTTTTTCTCACACCTAAAATAATGCAAAGAACTGCTCTCTTTGTGACGTTTGGAGGTTTTGTCACTTCTTTGCTGACCATGTTTATTCCTTTTTGGAAAACGATGAATTCCGATTTAAATGAAATGGAGAACTGGTTTTCTGGATTGTTTCACATGTGTCTCTATACAGAAGAAGTTGGAATTCAGTGCAAGGCTTACGAGTCTATTTTAGCACTGCCTATAGACCTCCAGATCTCCAGAGTGCTCATGTCTGTGTCGATCGGAACAGGTGCCTTTGCCATTGTGACTGCATTTCTTGGTCTGGAAGGAGTGGAAATGTTTACGGGTCACAAAAGAGGACTGCTTATCTTTAGCGGGGTGCTGACTTGGATCTCTGGCCTTTCTACCCTGGCCCCTATATCAATAGTGGCCTACACAACTGTGGTTGAATTTTGGGACGAGGGCTTCCCTGATGTGATGCCCCGCTGGGAGTATGGAGAGGCCATGTTCTCTGGATGGTTTGGAGGGTTTGCCCTTGTAATTGGAGGGACACTGTTTTTCATTGCTGTTTGCATGGGAGACTTTGATCAAAGAACCCAAACCGTGCCTGTCAGTCTGCTGGATAAGCGCACTTCACAGAATTATCTCAAGACTGAGGTATTGTAATGCTGTGTGTCTATTTATGAACATGCCCCCTTTCTATTGTCATGGATAAACTATATTTGAGGTATATCTGAACTCTGAACATTGTAAAGCGCTTTGGGTGACCTTGGTCTGTAAAATGCGCTACATAAATAAACATTACTTACTTACTTACTATTTATGATTTTATGTGCAGAAGTTGAACATGCACACCACAGTTTATTATTTGCTCCAAAGCAGTTTCCCAGCTATATTCTCCACCAAGCACATCAACACAATGCTATCTATCTATCTATCTTCTATGCATGTATTTAAGCAACTACAGAATTTTCTGAATTTGGAAAATACATGTATGATTTAATAGAAATAAAAAGTTAAAATCGTACTACAGAACTTTCTCTGTTGAAACATGCATTTAATGACAACATTTGGAAGAGTATTTCTATGCAAGTAAACAGCCTCCTGTCCTCCTCCAGCCCCACTTTAGTCTTAAATGAAAACACGGTAGCTAACCGCTACAGCTAACACCAGGGGACAAATCTTTTTGATGGAAATGTCTCACTACTTTCAACAAAGTTTGGGGTTGCAGTAAATATACATAGTTCCCACAGACCAATGAATGTCACATGACCTCCTCGGAGACGCCATCTTTGATGGCACGCTGCTGTGTTTGTGCATTCCATTAAACAGAAGAATGAGAATAAATGTAGATATTCAAACGCAAATTGGAAAAAAAGGGCAACTTTTGAGCAAATAATTGTATATTAATACAATGGCACCACAGTTTAACGTGCTACGGACATGTTTTACATATTTGATCAAATTATGCAGCAAAAATTAACAAGCAATGCAAACATTTCTCAAAAACTTTAGATTTAATACCAGTTGGAGCTCCATTTAATTATTTTAATTATATTAACAATTAATTTAATTAATGCTAATGCCACACGGACACTCTGGATTGCTGTTATTGTTTATTTCCGCGTTTTTGACCGTATGTTTTGGTGAATGGTGGGCAACTGATTTTTCCAGGCGTAAAGAGCAGTTTATTTTATGACACAGATCTTTTTACAGAAGCAATGCTGTTTGTGAACATTGTTTTAGCCCACCATAGAACTATTATTATCTATTTAATACATTTACGTTGCCCTCGAGAGCCTCGGACGCGACACCGATCCTCCTCATAATAAAGTAATCTAACGCTAAATAATGAAACTCTCAAGTTACCAGCTATCAGCATACACAAGTTAGTACTGAGTAAATTACGTCTGTCAACACATTATAAGATACGATACGCACCTGACACAAAGTGCTCCGAGCATATTCTTGCGTGTTTTGAGGGAGTTTCTTGCCTGTTTATCTTCGCAAGCCATAACCTCCGTGGTTGTTCTGACAAAAGCTTAGTCTTCTCACATTCATGAAGTCTAATGATGGGTATACTGTAAAATCCAAGTTTAACAGAACCTCCGGCACGATTTGAACATCCATTGACCCAGCAGGAGATGACCATCTTCAACTTTATCACGACATTAACACGTTTCAGCTTCTTTTTCTATTGTTTTGCCCACATAATGCCAACACAAATGGCGCCGGGTCGGCAAATCCCCGTATGTAGTGACGTCATGTAGGAACTATGTATACCAAACAAACACCGTATCAAATTAAAATACAACTTTATTTATTTTTTTGTGTGTGGAAAAAAAAGCCAAATCAATACAACTCTAGGACTCTTACTACTAACGAGGTAGACATTTTTTAGGCTATAAGTTTGAGAATGGGATGAGTCCCGTATCGGATTCTCCGGTGGGCCTGATTTGGTCCATGGGCCGCAGGTTGAATTGTTTTCCAGTTTAGAAACAATACTTTACACCATCTCTCAACTTTGAGTTGAGTCATGAGTGAATGAGTTATGTAGTAGTAGTAGAAGTAGTCCAGAAGTAGTGTTAATATATTCTATTTTTATTGAGAAAAAGTACCGTTTATACATTTTATTAACTGTGTTTTCCCATCAGCATTTATGGATGGGAAAGTGGAAGGAGCAAATGTCCTGATGATTGAAGTAGCCTTTATAATCTCACTTCCTGAGTGAAACGATGACTTTCTGCACACTACAATCCACTTAGTTGTAGTAGTTGTATATAGAACTTGATCTCGCGTGTGTTACTCTAAAGTAAAACTACCTAGTTTTAAAGTGGGCAGTAGTGCAGGATGGCAGGGTCCAAAGGAGTGGAGGCTGACGGTGTGCGTGAGGGGAAATTAGAAAAATGTGTAGAATTGCAGAAAGGAGGGGAGACTAGAGAGGAGGATTCATGCTGCGCTAGCATCAGCAACTGCATCAATACTGCACACAGCTGAGGGACTGGCAAAGGTCTCTGCGTGTCCCTGCAGCATTTGCGAAACACCAAACTCCCACGACCGGTTCACCGTGTCCTGCGGCTGGACGTGTCCCGAAACGGAGCTGAGCAGACCGGTACTGTCAGATTCTGTGCTGTTCTCCCTGAAACTGGAAGTGGGTCTTAAAGAGACGGGCTGATGTGCTACAGATCTGACAGACGTTGAACACGGGGAAGCATGACTGTGTGACCCTGCTCCAGGCGCCTTGACACCGGTAAGAGCATTTTCGCAATCCAAAAAGATGATCAAACATGTACAACCCATATAGTTTTCTCTCTTTACACGCTACTTCAGCAGTAAGAAATCATTTTCTCCTGAGAACCGAAGCGTAGTTCACCCTGGTTTAGTGTAACACAGGAGCACTGCAGGGTGCACTAAAAGCATGCAGCACTTAAAGCTGGGGACCCTAACTTTTATTTTTCACAAAAATACATATTCTCTGTCCCAAAAGAAAGGGTCTTGTAAAGTAAAATGTTGTGAGCGAATCAAGAAACAATATTCTTGCTTTGTCTTATTAAAAACATTTTTATCTCTTTCATATGTGGGAAAAAATGTCTCTGAGAGTGACTAATAGATGCTTTGCTTTGGACTGAGAAATGATTGGCTTAAGAAGCTGACCAAGATACATGACTTTCAATACTCATGTGTAAATAAGTTATAGGTTGAACTAATATATGGATTTTATTACATCTACATTTTTTGTGGTTTGAAAGTTATGCACCCTTAGGCTTTAAGAGAGGTGGCACTAGTTCAATAAATTTGTACTTTTTGTATCTAACTTGATAATATATCATTCACTGATGACACAATAAAAGCGTTTTTGTGTAACTCTAACTAACAATGTTTTAACATTGGTTGTTATTCCTTCTGACATAGCAGACTTGAATGTAAAAGTCACTAAATAGTTACCGTTACGTTTGTATCTACAAAAGGAGGGAAACTACTGAAAATATGTAAGATTATTGTGTATGTCATTGTACATACTGCAGCCTCTTAATGGGGATAACTAGACGTAATCCACACTTTATTCCGCTGTTGTGAGCAGGACATAAACCCCTGAACCAAGCCAAACTTCTTGACATTAATTAAAACTGCTTTCCGACAAAGTTGGATAAAGCTTCTGTTTTTAATGCTACTGATTTACTCAAATATGTTAAAATAATGTATCGCCAGAAACCACAACTCAAAAGTATTTTCCTTGTGATTTATGAGAGTTTGATGAATAGATATACAATTTATTGTCAGGGTACCTCCTGGATTTGCATGGCTCATTTGACATTTGTATGGAGGTAAGAAAGCAATAACCCTCAATTGGAGCAAAGTCACGAAGCCCCTAACATTCGTGTTTTCCAGTCTCTTGCAGCAGCTCATCACCGCTCAGGGGTCTTGGCTGCTATTTCCCCCTAACATTCCTGTAACAGATATTACGACTGAAAAACAGTGAGTGAAAGTGACAGGCTGTTTGCATGCAGGATTATTAGCACTGCTGGGGACATGCCCAGCAGAGACTGGGATCTGCGTCACAGGTTGTAAAGACCAAATCTTACTTTAGTTGGTGTTTACATGGATTCCACACTCAAACAGGTTTGACTCATGCTGCTTGTTGACTTTATTTTGCTATTGTTTTTTATGTGAATGAATTTGCTGCTTGCAGATATTTCTATCACATTTGATAAAAACATTTTATTATTATTATTATTAGTTTATTTGATATGGACATATCAACTGCATTGGACAAACCAGATACATTGTTTCCAGTGTTATAGCAAAACTGCTAATTTGCAACACCTGTCCATAGGAGGCTACACATTTCAAAAAACACAATACAATACAGTACAATATTTAAAAAGGTACACAATACACACATATATGAATACATTGAGTCATACTATAGCTGGTGTTTGTGAACAGAGATTAGAACAAGCTTTCCACTGAAGTTGTCCACTGGAACTTTTCTGTGGCCCATTTGACTCTGTTCTTTGTACTTCAAGGACATTAAGATGTGCTCAGAATATCAATCAGTCCTTTCAGCTGTTTACGCATTGGGATAATTTAGTGATGCATAGGGATTGCTCTCTGTCCCATGTAAATACACATCCTATGTGCCTCTGATCCAGAATCTGTATGTGGTGAAATACCAGAACTGGCACTGGCAGAAACACAAGGGAACGCAATAACAAAACCAGAGGGATTTTAATCCTTGAGGGGCTCCTGCTCCTAGGCTTCAAGCCGCTTTGTGATGAGAAAGTTAATAGGTTTCGGAGCAGTTAATTTTTAACAACTTCTAATGCAATATGCATGAGCAAAGGTAATGTGTGGAAACGTTCCCAATTAACATAGTGAGGACTTCCTGTTTTGTTTTTAAGTAATAACTCTTAGAAGAGTTGTCAACCAACCAGAATGTTTATGTTGGGCAGTATTGATCAAATGTTCGTTTTGAAACATATCTTATTCTATATATCAGCATGTAACTAGTGATGTTGTAACATGTCACCTCTGTGCCCTTAACAGTACATGTGGAGGAGCTGATATGTGCGATGGCCAGTGTGAGCCGTCTGGTATTCCGACCTCCTTCTTTGTGTGAGCGGTCCTCTTCCAGTAGGTGGTGCTGCCCAAAGGTCTGAGCTCACCTCGCCTCTTCAGGGAGTCTATCCACCCTGGGCCCAACATGGGAGGATGCTTCTCTAAACCTAAATCAGGCAAATACTTTCCTATACTATGTTGACAATAATATCTAGTCAATTTCTCATAAATTAGACCTTGACCCTCATTGGGTGTGTTTTTAAAGATAGCATTTCTCAGTCTATTAATTCTGTAAGGCTTTTCTCTTTTCTCACTCACATCAAGATTTTCCATTGATTTTAATTAAGACTTGCTCAGCTGGAGAAAATTCCAGCCAGATTTACTCTGTAAGTGCTGAAAGATCAGCACATTTTCTAGCCAAACAGATACAGCACACTGTTGAAAAGAATTTCTACAACCATATCTTAAAATGAAATTAGTAATGTTAAAGAAACCCCAACATTACATATTTATGTATGTATTATGCTAGTCCTATAGAATATATTGTTTATGTCTTATTGTTTGATGATTGATAATGTTTTTTGTTGATGCAGTTGAAGTGAAAGTGGAGCTCTCCCTCTTGGACAAAGAGAAGGAGGTGGATGGACTGTCGCCCAACGGGAAAGCCAGTCCGTTTGCTGAGTGCAGAGCAAACGGAGCTTTGGGACATGGTTCCGATGATGAAGCCACCCCTCTGCCACTGTATCACAGATCAAAGGACTATGTGGAGGCATCCGTCTGTCATGTCAAAGACATGGAAAATGGACAGTGAGAACGGATTTTCTATATTCAATATTTTTATAGATTGAATTTAGAAAAGCAGTTATCTCTTAATTTTGTTTTAGTATCAACAATAACATTCTAAAACACTTAAAAAGTATGTTTGTATACTGATGTACTGTATTACTGTATTATTTCAGGATGCGAGAGGTGGATTTAGGAAGTGGGAGAGCTTTGTTAATCAAAGAACATGGGGAATTTTCAGCTATGGCACACAAATGTCCTCATTATGGAGCACCATTGGTAAAAGGTACACTGTACATGTCTTTCATCCTGCAGGCTGTGTTGAGTCAGCAGTTTCAACATATGGTCTGACAGCAGCTGGAATCAATAACCTGCACAAGGAGAGGATTCCACAGGTCATTCATTCTTGCCGCTGTCCACTGACAGCAATGAAACTGCTGACGCTGCACATATGCCATTATGTAATATTGGCATATGTGTAATAATGTGCTAGTTCTTGACAATTCACTTCAATATCTTCTTATACACAGTGGTTAGGGCTTGTGCTTCACAGCAAGAAGTTTGTGCATCTGATTCCACTCCCGGCCTTTCTGTGTGGAGTTTGCATGTTCTCCCGTGTCCCTGTAGGTTTTCTCTAGTTGCTCCGGTTTTCCCTATCACCAAAACATATCTGGAATTTGCCTCCTGTGTGGCGGCCCTTCTCCCATCTCTGTGTGGAGTGAGAGGACCAATGCCCAAACAATTATGAAACGCTTTGTGAGAGGCACTATATAAATATAGATTACTTACTTACTTACTATTCTTATGTACAATACGCTGCAAATGAAAAGTCATAGCTATCTCAGAATCAGAATCAGAATCAGAATCATTTTTATTGCCAACGTAAGTAACGGGAGGTCACAGACTTGGAAATTGCTTTGGCTCAGTGCAACAGTCAAAAAGAGATAATAAAAATAAGAATAAAAAACACTTCTAAAGAATAAATTTAAATTTAAAATAGAGTTACAGTTACTATTTACAATATACAAGTGCACATGGTGCACACAATGTAAGGTGACAGCAGTACAGTGAAGTAAAGTGACGTATGATGGGCAGTAAAGTGACTTTATAAAGGGCGGGGGGACAGGTTAAGAAGTGTTCAAGAGTCCAACAGCAGAGGGGAAGAAACTGTTCTTGTGGCGGGAGGTTCTAGTCCTGATGGACCGCAGCCTCCTGCCTGAGGGGAGTGGTTGGAATAGTCCATGTGCAGGGTGAGAGGGGTCGGCTGTGATACGACCAGCCCGGCCTCGAGCTCGGGCGACGTACAGGTCCTGCAGCGATGGAAGGCTGCGGCCGATCACTTCCTCTGCAGAGCGCACAATGCGCTGTAGTCTCTGTTTGTCCCTGACTGTGGCTCCAGCGAACCACACGGTGATGGAGGAGGTGAGGATGGACTCGATGATGGCCGTGTAGAACTGCACCAACATCTGTGCAGGCAGCTTGGCTTTCCTGAGCTGCCGCAGGAAGTACATCCTCTGCTGGGCCTTCTTGATGAGAGAGCTGATGGTCGGCTCCCACTTGAGGTCCTGGGTGATGGTGGTGCCCAGGAAACGGAAGGACTCCACAGAGGTGATGGGGGAGTCCATCACGGAGGGTGGGGGCGGGGGGACAGTGCTCTTCCTGAAGTCCACAATCATCTCCACTGTCTTCTGGGCGTTCAGCTCCAGGTTGTTACCACTGCACCAGGACACCAGCCGGTCCACCTCCCTCCTGTAGGCGGACTCATCGTTGTTGGAGATGAGTCCAATGAGGGTGGTGTCGTCTTTACATCTTTACACTGATACACCAAATTCAAAATTTGCATAGGGTAATTATTTTATTGGGCACACTTTTTTATGTAATTATAGTTTATACTTCTACTAGATAGGTTTTAATGTTATTTGCCCTCTCTGGTTCTCATTCTGGTCTCAAAGGTGTGCTGTCTAAAGGACATGTTCGGTGTCCGTGGCATGGTGCATGTTTTAACATTGCTACCGGGGACATTGAAGACTTTCCTGGGCTGGATAGCTTGCACGTTTTTCAGGTACTTCTTCCCACAAAGACTCTTCTTATCAAGTCTCTTAAGTATAAAGCAGTGTGTACACAGCCTTTGTCTGCGTTTGCTCCAGGTCAGAGTTGAAAAGGACAAGGTGATTATTTGTGCAAACAAGCAGGTAAAAGATGATAAGAGCCAAAATAGAAACTTTGACATACACAAATCACAATTTAATTCTTGAATGTTTTTCAATGATATTACAGGCTCTTGAGTCACAGAAAAGAACTAAACATATGGCTCGATGTTCAGCAGTCATCAACTCCAGCACAGGCTTCAGTCATGTTCTCATTATAGGCTCAGGTGATTATTAGAAAATCTCATAAACCAAGTTTATATGGTATAAGCTATTTACAGCGGTGTGGACATTGTCAGGACCAGCAGGTCTGGTGTGCGCAGAGACACTGCGGCAGGAGGGCTTCACCGATCGCATTGTAATGTGCACCATGGAGAGACACCCTCCGTACGACAGGCCAAAACTGAGTAAGGTTTGTACACAGTCTATAGCCAAAGACACAATTATTGATAATAATGAATCTTTATTAGATGATTAGAGTGAATACAATGGCTAAATAAGCTATTTATTTCAGTACAAGAAAAAGTTATTGTAAATATTGTATAATACAAAATGAAATACAATCTGTTACTAATATGTGACCCCCTCAGTCCCTAGAGTGCACAGCAGAGCAGCTCAGACTGCGCTCTGCAGACTTCTTACAAAACCACGACATTGAACTGTTCACCGAAAAAGAGGTAAGAGTATGAAACGATCAAATCTATGGATACTAAACTAAATTTATTTCCACAACATCTGTACAGGTTGTAGCACTCGATGTTAAAACACGAACAGTGACATTTGGAGATGGTGTCATGATGGAGTACAGGAAACTTTTTATTGCCACTGGAAACAAGTGAGGAAACATACCTCTTATATACTGTTTACCTACCTATAAAGAAGAAAAACAAACTATATGTATACAAATATAAAATTGAAACAAATTTGGGATATTTATGCTAAATAACATATCAATCAATCAATCAATCAAAGTTTATTTGTAGAGCGCCTTTCATACACAGGGCAACACAAAGCGCTTCACAGTCCACATCACAAATCATCACATAAAACAAACACCAGAATCACAATTAAAACATTAAAATCACACAAAAGATTAAAACACAATTAAAACATTAAAATCACACAAAAGATTAAAACACAATTAAAACATTAAAATCACACAAAAGAATAAAACCATTAAAACTTTCAAAATTACACAAAAAATTTAAAAAAATAAATAAATAAATGACAACAGTGCATTAGAAATGGAGATAAAATCCTTCAGTTGTATGTACAGGCAAACAGAACAGTCTTTAACCTGGATTTGAACATTGACTGAGTAGACGCCTCCCTCACATTTTCAGGGAGATTGTTCCAGATCTTAGCTGCATGGATCTGAAACGCAGCCTCCCCATGTTTGGTTCTCACTCTGGGCACCAGCAGGAGGCCAGTCCCTGTGCTCCTCAGAGTCCGGGCTGGTTCATATGACACCAACATGTCACTAATGTATTTTGGTGCAAGGCCATGGAGAGACTTGTACACAAGCAGAGCTGTTTTAAAATCTATTCTCTGAGCCACAGGAAGCCAGTGCAGAGACCTGAGGACCGGACTAATATGGTCATACTTCCTGGTTCCTGTCAGGACTCTAGCTGCTGCATTTTGGATGTACTGCAGCTGCTTACAGGTCTGTTTGGACAGACCTGTAAGCAGGCCATTGCAGTAGTCTAGCCTGCTGGAGACAAATGCATGGACAAGAATCTCCAAGTCTGCCCTGGACACTATATTTCTAACTTTGGCAATGTTCTTCAGATGGTAAAAAGCTGTTGATGTTATTGATTTTATGTGGCTATTGAAATTTAGGTCTGAGTCCAGTATTACCCCCAAATTTCTGACCTTGTCTGAAGGAAGTAGGGAGAGAGACTGAAGTTGACAAATGACGCCCTCTCTTTGTTTCTGGGGACCAAAGACAATGATTTCGGTTTTGTCTGCATTTAGCTGGAGGAAATTATTTTGCATCCAGTCACTGATCTGTTGGATACAGTGAAGGAGCAAATCCAGTGGTCCATGTTCTCCTGCAGTCAGTGAGACATAGATCTGAGTGTCGTCGGCGTAATTGTGGTAGGACACTTTGTTTCTTTGTATTAACTGACCTAACGGCAGCATGTAGAGATTAAATAGGAGAGGTCCCAGGATCTACCCCTGTGGTACTCCACAGGTCAGGGCCACATGATCTGAGACGCAGTCTCCAATCTCCACAAAGTACTTCCTATCCTCCAGGTAAGACCTAAACCAGTCTAGGGCTGTGCCAGTGACACCAACCCAGTCCTCCAGTCTCTGCATGAGGATCTCATGGTCGACAGTGTCGAACGCGGCACTAAGATCTAACATGACTAAAACTGTGACTTTACCTGCATCAGTGTGAAGTCGAATGTCGTTTGTTACCTTCACTAGAGCGGTCTCAGTGCTGTGGTGGGGTCTAAACCCAGACTGGAACATATCAAAAGAATTATTCATTGTTAAAAATTCAGTAAGTTGTTGGGAGGCCACTTTTTCAAGAATTTTTCCAATGAATGGCAGATTCGATATGGGGCGATAATTTTGAAGTCCCGCAGGATCCAGACTGCTCTTTTTTAGGAGAGGTCTTATGACTGCTGTTTTTAGGGCCATAGGAAATGTTCCTGACGACAGAGACATGTTTACTATTTGTGTCAGTGAAGGTAACAAACTGCTCAGGACGGACTTCAGAAATTTAGAGGGCAATATATCCAGGCTACATGTGGAGGAGCTCAGACTCATGATTATCTTTTTGACAGTTTCAGTATCCACAGGTGCAAAGTGAGTTAGATCAAAAAGCTTCTCAGGCTGTTGCATTGTTATACGTGCTGTGGAGGTGATAGTGTTTTTGATTCCTTGTACTTTGTCATCGAAAAACTGTGCGAACTCATTACACCTAGATTTAGAGGAAAATTCTAGGGGCAACTTTACAGGGGGGTTCGTTAATCTACCAACTGTTGAAAACATAACACGAAAATTGTTACTGCAACCTCCAATAATGTCAGAAAAATACATTTCTCTTGTTCTACGTAGAACCCGGTTAAATTCACCCAACTCATCTTTAAAGATTTCATAATCGCCCTGGAAATTGGACTTTCGCCACTTCCGTTCGGCCCTCCGGCACTCTTGCTTCTGTGCCCTGACCGAGTCTGCCTTAGTCCATGGGGCCTTTTTCTTACTGGTAACTATTTTAACCGTCACAGGAGCAATGGCGTCCAGAACAGTCAGAACACTGGTGGTGAGAGTTATACAATTCATCAACAGTAGAGCATGGAGTTTTCTCAAAATTTAGCATTCCCATGAACAGTTCACTTGTGTTTTCATGTATGTGTCTTCTTCTAACAATTGTAAATTCAGCTGGTGGTTTGCTAGCAAAACACATGTCAAAAAATACACAGAAATGATCTGACAAAGCAACATCAACTACATTAACATTTGATACATTAACCCCCTTTGTAATTAGCAGGTCAAGAGTGTGCCCCCTGCTGTGGGTGGGGCCACTCACGTGCTGAATGAAACCAAAGGTCTCAAATACAGAAGCCAGCTCCTTTGCATTTCTGTCATCAACATTATCAACATGTACATTAAAATCCCCTGTAATAACTAAACTATCAAAATCTGTGCACACGAATGAAAGTAGTTCAGTAAAATGGTCAATAAAATCGCAACATGACTGTGGTGGCCTGTACAGGACAATGAAAAGAGTAGAAGATTGCTTTTGTTCCATTTTAAAAGAAATATACTCAAACGATGAAAAATTTCCAAGGGGCATTCTATGGGAGACAAAGTGCTCTCTAAAAACTGCAGCTATGCCTCCCCCCCTTTTGTTTTCTCGTATTTCGGATTCTAATTTAAAATTGGGTGGTGTTGCTTCTATTAGAACTGCATTTCCTGTATTTTGGTCCAGCCATGTTTCAGCCATAAGCATAAAATCAAGATCATAAGAAGTGATAAAATTATTAATTAAAAATGATTTGTTACATAGAGATCTGACATTAAGCATAGCAAGTTTAAAAATAACGTCAGAGTCGATTAATGTGGTTGATTGATTTCTACAGGGAACAGAAATTAGATTTGCAGAGTTGGACCGTCTAACTGCTGTCCTGTTTTGATTTCGTTTTTTAGAATTTAAAAACATTTTTGAGCTGGTGCGAGGAACACACACAGTCTCAATTGGCCTAAAATGTGAAAACCCTTGTTGTTCTTTAGCTCCCAGAGTCAGAAGGGAGTCAGACAATGCTTCTCTTCACAGTCTCATCCACCCTGGATCAGGTTGCTCCTCCATAAATGAAAACTATTCAAACAGAATGCATAAATGAGTATCTGAAAGTATCAATAAAACCAAAAATAACATCATGTTTTATTGTAATGTTTACAAAGGCAATTTATTGTAACTGGATAATTTTGTTGCAATCAATGCTGAAATGCTTAACAACGTTTTCTCCACAGTGATGCCCACCACATTTAAGATTTTAAAGGATGAATGGCTTCCTTCAGATGGGGTCTTTCCCTGTGAAGCAGTACTGATTTACTGTAGATTTGAACAATTACAGACCAGTATCCCGACATTTTTAAGCACAATAACAAAATAAAATGAAACCACCTTGTGACTTTTCATTGTACGGTGAGATTGTGGTCACATCACTGCTTCGCAGCAGCGTGACCATGAGTGAGGTGGCTGTGTCTGGGGTCAGTTGGATGATAGCTTCGTGTGGGAAATGAGAATCATGTAGTAGTAGTAGTAGTAGTTTATTTGTTCAGTCACTTTTGCACAACTCAGACAATACAGATCATTTGAAAAAAATAAAGTAAAAAGTAAAGTTGACTGAAAGGGTTTAGGCTGAAGTGAAACACTTATAGAAGCCTAACCCTACTATAGCTTACTATAACCAGAACAACTAAAACAGCAACAATTAGCTTTCAGCATGGAAAAACAATAGAAAATACATTTCTATATTTTTGCAGAAAAGACATGTAGGTAAATGAGGGTTCATACAAATGGTTTTGATGATATAAACAATATTATAATGGTAATAATAATAATAATAATAATGTTGATAATTGCTTTAATATTATTTATTTATTCTAATTCTCTATATTTATTTATAACATGAATTTTAAGGACATTTTTGAAAATCTTGATGGATGTAGTTTTCTTTAGTGACTCATCCAGACCATTCCAGACAGCAACTCCTCTAACTGAGACACATCTACACTTTGCTTTGGTCCTGGCAGTGACCCTTTGGTAAATGTCAGTTCCTCTAAGATTATAATTTGATTCTCTGGTGTTGAACCTTTCCTGGATGCATTTAGGGACATTCTGATTGTGAACATTGTACATGACAACTGCTGTATTTAGGTCAACTATATCATGTAATTTTAGGGTATTTGATTTTATAAATAATGGATTTGATGATGAATAATAGTCTGCACAATTGATTATTCTGATTGCTTTCTTTTGCATTAAGAAGAGAGGCTGAATTGAAGTTTTATAATTATTCCCCCACACAACTACACAATAATGCAAGTATGGCAGTATTAGTGAAGTGTATAATAGGTGTAATGATTTTTTGTTAACGATTTTTTTAATTTTGCACAATATTCCAATCATTTTAGATATCTTTGTCTTCAAGTATTCTATATGTATTTTCCAGTTAAGTTTTGCGTCAATGTTAACTCCCAAGAATTTTGTGTTGTACACCCTCTCTATTTCAATTTGATCTATATTTAATTTGGTCGGAAAGCCAATTTTTTTATTACCAAAAATAATATATTTAGTTTTGCTCACGTTCATTGATAATTTATTGTAATCAAACCATTTCTTTAATATTAATAGTTCATTTCCAGTTTTTTCCATAAGCTGCTCAAGATTTTGTCCTGAACAGTAGAGACTGGTGTCGTCTGCAAACAGAATACAGTGCATAGTTTTAAGGACCTCACAGATGTCGTTGATGTACAATATAAACAATTTAGGCCCAAGGACTGAGCCCTGTGGGACTCCGTGTGTGGTTAGGTTTTTATCTGAATTAACATTATTGACCGTAACATATTGATCCCTGCCTGTAAGATAGTTTTTTAACCAGTCGTGAGCAACTCCCCGGACACCATAGCGTTCCATTTTGGCTAATAATAAATCGTGATTGATGGTGTCAAAGGCTTTGCTCAGATCAATAAAAACTCCAACTGTATACTCGCATTTGTCAGTCGCAGTTGAGATTGCTTCAACCAGCTCCATAACTGCCATTGCGGTAGATCGGTTTGATCTGAAACCAAACTGGTATTGTCTTAAAATGTTTGAATTTAAAAATTATGTTTGAATGATTGATTGATAAAGAAGTAAGAATGACGATTAGACTTGTGCTTTTTGAAGACCCAGACCAATGAACTACAAAGGCAAGGACATCAAGAATGTTTTTCACCTCAGGACGCCAGAAGATGCAAGTAGCATAGTGAAGCTGGCAAACAACAAAAATGCTGTCATTGTTGGAACGTCCTTTATTGGTGAGCTACAGTACTGCCAGCTGGATTTACTTGTCACCTTGTTCTATACTCTATGTTCAAAGATTTTCTTCTTTACTTTGCCAGGAATGGAGGTGGCTGCTGCCCTTACTGACAAGGCCCACTCTGTATCAGTCATTGGGAGTGAGACTGTTCCCTTCAAAAAAGCTCTGGGAGAGAAAGTTGGAAAAGTCATAATGAAGGTAAAGGAGAGATGAAGCCATATCATGTGAGTGGCAACTTAAAGCTGGGGTGCTTAGTTATTATTATTATTATTTTCATAAATACATGTTTGTCCCTATAGACAAACAAAAGGCTGTCTTCACCCTTTTATCTCTTACATACTGAGAGCTTGAGCGACAAGAACTAGTTACATGGATTTTATTACATATTAATTCTTTTGTGATTTAAAAGGAAATACCCAAGCTTTAATTTTCCCTATGTGACTTATTGAAATATCGACTTATTGAAACGTTTCTTTGCTTATGTGTTTTCGGATCTATAAGCTATTTGAGGCAAACAGGGTGAAGTTCTACATGCTTAATGAGGTGTCAGAGATGATTGGCCATCATGGACAGGTATTCATAATGTGAGAGAAAAAGCATCACCTATAATGCTCAGTACATACACATTTTGAAATGGTGAAGTGACTGCACTGTATGGATTATTGTTCATTAATTTATTTCCATGGAATAGTTAAAAGAGGTAGTCCTGAAGAGCGGTAAGGTACTGCGGGCAGACGTGTGTGTCATTGGAACAGGTCAGTAAAGTGTGTGTATTTGGTGATGCGATTACAGCACTTACAAAATGTGGGTCTCTGCAGGATGTGTTCCTGCTACTTCCTTCCTGAAACAGTGTGGGGTCCACTTGGACTCCAAAGGCTTCATCCCTGTCAATAAGGTGTTTCCCCAGATGGACTTCACTTCACAATCGTGTCCTGTGTTAATTGTGTGTCCCTTTTTGTAGATGATGCAAACAAATGTTGACAATGTTTTTGCTGGAGGAGATGTGGTAATGTTCCCTTTTCCCCCGCGGAACAATAAGAAGGTCAACATCCCACACTGGCAAATGGCCCATGTACATGGTATGTATGTAATGATATCAGAGTGTTGTCAAAACGTCAAACGTTTGTTATTCCCATCTTTAGGAAGAGTAGCAGCTCTCAGTATGATGGGAAAACCCACAGAGATCAAAACAGTGCCTTATTTTTGGTCTGCTATGTATGGAAAGACTATTCGCTATGCAGGTATTGAACCAGCCTTTCATTGTCATTTTAGTGGCTTTAGTGCGATTTGGTGCCATTGAAGTTTTAATAGATTGAGCAGTTAAGTGCACTGCCACAGAGTGCGGATGCACTAAAACACAATGACTGAAGCCTTTGTATTCTTATGTAAAGGTTTTGGTGATGGCTTTGATGATGTCATTATACAAGGAGACCTTGATGAGCTCAGATTTGTGGCATTTTATACAAGGTATGTGAGGTGTTATTTCTATCATGGCAAACACTCTTTACTTTTCCTAAAACTGCAGTTTTTTTTTTCAATAAACAAGATGTATTCATTTGTTTATTTGGATGGGACATTATGAGCATTTTTCAACAGCAGCTGCTCTAGATACATCACATTTCCATCCTTTGTCCCACAATCACTTTCACAAAGTTTGTTTATATTCAGTCATCCCGAAGTATTGTACAAGGTTTTACATGGTTAGAGGAAACTGGGGCACCCGGAGGAAACTGGAGCACGCAGAGTAAACCTACATACCTGCGTGTACAATACGTACTGTATATATTTCACAATAATAAAAAACGTACACATACAGCTAGGAATTATACATTTGTGATTAAAATCAAAACTCGAGTCCCTTTTTAGATAAGTAAATATTTTTGTATTCTCCAAACCCATCTCTTTGGAGCGACAAGGAACCTATTTAGAATATACAATAACAATATGTGTTACAGATGACTGTTTTGCTTACATTTATGAAGAGACACAAATTTGCTTCTATTAATTGTTTGTTCTAAATGCAAATGTTATCCTTTTTCATTTGCATTAAATCAAGCTCTTCTTTGCTGTGTCCATATCTGTAGGAGTGAGGAAGTGGTTGCTGTTGCCAGTATGAACTATGATCCCATTGTATCCCGAGTGGCAGAGGTCTTAGGATCTGGAAAGACGATTAAGAAACGTGATGTGGAGTAAGTCTTAAATCTGGTCCCTTGTGAAAGCAGTGTTTCTTAGATTTGTACTTTAAATGGGGGTGGAATTTATAAAGTAATGAAAAAATCAACACTTTTTATATAATTGTGTTTTTCTTATGTAGGCTCCAACCTATTTCTATTCCTAAATTGTAGATTATTCAACAACATTGATAGTGAAGACAGCTAACTTTCTCACAGCTTAAACACAATTAAAACAACAAAAAAGCAGATAATGATTATAACAGTCAAAAACCAGCAGTAGTAATAGGGATTAAGTGATATTTCTATTATTGTATGTCATTTGAGGCAGTTTAAACAATTTGTTGTTGCCTGCTTACACATTTTTGGCAAGGAACTTTTGTTATTTTCTCATTTGCCAATTTTGAATCTCTTTACTATTATGCTCTTCAAGGATGCTAGCACGACTTGGCAAGTACGGAAAAATAAAAGAATTAACCTTTTTTATTGTGATAAAAGTGATAAATACACTTAATATTTTGTTATTTTCTGTTTTTCAGGACTGGAGATATTTCTTGGTTGATTGATAAAGGGTCTCAGTGATTCCTCTGGTCAGCTGAAAAAGGATGATGGTTCCGAGACACTGAGTAGTTGTTCCAGCCCGGGCACTGTCGTACATGTCTCACACCCCACATACTATATCGTGTCCCACAAGGATAAGTGTAGTATCTTGTAATTTATACCTATTTTAATGTTTTAACAGTATCAATGTCCACCATCATTCTAAAGTAAGGTTATTAGGAAGTAACATTGCAACATTCATTCTGTCTTCTACCAAATATTACGCATACTCAATATAATATTACTAAAAAACATAAATCTCAATAGATTATATGGTTTTGCCTAAAACATTTCTTCATGGATAGTGATAAGAGGTTTCTGGTCAAAAACCTTTACTTGCAGATGATTAAGTTCAATGATTGTTTTCCGCCTCTCTTATTTCAGTTTAAACACAGCTGCATGAGACTCACAAGCCTGTAAATGATGTCATTAGTTTAATGCCGTTTTTCATTTGACCTGTACAATGTGGCAGAGATGGGCATTTGAATGTTGTATATATTCTTTTTCTGCATAAAACTTTTTATAATTGCACTACAACTAAATAGGGATTTTAATTAAAAACAGATTTAGACTTGCATGCTTTCTTGTGGATTTCCAGAGGCATTGAAAAAATTAAATAATCACACCTGTATGATGTATCTTACAATATCGATAATATTAAGGATACCAACATACTTCTTTTTGTTTCCTTCCTTTAGACTGGGCAAATGTCTGTTATTCAGTAGTGAAGGTTTACAAACAGTTCAAAAAAGTATCATATGCAAGAGGTCACACCTATTTTTTACTAACTCAGGGAACTGAGGCTGTGGCTGAATTTATAGATTAAAATCAACTGAAATTGTCTGCACACCTCACAACACAAGCCCTGACCCACACTGACCGGTACACTGGATAAAATCATTGTTCAGACTCTTGCATTTTTAATAGAAAAAATAAATTACTTTCAACTGTTTGTGCGTACAATGTTAATTCTTGTTAGTCCATAACACAATATTTGTTGTTTTATGATTTTATCCAAGTTCATCAACACTACACTAAATTCAGAGCAATTTTCATAAAAAAAATGCTTTGGATGAAAACAGTATCATACATTTAAATATTTGACAGAATTTTGATCTAACAAAAACATAGTACATTGATTTTTCTAACATTCACAATATTAAAAAGCACCATACAAATCAAAGAGAATAAATATAATAAACTGAAGTCAAAATGTGGTAGTGCTATCATCCATTGAGTGTGAAACCTTAAAGAAAAAAAGACAAAATACGCTTTGGATGACGACTAGATAATTGGTCATGTATCAAAACAATGCTGTCTAAAATGTAAAAGTTTATGAAAATATTTCTGCTCATAGAAAACGCATTGTAAACATCTATCACATTATTTCACAGTATAAATTGATAGTTGCATATAATTCCAAAGGCACTTGATAATATAAATTGTTTGAGATGACTGGTATAGAGGAATCATAGGTTTTCCCACTGCTCGGGTATGTGGCTCACAGGTCATATTCAGCTGCACATTGCTGAAGGTACCACTCGTACAGTTTGCTCTGTGGAAGACCAACAGATTATTCAGCAACATGTGACCTACGACTCAATATCAATGTATGAATTTAACTAACCTTCTTTGTTTTGACAATTTCCTGGATGTATTCATTGAATTGAGCCAATGACCGTTTCTCTTTCTTTGAGAGAGTTGTATTTCTTTGTCTGGGAAAAAATATATATATTAGGATTTGCTTTTAACTTATTATCCTGCTTACGCCATACCTTGCAAAATGCTTTGCCAAGAAAAGCAGTAGGTAGCAAAAAGCCATGAAAAAAATCACAAACACAACCTGTCCATCTTCTGGTATCCACTCCCAAATGAACAGGACTATTCCCTGTAACAATCATAATGCATAAAAACAAGTGGAATCCGTTAGTTTACATTGGTCAAAGTGGTCCGCCGGCGCTCACTAAGACATGCCTGTGCTTTTCATCATAGATATACCCCAACTATTAGAGACAAAGTCAGAAAAAAAATCCAGAAATGTTTGTTGCAAATAATGGAGAAAAATAAGTCATTAGTCAATTTTCAATTGTCTTACAAACTCCATTGCACTTTTTTTTAACCGCATTTGTATGTGTGTTTAATGATTGTATTGCCAAGGGCTACAGATAGAAAGTAGCATGGTGCTAAATCTGGTTCAGCCATCTTTTTAATGTGACTGCACATTGTCCTTAAAAAAAACTAAACTAAACTTAACTAAATAACAAAAATACATTTCAATACTATTTTTTTTGGCAATGACAGAAGTTTTTTTTATTGTAAGTCTTCACAAGGTTTTCACACACTGTTGCTGGTATTTTTTAGTTATCTTCCAGAGCAGCAATGTTTTGTGGCTGTGGCCGGGGCATGCAGACAACTCCCTTCAGAATTATCTTCTATGGGGTTGAGATCTGGAGACTGGCAAGGCCACTCTAGGACCAGCTTGAAATGCTTCTTACGAAGCCTCTCCTTCATTGCAGAGGCAGTGTGTTTGGGATCACGCTGAAGACCCAAAATCTCAATCCTCTTTTGAATCATCCAAATGCTCTTTAGCAAACCTCAGAGGGAGCGTGACTCAAAGGACATTTATTTACATTTATGGAGATTGGTCATTCGCCCCTTATGAATCAATGTGTTTTTTATCATTGCCTTTCCGGTGTTTGACCAGTTTGATTAGTCCTCCAAGATAACTGCTCTTGTGATTTAGGGCTATACAAAAATAAATTTAACTGAACTGACTCAACTGGCAGAGGACTCATCAAACACACACCTCTAGTGATGCATGGGGGTGGAAACATCATGCTTTGGGGTGGTTTGGCTGCAAAAGGGACCAGATAGATAGATAGATAGATAGATAAATACTTTATTCATCCCAGCGAGGGGAAATTCAGTTGTCCTTAGTAGCAAAACAGCGGATAAAAAAGACAATACATATAAAAAAAAAAAATAAATAAAAAAAAATTAAAACCCCCACACATTTACATCAGCGATGACCGTTATAAAATCGAATTGCAGCAGGGATGAAGGATCTCCGGAAGCGCTCAGTCCTGCTGTCTACGGAGAGGAAACGATCTGATCGATTGCTCTTCTGAGCAGACAGAGTCCCATGCAGAGGGTGCCTGGAGTTACTAAGGATGGCCTGGACCTTTCTCCCCATGCACCTCTCAACCACTGCCTCAACAGAGTCCAGTGACCCCCCCAACCACTGACCTCGCCCTCTTAACCAGTTACTTCAGACTTGCTGCTTGCTCAGCGCATGCGCAGACCAGAGGACGCTTGATGCGTGTAAAAGAAAGAATGAATGGAGCCAAGCATCGTGAGATTTTGAGAGAGAACCTCCTTCCATCAGCAAGAGCATTGAAGATAAATGTGGCTGGATCTTTGAGCATGACATTGATCCCAAACACACTGCTAGGGAGACGAAGGAGTGGCTTTGTAAGAAGAAATTCATGATCTTGGAGGTCATTATATTATATACCACTAAAACATGAAAACTGAATAATTATGTCATTTGTAAATTTCAGATTTCCACTGAACATATACAAAATAAATGAAACTTACAGTTATAATAGAAATGGTTTGGGCCAAGCCTTCCCCAGTAAGATCTGCCAACTGCTCTTTGGAGAATGAACTCAAAATAAAACTTAGGATGAACAGCAGAGGGAGAAAGATTCCCAAAGTTCCATATAAAAGCGAGTAGAGGCGCACACTTTTGTTGTAGGATGCATCAGACCTGTAAACACATGAACAAAACTATCACGGCGGTAATGGAGGCAGCTGACTTTGGTGTAATCGTACTCAGACCATACCGGTCCTTCTCCAGTCTGTTGCTGATAGAGGTAGATATCAGATCACAATCTTTTTCCAATTGGTCCAGTGTCTTCTGTACAGCCTGGTTAATCGCCTTTTCAATTGTCTTACAAACACCATCAATCTGGTTCTCACAGCGACTGGGCTGTACAAAACAAGTATATGTAGTAGTTACATTGTCTTTGTTTAGTGTGCATTTGAGCCTGATCGGTAATGTTTGATTAACTTTTGTTGCTCCATTTCTGTAGATGATGGGAAAGGGATAAGCTAAGGTTAAAATGTGAGCTGTAAATTATAGATTTGTTTTTACTTTCCCTCCATCCATTTTCTTCCTCTTCATCCATTTTTGGGTCAGGGGGGGTGGCCAGAGATGCCACCCAAGTCACATAGCACCAGCCCCTCACTGATCCTCCAGCAGGTGGTGAGTCCACAGGAGGGAGGCCGCTCTATGGCATAACCTTGGTCTATCAGCGGGGGCTTCAGGCAAAGTGTCTTACCCAGGGACACAACCACAGCAGACCTCAGTGGGAGTCTCGTGGTGGGCCAATACTCTACCAACTGAGCCACTATCACCCCAATATCACAAAATGGGAAGTTACAGTCATCATCATAAAACATGATTACATATATGACATGTGTCTCATTTTAAATTCAGGACACAGCAGATTTATTGGTTTGAACATTTCAAAAATAAAAAAAAATATTAAAAAGGTCTGTGGCTCCATCACTTCAGGAATCATGTGGTAATTATCCACCAACATAAAGTTACATACTGTTGCTCTAATAACTATACTGATGCATCTGTAACATAATGTCCCGAGATGATAGGTATCCAAATCAAAAACTATCAAAGGCTGTATTTCTCAAATAGGATAAATTAAAGTTTGAGGTTTGCAATGCTTGGTGTCTTCTGAGTAGATAATGATCTCTGCTTGTAAATTTGTGAGATCAATAAAGTTTTTTATATATTTATCTTATCTTTACGTCCTGGTGTTTGACCTTCCTCCACCACAACGCTGTGCAACTCTGCATTATCACAGAATCACACAGAAGTAACTAGTACCCCCATGACGTGATCTTGTCTATTTAAATTAGAATACCTTCTGTGGATTGGGGATGTATATTGTTGGCATCTCAAAACCACATTTATTGAGACCAGGGCGACGGCACAGCTCTTGCACAATCTGCATCATAACCCTCTGCAAACAAAAGAACACATGGTAAACTCGGGTGAGTTGTGTGGGTGAATGCTTCAATTCAAGAATTACCAAGAAGCATACCTGTCTGTCAGTTTCTTTCCCAGCCTCGTCTGCCTTGCTCAGGTAGAACAATAGCTTATCCCCACAACTTTCACTCAGTCTTTCTACAATGTTGAGAGTGCGCTTGCATAGAGCCTGGCCCATTGGGTCGAAGAATACGAATATCATGTCAGATTGTTGTCCTGCACAAAACAGATATCATCCATTGAAAAAAAATCCTCCATAGTTCAAAGTTAAATTGAAGAATAAACATACCTAACCATGTGATGGCACTGTTAACATCAAAAGGGTAAATCATGTCTCCATCCACCAAACCTGGAGTGTCAATAAACGTTACCAAACTAAACTTCTTCTGTTTGGAGGTAGAAATCTCAGCCGATAGGTAATCCAGCGCACCTTGAACAAATCAGTAAAGTTAATAACAAACAATAATGTTAATTTTATACCGAAAAATATTGTATTAATGAGACTTTATTTAAAGTAAAATTTTGGTCAGGGCCCAGGGGCCTAAACATTTACATTTAGTTTGGATATTGTATGGGAGATTTCTCGGAACAAAATTAGTACAGTTTGATTGAACCAAAACTAGATCGAAAGGAAGGAAGGCTAATATGACATATGTTAATATTTTTGGGTCCAATATTGAGAATAAAATAAACAACATGGTTGTTTTCCTGAGAATGCAATTTATTTGTTTAAAATACTGTTTTTTTTTTTTTGTTTTTTTTTGTACATAATAAGCCAAAGAAAGACAACACTATGTGATCAAACTTAATAACTGAACTGCAGAGGAATACTGGTAGGATCTCTGTGTTATTGTTCGTCAAATTGGTAAACATGAGTCAAAACTCTTCAATACTTATTCATTACATAGCACATATAACTGACAAGTCAATAGGCTAAATATTGGTCTCTTGAAAGGCAAAAGAATGCTGTCGCTGAAAGCTGATGGTTGCAAAGTTCCTCAAGTGACTGTAACTGAGAAGCCAACACGAGCCTATGCTCTGGAAAAAGGCAAAGCACCAGTCATGCTGCACCAATAAAACAGCCACCAGCAAACCTACAGGTAGTGGACAATAAAAACAAAACCATTCACATTAAGCAACTGGGTACTTTCCAAAGGGGCGAAAAAAGACCACATAAAGTTATTTGGATGAGTCATCCTCCGTTTCTAAATTGGGTAAACATATGTCTGACGCAGCAGGTTTCCAGAAGCACTGTTGGAGTTGTAAATCCAGTTTGTATTCCTGAGGTGATCCAGAGGTAGTGCAGGTCTAAGGACGCTGATGCTTCTCCGTCTGAACCCACTGCACTACTGCCGATGGGGCGTGTGACTCACAGCATACAGGGAGTTCCAGTTTGCACTGAGTGAACCCTTGTGCATCATCAGTGCATGGACATACAGCCCCCTCCTCCACACCCTCCCTCTGAGGCACATCCATGCTTTAGCATAAGCACCATCACAATACTGACACACACAGATTTACACAGATGTTTTTAATAATGTCCCCACTCTGAATGCTGTGATCAGACATTGTATTTATAAGTCCATGAAACGCTCTTAGCACTCTTTAAATGTAATAATGAATGTTTTTACTGTACAGAGCAGTGTTAGGCACACCTCTGATCTCTGGAGGCATTGGAGAAGCTGTCTTTGTAGAATTTTGTAAATATTGAATGTTTGTGTGTTTTTTTGTCACTTTTGTTTTATATGTTTTATATGGACCCTTTGTGTGCCTGAATTGAAGATTAAATTAAAAAATTAAAAATATACACTGTTGTAGACTTTACACAATATACTGCCATCACTCTTTTAGTGACAATACTGTAGATAAACCTCTTTGAAGAAAAGTTTGGATAAACAATAATAAATTATGACTCCAAAATGTAATAATTCAATTACCTTTATTTAACCAAGAAACCTGTTCCCAGAAAGAGGGGAGCTACAGTACATGTCTTAGTGGTACGTAGCACCTGGAATAAATCTACACACAACATGGGAATCCTTGAGGTGGCATCTTACCACCAGAGTGCTACACTCAGCCACTGTGCCACCTTTGACGATTTAAATCTAGCTTATTTCCCAAGACAGTCACTTAAAACATGATTTCTAAGATTAAGGAAAAGTAGGATGCGAAACGTCATAATAAGCACAATATAATAATGTGTTTTTGTTTGCAGGAAACATTTACCTTTGAACTCGAGGAGTGGTCGAAAGTGAGGGTAAAGATGTAATGTTGCATTTCCCTGCACAAAGCAAAACATGTGACATGAGGATCTGCGTTCTCCCATTTTAAAGCTCTACCTGTCGTGACCTATGAGTTACTTCCAAGAAGCACAAATGGCAGAGAGTGAGCCTGAGATATGGTTACTACAAACAGTTATTATTTACCATCACAGAATTGTTACAAGTGCACAAAGTAAGTTTGCTTTTAGGATATGAGCTTTGTTATGAGCTATGAATAATACATTCTGTTAATTTTTTAATACTTTGGGGAACTACCTTGAAGGGGGTGGCAAGCTACAGGTTGGAGACCCCATCTCATAATCTTTGGTTAATGTCCTGTGTATGATTATTATTAGGGATGCACCAATACCACTTTTTTCAAAACCGATACCAGTACGAGTACCTTAATTTGAGTACTTACACGTATTGAGTATTGCATATAGACTGTAAATATTACTGCATAATATTAGTTTTGTGGGAATTCATAAAACTAATACAACTGAAATTTAAAAAATATCTAAACTGAGGGTATCAGTTGCCAGAAACGAGTCCTATGATATCGACCTGATACCTGATATCGGTGCACCCCAAATTATTATATCATGTTTTTTTCTGATCAGGTGCTAATATCTACTGTATACATATTTTTTTCTAATACCACTACCACAGAAACTTTGACAAGACTCACTCAATTAAATGTGTACACTGGACTTACTGTCAATGACTCTCTTTTGCGCCCGCTTGTAATGAATGTAAACCCTTGTGTTTCAATGGCAACACCCGTTTTTTGTATATGCTCCTCCACATACCTGAGACACAGGGCACAGCAGTATGTTAATAAATAATGATGGCGTTTCTATTTGTAAGTCAATTATGTTTGTTACCAGTTTATGAAGGAACTCTTGCCTGCTGAATGATTTCCCATTATCATGACAACAATTTTCTTTCTAGGAGGAAGAAGCTGCACTCCCAGGCTGTTGGCAATTTTAACCAAGCCTGATTTAAATAAAGATAAAACATTAAAACGGCAATTTCTAGGGTCGTCAATCTTTGGTCATTATGGGTGAAGGACATCCTAGTCCAGTGGTTCCCAAAGAGGGGGCTGTGAAAATGTACAATTTATAAATGATGACACTATATTTAATCAGTTATTTAATACTACAGGTTTAGGACACATCATCTAGTCTTCTTGGTAGTTTAAAGTAGTTTGTTACTTTTATACCAAACAATTGTAAGATAACGATGCTAAAACCTCCGCCTTCCTCAGGTGAAATGAATGAATTTGATATTTCAAATTATTACTGCTACAGTCAACACTCGCAAATTACAGTATTTTTTGGCATCCTTGTTGACAAAAGTATGTTTTAGTCGACTAAATATTTTATTTCAAATATAAGCAATTATAGGTCTATGTGAAAACTGCCAAAACAGAGGTGTGGATCATATATACACCAATCCAGGGGGATTGGTATTTTGTTTTTTAATGAGCGAGACACAAGCCGTTACTGAGCTAAAAGAGATGACATTTTAATGCCAGAATGTGTTGGAGAAAAACTTCGTCCATGAGCACTCCCCTACCGTGCTAGAGCTAGGGGATGTTGTCCTTGTATGTACAGTCTTTGATAGTCAACCAATAGAACGATTGGGCAAAAATTTGGTTTACAGCTGAGTTTCTTAATTGTTAAATGTAACATTTCTGGAATTTTTCACTTGGATTGTCTGCACATAGGAATTATCTTGGAGTAATCTGTGGAGGTAGTTGCTGATCCACTGTAGTAACAATGTATCAGCTTGTGCAATGTCGTAACTTATGTTAGTAACCTACAAGACAAGGGCGCTGCCCCTTCTCTCAGGACAGCTGCTGTCATTTGTGACGCTGACAGACAGCTCCACACAGACAGCTCCACACAGACCCCTGGACACCAGCTGAATACACCACTAGTCACTATTTCAAACTTTATCGCGCAAGTCAGTGCATGTAGGGGGTATTTACCGTGTTCGCTGTCCACATACAGACTGTGACACTCTTTCAGTATCCTCTCACTCGGTGTTGTGATTGCAGACTCCAGAGGATTGGCCACGGACCGAGGTTTTCGGCCCGACATGATTGAGGACCAGTATTCTGATTAGATACAGGGACCAGAGGGGTCCAAAGGGGGACAGAGGGGACGGCACCAGGGCGCACCAGCCGCGCAGGTCCTCCGCACACAGGGGAAGCGTTTCACTGTTGCACACATTCAACTGCACAAACAACATAGTGCCATCTGCTGGGAGATCTCCAACAGAACATGTTCATGTATGTATGTTTCTATCATGTATAACATGTAATTGCTGTAATTTTTATTATTAATTCCCGTTTACAAGCTTGACATAAGCCAATCATTCAGTCAATCAAATCATATCAGCCAATTGGCAATATCTGGAACCCCCTTTTGCAGATAGGGTATGATCTCTTCAAGCTTCTATAGATTGTCAGTTTGGTTTTGCCCATTTGTCCTAGGAGAGTTGTTTTGAACAGCAGTTTTCCCAGATTTTCACTTGGATTTATTGTAGGTCTAGACTTTGACTGGGCCATTCCAACACATGGATATGTCTTTTTGTAAACCATTCTGAACTTTTTTTTATGTTTAGGGAAATGGCCATGATGGTAAACATAAACCCCAGCCTCAAGGGTTTTGCTATCTTCTTTTCTTCCAAGATCATTAATCATTTCATCTTTTTAGAGGATTCTTCTGGTTCGCTGAAATTGAATGTCTCCTGCCGGTGCCCTGCATCGTCTACCTCAAGGGGATTTTTTTAACCTTTAACTTACAAGGAAACTCCCACTTCGATTTCAGAATCTCTTTTTCAGGGGAGTCCTAGCCCCCGAGAGAGGGAGGCAATTGTACGTGTTTTTAAAAGGTAGGGGAAACCGGGGCACCCGGAGGAAACCTACGCAGGTACAGGGAGAACATGCAAACTCCTCTCAGGAAGGTCCTTTCTGGAGGTGGAATTAAACCCAGGACTTTCCAGGTGAGAAGTGCGACTGCTAACCACTCAGCTGCCATCCTGCCCGATAAAAATTAAGTGCACTCAGTGGTCATTTTATTTTGATACCAAACTATTTTATTTTCATGAGATCTCAGGAGGAATATTTTGGCCGATCTGTGTTATTTGTGTGTATAATAAGAATCGTTGACCAAGAACAGATAAAGAACTGAAAACTATATAATAATTCCAACTTACTAAATGACTTTTAATTTACAGCCAGCCACCTCATAAAATCTAGAATTAAACAATCTGACCCTATATCTCAGAGCTGTTACTGTGGGGATACATTTCGGTTAAATTTTGAGCTATATAATGCCCTGTATAAATAAATATTACTCACTTACTGAGATTGTTTGAGACTTTTCCATTTATTTAGAGAGCAAATGTATTGTCGTGTTAATGAAAAATATCGGAATCCATCCATCCATCCATTTTCTTCCGCTTCATCCGTAGCCGGGTCGCGGGGGCAGCAGTCTAAGCAGAGACGCCCAGACTTCCCTATCCACACAAACTTCCTCCAGCTCGTCCGGGGGGACCCCAAGGCGTTCCCAGGCCAGCTGAGAGACATAGTCCCTCCAGCGTGTCCTGGGTCTTCCCCGGGGCCTCCTCCCGGTGGGACGTGCCCGGAACACCTCCCCAGGGAGGCGTCCAGAAGGCATCCGGAACAGATGCCCGAGCCACCTCAACTGGTTCCTCTCGACGTGGAGTAGCAGCAGCTCTACTCCGAGCTCCTCCCGTATGACTGAGCTCCTCACCCTATCTCTAAGGGAGCGCCCAGCCACTCTGCGGAGGAAGCTCATTTAGACCGCTTGTATCCGCGATCTCGTTCTTTCGGTCATTACCCAAAGCTCATGACCATAGGTGAGGGAGGGGACGAAGATTGACCGGTAAATCGAGAGCTTTGCCTTTCGACTCAACTCCCTCTTCACCACGACGGTCCGATACAGCGACCGCATCACTGCGCACGCGGCACCAATCCGCCTGTCAATCTCGCGCTCTATCTTTCCCTCACTCGTGAACAAGACCCCGAGATACTTGAACTCCTCCATTTGAGGAAGGACCTCTTCACCCACCCGGAGAGGGCAAGGCACCCTTTTCCGGTCGAGCACCATGGCCTCAGATTTGGAGGTGCTGATTCTCATCCCAGTGGCTTCACACTCGGCTGCAAACCGTCCCAGTGCATGTTGCAGGTCCTGGTTTGTTGGAGCCAACAGGACAACATCGTCCGCAAACAGCAGAGATGAAATCCTGTGGTCGCCAAAACCACACTGCTCCTCCTGAATCCGAGATTCGACCAACGGCCGTAGCCTCCTCTCCAGTACCTTGGAGTAGACCTTACCGGGGAGGCTGAGGAGTGTGATCCCACGATAATTGGAACACACCCTCCGGCCCCCCTTCTTGTAGAGAGGGACCACCACCCCGGTCTGCCACTGCATTGGCACCGCCCCCGATCACCACGCGATGTTGCAGAGACGTGTCAGCCAAGACAGTCCCACAACATCCAGAGACTTTAAATAGTCAGGATGAATCTCAGCCACTCCCGGCGCCTTGCCACCATGGAGGCTGCCAACCACCTTGGTGACCTCTGCCAGGGAGATGGAAGTATCCGCCCCAACATCCTCAGCCTCTGCCCCCGGGGCGGAAGACGTGACTGGGGGATTGAGGAGAACCTCAAAGTATTCCTTCCACCGTCCAACAATATCCCCAGTCGAGGTCAGCAGCTCTCCACCCGCACCATACACGGTGTTGGCAAAGAACTGCTTCCCCCTCCTGAGGCGCCGGACGGTTTCCCAGAATCTCTTCGAGGCCGACCGATAGTCATGCTCCATGGACTCTCCGAACTCCTCCCAGTCCCGGGTTTTTGCCTCTGCAACAGCCCGGGCCGCGGCACGCTTGGCCAGCCGATATTGGACAGCTGCCTCAGGAGTCCCCCGAACCATCATGGCTCGATAGGACTCCTTCTTCAGCCTGACGGCATCCCTTACTGCCGGTGTCCACCACCGGGTTCGGGGGTTACCACCGGGACCAGCACCAGAGACCTTACGACCACAGCTACGAGCCGCCGCATCGGCGATAGAGGAAGAGAACATGGTCCACTCAGACTCGATATCCCCCTCCTCCACCGGGACCTGGGAGAAGCTCTCCCGGAGGTGTGAGTTGAAAGTCCGTCTGATAGGGGGCTCAGCGAGACGTTCCCAGCAGACCCTCACTACACGCTTGGGTCTGCCAGGTCTGACCGGCTTCCTCCCCTGCCAGCGGATCCAACTCACGACCAGGTGGTGATCGGTTGACAGCTCCGCCCCTCTCTTCACCCGAGTGTCCGAGACACGCGGCCGAAGGTCAGATGATACGACAACAAAGTCGATCATCGACCTCCGGCCTAGGGTGTTCTGGTGCAACGTGCACTGGTGGACACCCTTGTGCTCGAACATGGTGTTCGTGATGGACAAACTGTGACTAGCACAGAAGTCCAACAACTGAACACCGCTCGGGTTCAGATCAGGGGGGCCGTTCTTCCCGATCACCCCTCTCCAAGTGTCACTGGCATTTCCCACATGGGCGTTGAAGTCCCCCAGGAGAATAACGGAGTCCCCGGGCGGTGCACCGTCCAGTACCCCTCCCAAGGACTCCAAGAAGGCCGGGTACTCTGCACTGCCGTTGGGCCCGTAGGCCGTCACAACAGTGAGAGACTTGTCCCCCACCCGAAGGCGGAGGGACGCGACCCTCTCATTCACCGGGGAGAACTCCAACACGTGGCGGCTGAGATGGGGGGCAATGAGTATGGCCACCCCCGCTCGCCGCCTCTCCCCGCGAGAAACACCAGAAAAGTGGAGCGTCCAACCCCTCTCAAGGAGTTGGGTTCCAGAGCCCAAACTGTGTGTGGAGGTGAGGCCGACTATCTCTAGTCGGTATCTCTCAACCTCCACCACGAGCTCGGGCTCCTTCCCCTCCAGTGAGGTGACGTTCCACGTCCCAAGAGCCAGACTGGGTCGCCGAGGTCTCCGCCTTCGACCGCTGCCCAGTCCTCTCTACACCGCTTCGCCACCACGGACCCCTCTGCGGGTGGTGGGCCCACAGGAGGGACTGCCCACGTCGTCCATTCGGGCTGAGCCCGGCCGGGCCCCGTGGGCTAAGGCCCGGCCACCAGGCGCTCGCATACGAGCCCCGACCCCAGGCCTCGCTCCAGGGTGGGGCCCTGGCTGCCATGCCGGGCGACGTCACTGTTCTCATATTCGTGCTGTCCATGGTGTCTTCAGACTGCTCTTCGTCTGACTCGTCACCCGAGACCTGTCTGCCATGGGAGGCCCTACCAGGGGCATGAAGCCCCAGACAGCATAGCTCCCAGGATCACCCGAGTACTCAAACTCCCTCACCACGTTAAGGTGGCAGTCCAGGGGGGTCCATATCGGAATATTACACCAAAATATGACAACTCAATAGGAAACGGACCTCTGATTATGGACCTGCAGCTTCGAGATCTCTCACAGGTGTTGTTGATGTGTGAAGTACCAAGAAATAAAATATTACACCTTGGCCTGGAAATATTTGTTTCCTTTTTTTTTTAATGTGTTGATCATGTTATGTTCATCACATCATGTACACAACATTGTTTCTCTTGTTTTACCCATGATTTGTTCCCCTTTCCCTTCTCCCTGTGTGTCCCTTGTACAACAAAATAATCCAAAGTAAAAAATAAACAAAAATACATAAATAAAAAACAAAAATAAACTTTACCTAGGTTGCTAGATGTAGGAAATGGTCGTGGAGTTTCAGACTTTTGGAAATATTTGTATCAAAGTTTATCAAATGAAATAAAAAGTGTTACATTTCATAGTAGCTTTTGTAACTGGTGCAAAGGTTACAATCTTTTTAAGTATGCTTTGAAAAAGAGACATTTTTGGAGCTTGGAAAGAGTATTATTCTACATTTGGTCTACTTTGGTGCACACGGTAACATTTATTTAATTGTGTCTTCTATTTTGCAACCTGTAACGGTTTGTAGTCTACTGTATGGAAATGTACAACAAACACTGCATTTTCTTTATAGTTTTCACAGCGTTCCAAATGCCTGAATGAAAATAAATGCTGCTGGACATCAGTCGAAGCGTTAAGTCCCTTTTTTTTGAAGATCAGTTACAGCTTTCACCAGATTCCCAATCTAAACTTATCTTTCCAATGGTCACTGAGGCATTTAGGACAAAGTGTGTTCGTTTAACTCAGGTTTTTAAATGACTATGTTACAACAACAAAAACAAGGCGAGAATAAAAACTAGGTGGATGTTAAGAGGATAAAGTCTACTTGGGTGGATTTACAATCCCTTTGAGTTTTTGTTTTTTGTTTTACCTTGGTGTGGTTTTATAACAGTGGTTTTCTTACTTCCTTCTGGATTTTAAAAATTTGACTATATATGCAGAGATTGTAGAATCAATACTACCTCTGAATATTACGTCTAGTAAATATTGTCAAATTGTAAATAGAAATGCCAGTAGGCCAAAGATTATATTATTGATCTATTTCTGTCTGACTAAAGCTTGAACAAGTTCATTGTGCATCAATAAAAGGACTTTTGGTTGTAGCGTATGTACAGGGTGAGATTGTAACCTGCAGCAGGGAAATGTGGGTCAAACTTGCCCTAAGTTGTACATTCCACTCGTGGAGATTTTTTTTTTTTTTTTAAGTCAATGCAATATAGAACAAACAAATAAGGTACTTTAAAATGTTGGTTCTTTACAACATATCAACGTTCATAAACATACAGACAGACATATATAGTGAAGGGAGGCATGAATTTAAAAGTTAATTTAACTAAATGAAAGATGTTCTATAAATTAAAAATTACTGCATTTGTGGATGTAGTGTTTAACCAAAAATATAAGTTTTTTATTACCAAAGTCATTTGTACGATTGTTGAGAGAGGCTGCACTCCCGGAGGCTCTCCCCCTCAAGCTGGAATCAAATGCTGCACCTCATGAAGGCTCGCCATTATGAGCCCAGTGCTTCATGTGGAACACACATTATTATTGTTCAACCATCTTCCAAAATGAACTCAAATGAGGAATCTAAGAAGACCAAAAAAGAAGTAAGTGAAGCTACTTCCACATAAATGTATAGTCACATTTGACTGGATATTTGTAAATCCTTTATTTAGCTTCAAGGTTGTTTTTTGTTTTATAAAAGCGCTTTATATTTCATGAGCACATGTGATAAACGTGTTTGTCGATCATTAGTAAGCAACACTCAATAGTTTTAAGTTTAGAAGAGACTTTTTGGAGCAGATCTTGATTATTTTTTGTTCATCTTTGAAGAATTGAAAATCATCATTTCAAAGATTCCACTGGTATATTTCAAATATGCCTATCAAACGGTTGAATATAATTGTATAATTGTCAGAACACAAAAAATATTCAGTTCAAAAGATTTAAATCAGGGGATCTGTTATTAGAACATTGAACATGAATTAGCACCATGCTAAAGCTAATTATCTTATTTAGAACATAAATATATTATTGCAACATTATGTTAAGTATTATGTTTCAGTGGCTGTATGACATGGAACATTCATTAATGATTTAATGATTTTTATCAAAAAATTCCAGCCTCATTTAAAACACATATAATTCATTTAAGTGCTAGTCCTATTAAAACATGTGGATTGGAATTTTGATGACCCATTGAATAAAATGTCTAACTATAATCATTAAGGCTAAGCGAAAAAAAAAAAAAAATTGATTATTTAAACAAATATTGTAGTTTCCAATTTAGTTGTTAAGGGGGCAGCAGAGACCCGTAGAGGTCGAATATGTACGTTGGGCCAAAAATAAGGCCAGCAGGATTAGCCTTTCCAAAATAAAAAAGTCCATAATATAAACTTTTATAACAGCTTTGACATACTTACCCATAACTTATTGCTGTACTGCACAGAATACAGTGGAAAAATGTATGTAGTTATTCCTGCATAAATCGAATAGTAAGCTAAGTATTCCAAATCAATTCTAAAATTTCAATCGGTACCAGACCGCGGTGAAGTTAGTTTGAAGTTGGATAACCGACATTCAACGGTCTTTCCCTCTCGGTAAACCTCTCCTTCGCTCTGGGTACAGTGCGACTCAAAAGCCGCCGCAACATTTAAGTGCACCCGTACTACAGACAGTACGGTAAACACACGGAGACATGTACGCTGGTTTTTATTATTGAGTGTTTGGTTTTAAGGTGACATTTCAAATCTGTCCAGGGACAACAGATAAAAAATAGACTTGTGGCTAATTATTTAGCTAATTTTCATGAATGTACTCTGACCTTGTCAAATAAACAAATAAATAATAGAAGAAGGCTGCATTGTGTATCAATAGACTTAGAAGCTATTGAGCTAGAATGCTAACATTTACATATATAATATGTAAGTCTCTGCACTGGCTTCCTATGGCTCAGAGAATAGACTTTAAAACAGCTCTGCTTGTTACAAGTCTCTCCATGGCCTCGCACCAAAATATATTAGTGACATGTTAGTCCCGGATATGAACCTGCCCGGACTCTGAGGAGCACAGGGACTGGACTCCTGTTAGTGCCCAGAGTCAGAACTAAACATGGGGAGGCTGCATTTCAGATTCATGCTGCTAAAATCTGGAACAATCTTCCTTAGATCTCCTTAAATCTTCTTCCTGTAGATGTGAGACAGGCCTCCTCTCTGACAATGTTTAAAACCAGTTTATGATCATAGTCCTCCACTAGCTGCAGGAGGTACACCTCTTCTTTTGTCATTTAAATGTTTTAAGTATTTTTAAATAATTTTAATATGTAAATACTAGCATTTTAGCTCAATAGCTTCTTAGTCGTTTTATCTATTGACTCCAAATTAATCTTGGATCATGTCAACACAGTTTATTTGGACAACAGAAGTTAATACACAATGCAGCCTTCTTCTATTGTGTATTTGTTTATTTGACAAGGTCAGTGTACATTCATGAATATTAGCTAAAGAATTAGCCACAAGGCTATTTTTTATCTGTTGTCCCTGGACAGATTTGAAATGTCACCTTAAAACCAAACACTCAATAATAAAAACCAGCGTACATGTCTCCGTGTGTTTACCGTACTGTCTGTAGTACGGGTGCACTTAAATATTGCGGCGGCTTTTGAGTCGCACCCAGAGCGAAGGAGAGGTTTACCGAGAGGGAAAGACCGTGAATGTCTGTCGGATATCCAACTTCAAACTAACTTCACCGCGGTCTGGACCAGTGCATGAGTACGTGTAAAAAAATGAAAGAACACATCTGATCAAATTTGATAAGATATGAAATAAACTCGAATTAATGACGTTACTTTATGTCAGTGTTTTATATTAACAAATGCAGATACGTGGCTAGTGTAATTTATCATTATCTTGATTGTTTCAATATGATATTTCGCAATTTGAGAATTACTATATCAAGCAATCCAAATACAGTACAAAAAACGTTACAAAATAAAATTTGAAGCAGAAATCCAGCGTTCTAAAACTAACTGGATTTTTCTAAATATTCTTCCAGACACCATCTAAAGTTATTTCACGGTCGTTTGTATGATATTGCTGTCCTTTATAATCTCACCAGTGATACTTCTTCAGACACGTGTGATAGTTTGCCGTTCATCAAGAAAATAATAGGTTACAAATTAAAATACGGCCTTTCTCTAATCCGTGTGGTCACAGTTAATGTGAACGCCTGAGAAGTGTTTCTAACGCATTGTCACGGTGTGACAAGGAGGTATTTACCAGAGCATTATTTTGCTTGAGCGTCAGTCGCATCTATTAGAAGTCTTCAGGACTGGGCTCGTTGCTGCATGTCTATGATACAGACAGCCAAGATGCGAAAGGACAGGATGGATGAATATCAGCCATTGCTGGTTAAAGATGTCAAAGTTACTTTGCCTAGAAGGGTAGGTCCTGCTAGATTTATTTTTTCAACTTCTAGGCAAACTGTTGTATGTGCACAGTGAAGTATGATGTGAGTTTGTGTTCAGCTTCCGAACAGATCCCTGCTGATGGCTGCTGGTGCTGCTTGTATTGGTGGGACGTTTCAGTACGGATACAACATTTCTGTCATCAATGCACCAACCATGGTAACTTTTCATACATTTTGTTTACTCCTTTATATTATTTTTGCTTGTCTGTAAGCCAAGTCTAAATGTGATTTCTCGATTAAATAGAGTTCAATTGGTGTTGCAATGGGTCAGGGTAGTTCTTTATATCATTATTCATTAGAAACAAATAATCCACCATCAATAAGAGACACCAACAATTTAGATTAAATACTACTGTCTGTATATTCCCTCCAAGTTGTTTTATTGCTGGGCAATCCTGAATTATTGATTCATGATGGACAAACATGAAGAAACTATGAACGTCACACCCTGTGACCCCTGTTCTTCCATCGTGTATAAACAGTCTCTCATAATGATATCAGTGGTGGAATGTGAATAAGTATAAGTGATAATACTGTTTACAAATACTATTTGATGCTCTACTCACCTCTATTCAATGCAACAGTGTAAATACATGCATAAATGGGGTTGGGAGTGTATGAAAAAAAATCATTTTTTTGAAATACTAGAATAATCCAACGTCTGTGCCATTATTCTGATCTTGTTTCTGGTCCAAACTGGACCATCATTCTGGTCTCCGGGCTGTCACCCAATACCCCATTTTCTTATGTTTTACACTTTAAGTTCAATGAGTTGGAATTAATAATTTGCAGTCATTGTTTTTTTTTTTACCACTGTTATTGCCCTCCAGTATGTCCAAAGGTTTATAAATGAAACATGGACAGAGCGGTACAATACCAACATCTCAGGAGACGTCCTCACGCTGCTGTGGTCGACAATTGTGTCTATCTTCACCCTGGGCGGACTGGTGGGAGCTTCTCTGGGTGGGACTCTGTCTGTAAAGCTGGGCAGGTATGAGGATGATGCTAAGGCAAGGAAAACGTATTTGTTAACGCAAAATACACACACAGGAGACTACAGGAATTGAGAAACTACTAGAATTCCTGAAGTCATTTTGCCCATTCAAAAGAATATAGTATATAGTAAGTAGTGCTGTTTACAAAATAGAGGAATCCTAAAACATACATTTAAAAAAGTTTTAAAAGAAGAAAAGATCTCCTTCTAAAAGGTTTTCAGGATTTGAACATTGTCAGTATTGATCACACTTTCAGACATACTGTTCCAGATTTTAGCTGCATGAATAGCTCCAGATTTTTGCCCCATGTTCAGTCCTGAGTCACTTCACTTTGTGTTTCAGGAAAGGAACACTACTGACTAACAATGCATTCTCATTGATTGCCGGTTTATTAATGGGCATTAGTCGTTCCACCGGTTTCTTTGAGTTGCTCATAATTGGACGCTTTTTTAGTGGTTTGAATGCAGGTAAGAGTTGTTGTTTAATTGGGTCCATTTCTGTCTGTAACGCTGTTTTTATGCTTTAAAGGCATTGCTATCTGTGTTCAACCACTGTACTTGGGGGAAATGGCTCCTACTGCACTCCGTGGAGCAATGGGAATGGGAACCTCCATTTTCATTACTGGAGGGATTCTCACCGGACAAGTCATGGGTCTGAGGTGGTTGTAAAGGGATTTTAAACCTATACCTAATCCTTTAATCCTGATTGTGTGAACAGTATACCGTAGTTTGTTGTACATTACAGCCAAAAACATGGGTGAATGATACTGGGGTGCTTTCACAGAGAATTCCTTGGTGGAGAGGAGCAATGGCCTCTCCTGCTCTCTACCACTTGCATACCAGCCATAGTTCAGCTCATCATCCTTCCTTTCTTTCCTGAAAGCCCCCGCTATCTTTTGATCGACAAAGGAGACACTGAGGGCTGTAAGAAAGGTAAACATGTGATTCTGCACCATAAGTAATGCCTTTATGCACATGGCTACACTTCCTACCATGAGACTTTGTATTGAACTACATGGACATGTGATGACACTTTAGTAATGCTGGATGCTCTCAAGACCCATGGCCCGGGGAGCAGGTCAGATGAGTGCAGATAACAATCGGTCATGTGGTTTCTCCCTCAGCATTATGGCAGCTACATGGAGAGAGATTCTGTGAGGCAGAGCTGGATGACATTCAGAAGGAGAAGCTCAATTTAGTAGGAGTTCAGGCAAAGAAACCCTGGGAGCTTTTCTCCGACCGCAGCATGCGCTGGCAGCTTCTCACCATCATTCTGCTCAATGCAGCTCAGCAGCTCAACGGCATCAATGCTGTATGTCCCTAACTAATACATCCATATCCCATATTGTCCCAAATGATACAGTTTGTCTTTTTGTTACAGATATACTTTTATGCAGATTATGTGTTCAGACAGTCTGGCATCCCGGAGGATCAGATACGATATGTGACAGTTGGGACTGGAGCTTGTGAATGTCTCACTGCTTTGACCTGTGTAAGTTTTCAATAACATTTATAAAACTCAAATCTGTTACTGTGACACTAACAGATTTGCTCTCTTTGTCTCAGGGAATGCTTATCGAATGTTTGGGAAGAAAAGTGCTCATCATGGGAGGATACAGTCTGATGAGCATCTTCTGCATTTTGTTCACGCTCACACTCACTTTTCAAGTAGTTACACCCTTGAACTTTCTTCAAAATTCTTGTGAATTCTCACGTAACAGTGTTGTATCTTCACAGGAGGCCAGTCCGGTGGTTCCATACTTGAGTATGGCTTGTGTATTTGCATTTATCCTCAGTTTTGGTCTCGGTCCAGGTAACAAATGTCATTATCCGTGGCATTGAATATGATGTGTTCTGTAGTTCAGGATTACCTCTCATGTTTTCCTTGTGAAGGTGGCGTGACCAACATCCTCACCACTGAGTTATTCACACAAGCGACTCGTCCAGCAGCGTACATCATTGCAGGGAGTGTGAACTGGAGTAGCTTTTTCTTGATTGGCCTTCTTTTCCCGTTCATTGTGGTGTGTATTGGTCCATCAACCCTGCCCTTTAGCCATCAAAGTTCAGATAATACCCTTGATGTTTTTCTTGACAGATTGGACTGCAGCAGTATTGTTTCCTTGTCTTTCTTGTGGTCTCCACTGCGGTTGTCACATACATTTTCTTTGTAGTTCCTGAGACCAAGAACAAAACATTCCTTGAAATTCAGAATGAATTTCAGTCATCAAAAAAGTATGAAAATGGGACACTTTTGACAACAGCTATATAAACTTACAACAAGGGACACGTGCCATGTGGTTTTTGTAACAACTACAGTCTATGGTAACAACCTGCTATCAGTGCTTAATTAGTTAAGAATGAAAAGATTTTAATTGTCAAAAGTTCCAGTTATTGTATTTTATACAATATAATATTCTGTAATTATATAGTAATGATAATAATGTATAATTTAATAAAAATGTATGGTGTTTTATAGGAGCCCTGAGCAGGGCTGGACTGGGACAAAAAAACGGCCCGGGCATTTTTTCCTTCTTACCGGCCCAGGCATGTTTTTGTCACGTTTTTTACAGTTTGTTTATACCAGGGATCGGCAACTCAAAAGGTTCAAAGAGCCATATTTGACAAAAAAAACTAAAAACATCTGTCTGGAGCCGCAAAAAAATAACAGCCTTGTATAAAGCTTATATGAAGGTTACACAATGTAGCTACATTAGCTACATTAGCCTAATATCTAAAGGCTACAAATACATAATAAGCATTCATGATTATCAAATGTGTGTTTTCACTGCAGCGTGTCCTGGAGAGAATGACGCACCATGTGATGACTCTGCTTTAACTTTGACTTCCATTTTACAATACAGTAAATAAATCTGCTTTTTGGCTCAAAGGTCACACACCTGCACTGTCCGCTCATATCGATCACGTCACAGGCTGAAGTTTGCTGGAGCTGAATGTCCTTTTCTTTCACAGTCTTTGCGGAGGTTTTTGAAGTCTGAAAAAAGTGCTCCGGATTTTGTATGAAAGAATCCTATCCCTGTGAACGGTATTTAGTGCTTCATTGTTCCTCGTGTTGCAACAAAACTTCTCATTACATCGCAAACATGAAGCAGTCCTTCCTCATTGACTGAAAGCAAATGTTCAGTCTTGTTCTTAGTCCAGTCTTATTATCAACTCGTTCTCTTTTTATCTTTGGGATCCGTGCGCACACGCCGGTTTGTTTACAGCAGCAGCCGCCTGGCGCGGGGCCGCGCCACAGGATATGACGCACTACGTTGACAGAAATGTTGAAATCGAATATTACTTATACACATTTTTACAGCATTGAAATACGTTAGGAATGTTTTTCCTCCTACAGAAACCACATTCAAACTAGGAATAAAATATAGCCCTCCCACTCCATTTTCAGACATTTTTGAAAAGGCTCCAGGAGCCACTGGAGGAGCACTAAAGGTTGCCGACCCCTGGTTTATACAGTATGTGGAAGCATACTGTAGAGGATCAGGATGTCTACAGTTTCAACAAAAAAATAAAGTGCAATAGTCTACATTACAAGAGAGTAATAAACATGTCTCAGAGTGAGGGAGGTGGACACAGACAATACTATTGTTTGTTACAGGGATGAGAATTGGTCAAAAAAGACTGAAATGCATATTGTCAGCCATTAGCTGGCTCTAAATCTGTTTAAGTTTTTCACAACATTTTACTTTTGGGCTCAAACATGAACTTTTAATGCAATGGAAAATTTAGGCACCCGAGCTTTAATTTAGTCGCACTTCAAGAGGAGAGGGGAGACGCGGACTGTTTTCTGCAGCGGTGTATTTATTTGGTGCACAAATTACGCAAAGACACGCATGTGCACGTTTATGGTCTTGGGTATATGGCCACGTTGCGGCTACGCGCTCACCGTGTTGTGTTGTGAGCGGTTCCTGCGTCCAGCTCAGAGCCGCTGGATGCCGGAACACTGCGGCCGCTGAGGTGGTAGAATCCCGTTCCAGTACATACAGCAGGTGCCCCGCGGACACGCGCGCACCCTCGAACAGTTCTCAACGGATTTACACTTTTCACAAACATTTTTTTTGTATGAGGCAGACAGACCGGCCCAAATATGGGCATCGGCCCTTCTGGCATTGCCCGGTACGCCCGATGGCCAGTCCAGCCCTGGCCCTGAGTAATATTACATGTTACTCAGGGCTCCTATCTATCTTGCCATCCTCTCATGTTTCTTTTAAATGAATCACTAAATGTTTTGATACTGATTCAATAAAGTTCATTATACAAGTTTGAAGTGGTTGTCCACACATCTAAGTTCTTTTTGCAAGTTTGAAGTGGTTAGCCCTGCTTCTAGGTTCATTATATAAGTCTGAATGTCTGAAGTAATTATCCATGCTTCTAAGCAGTGTTGTGCGTGAACGAGTTCAAAAGAACGCGTTCATTGAACACGTTCATTTTTCCGTGAACGTTGAACTGAACGCAACACATTTTAAAAAAAGAACTTGAACGTGAATTAGTTCATTTTATGTGTCATGAACGGCAGACATCACTATGAACGTTGGAATCTGTTTTCTCTTTTGAAACGCAACAAGAGAAAGTTCCTCCCTCCTGTATTCTCGCACTTTTTCCGCCGAAAACTAAAAATTCCCACGGTTTCCACCGTCTGTCAACGCACCCCAACTCTGTGTTGCGGTGCGGCGCTGTGAGCTGGTGCTTTTCACAAGTCGTGATGAAAACACAGGGTGAGTTAGCGACAAAGTTTACACCGTTTACATTTGACATAAAGTATAGACACACGCACTGCAGCGCATTACTGTAGTTTATGAGCAGAGATGGGGCAACTCCGTTTTGCTCTTATTGAAAACCATGTAAATCTTGTCTGTTTTGTAGTCAAAAGGCTCTCGTCCTGTGGGTGTACGGGAGATATAATATATATATATAATATAATATATATATATAAATATATATATATATATATATATATAATATAAATATATATATATCTCTCTCTCTCTCTCTATATATATATATATATATATATATATATATATATATATATATATATATATATATATATATATATATATATATATATATATATATATATATATATATAGCTCGTAGTGTGATAAAAAAAAGTATTTATTTGACTATTTCACCAAAAAAGTAAAATGAACTGAACTTTGAACTAGTTCAGAATTAAAAATGTGAACTTTGAACGTGAACTGTTCACTTTGAGCATGTATGAACTGAACTTGAACTAGTTCAGAAAAGCTGTGAACTAGCACAACACTGCTTCTAAGTTCATGAATGCAGGTTTGAAGTGGTTAGCCCTGCTGCTAGGTTCATTGTATAGGTGTGAATGTCTGAAGTAATTCTACGTCATGGTGCTACGTCCCTTAGGACTTCGCTAGTGGGATATCACTTGTGACCCCCAGGTCACACGCCAGAGAGATCAAAATAATTTGCTCCAATCACCAGCCACCTTCCTCTATAAATGCCCCTGCACAAGGCCGCACCCCCTCTTTCACTCTGGCGCCGATTGAGATCTACACAGTTTCAATTTTTACCAGAAAGTAAAGATGTCTTCTGATGCTCGTCCGAGTTCCCCTTCGCCATCCGGCGTCGGACGTCGTCGTTGCTCGACGTGTCGAGTCAGGCTCCAGCGCACGGACCAGCAGTCCAGCTGCTTCATGTGCCTGGGCCCGGGCCATGCGGCGTTGAGCGCCACCTGCGCCTCGTGTCTCGCTCTCCCCAGGGAGGAGAGCGAACGCAGGCGTGCGTACCACGCCGCTACAGCGCCCCGTCCGGACTCCTCTCAGGACGAGGAGTCTGTGATTGACTGGGCCCCACTCGACCTTCCACCCGTGCCCGCGGAGTGGGGTGACTGTGAGGACGGAGAGATCTCGGAGGTCGGCTCTCTCCTCACGCTGGACGAGGTGGTGTCGAACCCGGAGCCGGACCGCTTCCCGCTGGACCACATGCCTGGGCTCTACTCCACTGCGGCGGCCATCATGGATGCCCCCCTGCCACCGCAACCGACCCAGAAGGTGGAGGACTTCACCTCGGGTTACGAGGAGGAGGACACAGCTCACGTTGTGCCCGCGGATGGACCCGATCGTCCATTACACGACACGTGAGTGGCCAAAGCCCCTAGCGGCCAAAGCCCCTAGCGGCCAAGAGGCCCGCTTTGGGCTACGGTATGTACTAGGGCTGGGCGATATGGCAAAAAAAAAAAATCTCCGATTTTTTCACACCAAATCCGATTTTCGATTTTAATTGATTTATTTTTTTCTATTTAAAAACAAACTACAACTGACAAAGAAATAGATTTTCCTTTATGCAGTTTAATCTAAATCCCCATGGAGCATAAGTGTAACAGGAATTAAGCCTTAAAACATGCTTGTAAACGAGATGGCTCTGCCATTGTAAACAGTGAAAATGTAGCTTAACAGTTTTATAATAACTTCACTTACAATGACACTATGCACCTTCAAAATAACTTAAATCACACAAACAAGGCCCATCGCAAATATATAAATCCTATTAAACACATGCATTATTTACATGAAATATCACATTTTTAAAACTGATTACTCAAAATAGAAATGTTGTAACAGACAGTCTTTTCCAAAAGCCTCCTCGGGTTTTCATGCTTGTTCTTTCAACTGTGCCTGAGTAACTGTGCTGTAGTACAACGCTCGGTCCAGCTGGTGGCGCTAATACTAACTTCAGTGACTCCCGCATTGTGCGAGCTTCCTGTTTACATTCTGACGCTGTAGCTAACAGCTACTGTAGCAGCTACTGTAGCTAACAGCTACTGTAGCAGCTACTGTAGCTAACAGACAGCGGGGAACACGTTGTTTGTATCAGAGCAATGAGAACAATGTGTGAGACGTGTCTTTCCCCAAAGTGCAGCGGCTCAGTGGGACACGAGTGTGTGCGCGCCACGGACACGGGAGTGCGCTTTGGAATAACGAGTGTGAGAGAGCGTGAAAGATGTGGCGTACGAACATGGCGTACAAACATAGCGACCGGAGCCTGCGTGCGTGTGTGTGTGTGTTTTGGCGATTAAATAAAGTCTGATTCTTGAACGTTTGAAGTGTTATTGCAACAGCACCAACTGTGAGAGCGAGCATCAGGCCAGAGGGAGACTGTTAGCATTAGGTTAGCTTCAAAATGACTGCTCAACACCATAGACCCGCGGTTAGCGCGTTAGCGCTGTAGTTCTGCGCTGGAGAAAATAAAAATCGAATTTAAAAAAAAAGAAATCGCCCTAAACGTAAAACTCGAATTAATGATTAAAATCGATTAATCGCCCAGCCCTAGTATGTACTGCAACGTGCAGGACTGGTCCTGGACCGGCGGGGTCCCGGACATCGAGGATTCAGTCCGCATGGCCCTGCAGCCCTCCGCATCCGTGTGGCCCGGCACCAGACCTCTCCTTCCCTCCGAGCGGGACAGGACGTCTTTGGCGATGCGCGACAGATGTTACGCCAATGCGGCACAGGTCGTCGCTGTGGCAAACAACATGGCCTTCATCACGGGGGCCCTGGATAGGTCGCTCTCTTCTGGCCAGGCGCTCAGTGGAGACACCTTATCCCAGGCGAGGACCACTTCAGCGGCGATCCTGCGCATGTGCCAGGCGCTAGCTGTCAATGGCGGCCGCACCATGGCAGCAGCTCAAGTCGGGGTCAGGCACCTCTGGCTTGGGCTGGCGAACATCAGAGAGGCGGAGAAGAGGCAGCTGTTGGACCTGCCCATCTCCCAGACGTCTCTTTTCGGTCCGGAGATGCAGACCCTGGTGGCTAGACTGGAGACCGCAGCCAAGGACTCGGCTAGCCTAGCCCAGCACCTAGCGCCGAGGCGCGAGGCCCGCCCACCAGCGCGGAGCCGAGACAGAGGCAGGGGGCGTTCGCCCGGGAGGCGCCCTGGTCCATATCCACGCTCCGTGGCTTATCGTCCCCCCCCGACGAGGCCCCCGGGTCCAGACAGGCACACGGGAGGCTCGCGGGACCAACGCACCCACCGACGACCTCCCTATGGCAGAGGAAGTCGGGGTGGGAAGAATTCTTTCAATAAAAGCCGTCCGGCATTTCATCAGTACTCGCTGTCTGAGTCTCATTTGGGGGTATGTAACATGTCAAATGATCTGAATTCTGATTATGTTACTTCTCGAGCACATAACGTGGCTTCGCTAGGCCTGCAGCCCCCAGAGAAGGGCGTGCAGTGCGCTACGCGAGCCACGAGCTCCGATTCACGGGTTCATGATATGCCCTCCCAGAGAGAGGGCAGGCGGAGGGATCTGGTGAGTAATGATGTGTGTGCTTCGGCCGAACGCGTGTTAGCATCTCTGAGCTACAAGGCTAACACGGGGTTTCCCACTCCAGGGGCTCGCCCCCCCCTCCACGAGGCAAGAGCCAGGGGGGGGCACAACAGCCGAGTCACGTGTGGTGAGCAGTCCCGTACTTATGACGTCGGGCCTGCAGAACACGTGACCGCCCCCGGCGCTCACGGTGTGACGCAGGGGGCCCCCCGGCCCTTTCAGCCACCCCCCCTCCCTGCTAGGAACACCAGGAGAGGGCGGGGCCGTGACGTCTCGTGTTCCAGCTCCCGTTCCGCCCCTCACAGACTTCTACAGCATCTGGAGGGAGCAGGGCTTGCTGACAGATATATGGCTGGAGAAAACATTGCGCAGGGGTTACGCTCTGCAATTTTTCCGAAAGCCACCACCATTCCGAGGCGTACGGGCAGTACGCTCTCAGGTACGGGGATCGATAGAGGCACTGCAAGCGGAGGTCTCCTCTCTGCTGAGTTGAGGCGCAGCAGTGGAGGTAGACCCGCAGGACGCCACCAGGGGGCTGTACTCCCCTTACTTCTTAGTGCCAAAGAAGTCAGGCGGGGTGCGTCCCATTCTGGATCTGCGCGTGTTAAACGAGTGCATTTCCAAACGGCAGTTTTGGATGCTGCCCACAAAACAGCTCCTCGAGTGTGTCAGGGAGGGAGACTGGATGACATCCATAGACCTGACGGATGCGTACTTCCACGTGCCCATAGTGCCAGAACACAGGAGATTTCTGCGCTTCGCAGTGGGAGAGAGGAATTACGAGTACTGCCGTCTCCCTTTCGGTTATGCACTCGCACCTCGGACTTTTTCCAAATGTGTGGAGGCAGCACTGGAGCCGCTCAGACGCGCAGGGGTAAGAATTTTAACCTACATAGACGACTGGTTAATTCTGGCCTCATCCAGGGAAGTGGCCGTGAGCCACACGCACTGGGTCCTGTCCCACATTCAGCGTCTGGGCTTTGTGGTGAACAGGGAGAAGAGCAAGCTGCAGCCAGCCCAACGCATGATTTATCTCGGGCTGCAGTTAGACTCTGTGACATTCCGTGCTGCATTGTCCGTGGACAGACGGATGAATATTACTTGTCTGGCCCGGGAGGTTCTGGCGGGCCCCAGAGTCCCCGCTCGGCGCCTCAGGTCCCTGCTGGGAATGATGGCGGCGGCTCATGCTGTGGTGCGGCTAGACCTGCTCCACATGAGGAATTTTCAGAGGTGGTTCTCGCGCCTCAGGCTTCACCCCTCCCGGGACGGGGGGAGGCTGATCTGGGTTCCCCAAGTGGCAGCATCGGACATCAGGTTCTGGCTCACTCCGGGTCTATTGCGGGACGGAGTGACTCTAGCCTGCGCCGTGTCTCACGTGGAGGTGTTCACGGACGCGTCGCTCAAAGGATGGGGCAGGGTCCTCGGCCAGAGCTCTGTAGGAGGCTGCTGGTCGGACTCAACCCGTCACATAAACCTGCTGGAGATGGAGGCAGTGCACAGAGTACTGCTGCACTTTGCTCCTCAGCTGCGGGGGAGACACGTGATGGTGCGCTCAGACAACACCACAGTGGTCTCTTATCTGAACAGGCAGGGGGGCACCAGGTCCCCCGCTCTCCATCGCATGGCGGCAGTGACGCTGCTGTGGGCGGCGCTTCACCTCCTGTCTCTCAGGGCGCGCCACGTCCCGGGGGTCCGGAACGTGGGGGCCCGGAACGTGGGGGCCGACAGGATGTCCAGGGGGGGCCCGCTCCAGGACGAGTGGGGCCTGGCCCCGCGGGTAGCTGCGGAGATCTGGCGGAGGTTCGGCCGTCCAGTGGTCGACCTTTTTGCCAGTGCAGAGAACGCACAGTACCCGTCCTGGTTCGCCTTAAGGGCCGCGGACGAGCCGCCCTTAGGCGTGGACGCTCTGGCTCATTACCCCTGGCCAGGCATCCTGCTGTACGCTTTCCCACCGGTGCGTCTCCTGCCGGTCCTGCTGCGGAGGATCGAACAGGAGAGGAGGTCGGTGATCCTGGTGGCTCCGGACAGTCCGCATGCCCGGTGGTTCCCCTTCCTGAGGGGCATGGCGGTGATGGAGCCCTGGGCCCTCCCGGACGAGCCGGGGGCTCTAGTCCAGGGGGGAGGAGCCCTGTTTTCACGCCCTATAATCGGCCGCAGGCTCCGGGTTTGGAGGCTGAGAGGCGGAACCTCGTAGACCTGGGTCTTCCCCCTGCGGTGGTGGAGACCATTCAGGGGGCGAGGGCGCCGTCCATTGTGAGGGCCTACGCCACGAGGTGGAGGCTCTTCAGTGTCTGGTGCGATTCCCGTTCCTGGGATCCCAGGCGTTGCCCGCTGGAGGGGGTCCTGGGATTCCTACAGGAGCTCTTTGACAAGGGGAGGGCTGTCGCCACCTTGGCGGTGTTCGCGGCAGCCATTACTTCGGGTCACGACGGATTCGGGGGGTTCACAGCCCGCTCTCATCCGTTGGTTAAACGTTTTCTGCGGGGGGCGCGCAGGAGGAGGCCCCCGCTCCAGAGAACGCCCCCGGTTTGGGACCTCAGGGTGGTCCTTAGGGGGCTGTCGGGTCCGCCTTTTGAACCGGCGGCGGAGGCGAGTCCCGAGTGTGTCGCTTTTAAGACGGCCCTCTTGCTGGCGTTGGCGTCTGCTAAGAGGGCGGGCGATTTTTGTGCGCTCTCTGTCCATGCATCTTGCCTGTCCTTTGGAGAGGGCGACGGCATGGTGGAATTGTGGCCCAATCCGGCTTTTCTCCCCAAGGTCATCACGTCGGCCTTTAGGTCGAGAGTCATCAGGATTAGGGCTTTCTATCCGCCACCGCATGCCTCCCCCGAGGAGGAGCGGCGGCACCTTCTGTGTCCTGTCAGAATGCTGACGCATTACCTGGCCATGACCTCGTCATTCAGGTTGGGTGGTCAGCTGTTTGTGTGTCTGGGCCCCAAGAACAGGGGCGCCCCGCTGTCGGCTCAGCGGCTGGCGCAATGGGTCGCCACGGCTGTGCGGCGGGCGTATCAGTCGCAGGGTCTGGCCCCCCCGGTGGGCTTCAGGTCGCATTCCACGCGTGGGATGGCGGCCTCTACGGCCCTTCTCAGGGGGGCGTCGGTCGAGGACGTCTGCCGTGCGGCTTCTTGGGCGTCGTCCTCCTCTTTCGTCCGGTCTTATCTTTTGGATGTGTCGGACCGGTCGGTGGCCCATTCCGTGCTGAGTGCAGCGGACTGAGTTAGACCGTTAGGTCCCTCTTCTGAGGGGGCCTTCGGTTTATTTCCGCCCTGGTTCAGGAGCTCTTGGGAGAGGCATCCTACTGGTGCGGTACATATATGTGTGTTTGATCGGTCTGGTAGTCTACATCAGGAGCTCTTGGGAGAGGCGTCCTGTGACTACGGATGACCTACGATCTGTGTTACGTGGGGGTATCCTTGGTAGGAGTAGCCCCGTAACACGCTTGTTCTTCTGCCCTGAGTCCTCTCACGGTGTGAGGGTCTTGCTCGGGCGGAGCTTCAATCACCCTTCGCTGGCCTGCTGGGAGTACATGTTCCTACGGCCTCCGCGTTGTGTCCCACTAGCGAAGTCCTAAGGGACGTAGCACCATGACGTAGAATTAATAGTTACCTAATGTAACTTAAGTTCTACGAATAGGTGCGTAGTCCCTTAGCTACGAGCCCATCAGGCCAGCCCAGCTTGGCAGAGTTCAAGAGGGGGTGCGGCCTTGTGCAGGGGCATTTATAGAGGAAGGTGGCTGGTGATTGGAGCAAATTATTTTGATCTCTCTGGCGCGTGACCTGGGGGTCACGAGTGATATCCCACTAGCGAAGTCCTAAGGGACTACGCACCTATTCGTAGAACTTAAGTTACATTAGGTAACTATTAATTATGCATCAAAGTTCCACTTCCAGTCCACAAGGAGGCGGTACCACACTACACACGCTGACACAACCGGAGAACAAAACTTACAACATGGAGACCTGGTTCACCACGCTTGTTTGTTGACATCTATTTTATTTTTTGTTGTAACATTTAATCAGAAGATTCTACAATCAAGGAAAACATGTCGCGACTTATTGTTAAAAATATGCCCAATGGGGTAAGTACAAGCCGGTCAAAAATAATAAAGAATTTGCTTTTAGACCAAATAACTGTGTCTCCTACAGATGAAGGAGGAGAGGTTTCGTACAATGTTTGCTGCTTTTGGCACGCTCACAGACTGTACGCTGAAATTCACGAAAGATGGAAAATTTAGAAAGTTTGGCTTCGTGGGCTTCAAATCCGAGGAGGACGCAAACAAAGCGCTGATACATTTCCACAAGAGCTTCATGGATACGTCCAGAGTCACGGTACAGCCCCAGAGTACCCAACATTATTGTTATTTTCATAATCAAAGTAAATTGTTTCAACAGAATAAGCACTTAGATCAGAAGGAAAAAAAATTACAAAGAAATAAGTCAATCTACAGCATTCCCCCAAATCTGGGATAATAATGTTACGTATAATTGTGTTAGGAACATGAAGTAGCTGTAATATTAAACATAAGAATATCTTGATACATAAGTGTTAAATGATCATTCCATTCTATATTCCAAAATTAGGCAATACGTAGTTTTAGTTGAGTGAAACATATCCTAATGCAATTATTGTTGTTATAGGTGGAAATGTGTAAGTCATTTGGAGATCCCACAAAACCAAAAGCCTGGAGCAAACACACGCTTGAGGTTGTTCACTCCAAGACACCAGAAAACACGGAAAAAGTGAAAAACAAGGTGTGTGCTACATCAACTTACAGTAACATTCATTTAAAATGTGTTGCATCTACTTTGAAATATGTTGTATGATTTCAGGCAAAAAAGAAAACCATTGATGCACTCGAAAATGTAAGTTGCCTTATTTGCATTTGGAGATATTCACTAGTTTTAACATGGTATTATGCACTCCCCCTTTTATATTTTTAGCTGTTAAAAATCTAATCTTAATTTTACCCTGATATCTGCACACCCTAGAGATGCCAAGTTTGAAAAAGTGTTTTTTTGTTGCAGGTGAAGGAGGATGAGGGTTTCAAGGAGTTTCTGTCTGTGCATCAAAACCGGAGTCAAGCCCCAACATGGGCAAATGATACTGCACAACAACAAACCAACGATGCCTCTAAGAAAAAGAACAAAAAGGATGCTGAAAACAAGAAGAAAGCCGTTTCTGATGATTATCTCAACTTTGACTCGGACGACACAGAAGAGGAACATGAAGAGGAGGAGCTGAGTGAAGGTCGGTGTAGTAAACTGAAGATACTTGTACTGATGTGATGATCTTTAACTTTTATGTTGTAGGAGATGAGAAAGAAGCGCTCACAGACGGTTTATCAGATATGGAGTATCTGCGTTCAAAAGTGTCTAAAGTAAAAGATTCAATGAAAGAAAATGACAATGATGGTGAATATCAAGACATCACTCCTGGCGTCACTGACAGTGCATATGAAAGTGGGGAAAGAGACAACAAGCTGGAGATGCAGTCTGATGACGCCTCAAAGACTCCGAAACTCAAGGTTAAAAAGAACGTCAAGAATGAGGCAAGTGTAAGATTTTATAATTAAGGGTTTGTGATTTTTTGTGTGTGTGATGTCATCATGTAAAGCTGATGTATCAAGCTTTGAAACCACTAGTGCCTCAGTGCTATTTCCCCATGTGGTACTTTTAAAGATATCATTAGAAACATTTAACTATGTAATAAACCCTAGTACCTATCTCAAAAAATGTATTGGTTCTATTTGTCCTTGCATAAATTTTTTTTGCTCAACACGTCAAAATAGTGACTCACAAGGCTGCAAAAGATAACTTATTTTTCCTAATGAGATGAATGCATGTATTGACCCTATTTTGTTCACAACTTTTTACTTTTATTTTGGTAGGGACATGCATTGTTCATGGACAAAAAGCCTTTAACGTAAACATAGTCTTTGAGAGTTTTGCACAGAAAAAAAGCTTTAATATGGTAGTTGTAATTGTATGTCCATTGTGAAATGGCTTATTCTCACAAATACTTTTTAGTATTCTAAAGACATAGTTTTGGGCTCAAATGTAAAAAAATGTAATAGTATTTTTCTCCTCCTTGAATTATCTTTATTAGGAATCCAGAACATCCTGAGAAATCCTGGATGGGCAAATATGTCTCATTTTCATAAATTCATGTTGCCAATACGGCCAGACAGCTAAACCTGAATAGGTTTAAAGCATTTTTTTATTATTGTATTAGACGTTTCTTTGCATATTTATTTTACTCTAAAAATGAGCCAACACGTATGCAAGGCATATTTGATATGCTTATTTGCATATTCAATTTCTTGACTCCTTGATGATGACTCGATCTATGGTGAAATAATAAATACTTTGTCAAGTTTTATTTTCCTTCTGCCTTAAATCATGATGTATTCAAGTTGTTCTTTGTTGTGACTGTAGATGGATCCCACCACTGAGTTCACCGTGAAGCTTAGAGGAGTACCGTTTAACGTCAAAGAGGTTGGAGCAAACGAGTGCCCTGTCATTTCACTTTTATCATTGTTTTTGTCTGAATTACTTTTTCTCTTTAATTGTTTACATAGCAACAAATCCGTGAATTCATGACACCACTAAAGCCAGCAGCCATTAGAATTGGAAGGAATGAAAGTGGCAATAGAACAGGTATATTAACCATGCTTCTCTTTTTTGATTATGCGACCTATTGTCCTTCATATTAATGTCGGTGCATGTTTTAGGTTATGTGTATGTTGATTTACACTCTGAAGAAGAGGTGCAAAAAGCCTTGAAAAGGAACAAGGATTACATAGGTAAATGACGTTTATGTTTAATTTACAAGTTGTTTTAAAGAATTGTTTTCATTTCATGAAAAAACAGCATATTTGTATTTTTTTTGTAGGTGGAAGATATATTGAAGTCTTCAGTTTGGATGCATCTGGTAATAAGAGAAAGACAAAACAGAAAGAAATTGACAGAAACTTTATCAGAAAACTCAAAGAGGACGAAGGAGAGGAAGATTTGTCCGAATCAGGGCGTCTTTTTGTCAGAAATCTCTCTTACACCTGCACAGAAGAGGAGATCAAAGAACTTTTCTCCAAGCATGGTCAGTTTATGATTTAGCATAACTTTCACATAAATTACTATTGAGACATGTATTTTGCAGGTCCATTGTCTGAAGTTCTGTTTCCCATTGACCCTCTCACCAAGAGACCAAAAGGATTTTCTTTTGTGACCTACATGATCCCAGAAAATGCCGTCACAGCTTTGGCTAAGTTAGATGGTCATATATTTCAGGTATAACAGCCCAACATTCTATGTTTTCTCCCCTCAAGGAATTCATACATTGCATTCTCTGCTACATTATCATCCAATAGGGTCGAATTCTGCATGTGTTACCATCAACAATTAAAAAGGAAAAATCAGACTCTGCAGATGGTGGTCCTGGTTCCTCATCATATAAACGTCAAAAAGACGCTAAAAATAAGGCTTCAAGTTCCAGGTATATAGTGTTTTTGTGAATATGATTGTTGTTGCAAGTTTTTTTTAGTTAATTTATATTTATTAATGTTTTAGTTCCCATAATTGGAACACTTTATTTCTGGGAACGAGTGCTGTGGCTGATGCTATTGCTGAGAAGTACAATACTACTAAAAGCCAAGTTTTGGACCATGTGAGTTAAAGATGTAAGTTTTTTCCATGTTTCCTCCTAAATGCTTTTGTATTTGATCTGCAGGAAACAAAAGGAAGTGTTGCAGTGAGAATGGCTTTGGGGGAAACCCAAATTGTGCAGGAAACAAGACAATTTTTATTGGATAATGACATTTGCCTTGACTCCTTTAGTCAGGTATGTGATTTGAAGTGGAATTATGGACAGCATAAACGGAGGTATGCAGATAATCCTGCTGTTTTTTCAACATGAATCTTCCACCATCCACAGGCGGCTGCTCCAAGAAGTACATCTGTGATCCTGGTCAAAAACCTTCCTGCTGGTGTGACGGCGTCAGAGCTGGAGGAGCTGTTCTCTCCTCATGGATCTTTGGGCAGAGTGCTGCTGCCGCCATCAGGACTCACTGCTGTCATTGAGTTTTTAGAACCAACTGAAGCTAAACGGGCCTTTTCTAAGCTGGCGTACAGTAAGGTATTTATCCTGAATATGGTCAAATTGTTTCTGTTTTCAAATAAACTAAACAGATTTCTAAATCTAGTTTCATCACATTCCTCTGTATTTGGAATGGGCCCCTGTGGGCGTTTTTGTGTGCAAACCAGAACCAGGTAAAATAATGTAAATAGTGTAAAAAAAAGTCATCTTCGAATTAAAGAAAAAATAATGTTTCTAGAAATGGAAAAAAAAAAGGAGAGGAAGATCGAGGTGCCGGAGGAGGAGGAGGAGGAGGAGGAGGAGGAGGATGAAGAACACAGTGTTTCTGGTTCTACGCTTTTCATTAAGAATCTTAATTTTATTACAACAGAAGAAACGCTGCAAGAGGTTTTACTGATTATTTACTTTTTAAAATGCAATTGTAACTTAATAATAGATCATTTTGGTTGTTTGCAGAAATTTGCCAAATGTGGAAAGATAATAGTTTGCACCATTTCAAAGAAGAAGGACAAAGCAGGTAAAATGAATACTTAAATTGTACTTGATTTAATATGTACTAAAAGGACGCTTGTGGTTTGGTCCTAAAGGAAAGCTGTTGTCAATGGGCTATGGATTTGTACAATATCAAACTGCTGAAGCAGCACAAAAGGCCATAAGACAGCTCCAGGTAACTGAAATTGACAATTAGCTTGTCACTTTCCCCGTACAATGTAATGCCAGTTTGATTACCATTTAATACATGTTTTCAGCACTGCAATGTTGATGATCACCAGTTAGAATTAAAGATTTCTGAGAGAGCCACAAGGTGAATGTCTCAAATTTCAAGAAACATACTATAGACAACTGTTAGTTGTCAAATCAATAACTCTTTACAAATGCTTCTTAGGTCGAGTGAAGTGACTCACAAGAAGAAACAGATTATGAAAAAGCAAATGGGGTCCAAGATACTTGTTCGCAATGTGCCCTTTCAAGCCTCCGTGAAAGAAATCCGTGAACTGTTCTGGTATTTTCCATCATTTTTTCCATTGTTTTAACAGCAAGAAATATAATACAGTTAAGCTTTGAACTTTGACTTTAGTACGTTTGGAGAATTGAAGACTGTACGTCTACCCAGAAAAGCTACTGGCTCAGGAAATCATCGAGGATTTGGTTTTGTCGATTTTATTACAAAACAGGATGCCAAGGTGTGTTCGAGAAATGATGTGAAAAACAGACTGCTTTATAAATATTATTATTTTATCCATAGAAAGCATTTGGCGCTCTGTGTCATAGCACACATCTTTATGGGAGGCGTCTTGTACTTGAGTGGGCTGATGCTGAAGACACAGTCGAAACTTTACGACGAAAAACTGCAGAACATTTCCATGGTATGCATCTAAAGGAATTACGCTTTAATATTTGCTTCACTGCCTCAATATAACTTGCTTTTTCATCAGTATCATCAAAAAAGCAACGGAAATCGGAAATACTTGAGGGTATCTTGGAGACAATGGAAACTGATGTGCCAGAAGATTCATAAAAGGCCATTCAGAAGGGTTTACGAATGATGAGAAATTCTTGGGAGGCGGTCGGTATTCCAAATCGTCCACAATCAACTGCAAAAAGCTTAACATTTTCCTTGCATTTTACGGCCACCTATGAATAGGAAATTACAAGTAGTACTGATAAAGTAAAATGTTATTTATTTTTAGTTAGAGGGTAGAGCAAACTTCTATTGTTCACTTTGTGGATAAAAAGTCGAATGAAATTTGATCAGTAATATCAATGTTTCTTAGCTGTCTGCCATGCAGAATACCATGTTTCCCTTCCCAATTTAGTCAAATTAATAGAAGGTTCACACCATTTACTCAAATTTTCACAATAATGAATACCTAATTTATTTAATAAAAAACAACAATCAAATTAAAGCTAGTATACCTTACCATGTTAAGATATGGATTAAAATCCATAAATCTATTCTAAACTGCTTGGTTCTAGCATAAGTTTTCAAACTCATGTATTTTTGTCCCTTTGATCAGCTTTTTCAGACAACGGGGAAATGGCAACAAGCTCAATAAGCTCAGACCAAAGCGTAAAATCCTTTACACATTTACACATGTAAGATAACATGGTTTTTAATAAAATGAAGATCGCATTTTGCATGTCTGACTTATTACATTTTATTTAATATTTTTTTAGATCCATGGGTTTTGACTCCTAATGATTATATATTTTTTTGTATTTGAATAAGATTTCATAATTGTATGTCGTATTTTTATTTTTTTATTTCTAATGTCCTGTGATATGATAGCTCCATGTATAAAATAAAGTTTAAAATACCGGAAATGTTATTTTGAAAAGGTGGGGTCACGTGAGTGTTTTGTCATGTGATTGAAGATGGCTTTTAGAATAGTTGTGTCTTTTGGAGGTTTTAAAGCTGATACATTTGTACTATTGTTACTGTTTTTCTGGGTTCCTGTGTTTGTGCGGGCTGAAATTCAATCAGTTGTCATTGACAAACAAAGTGGACAACTTGTGGTCGTGGATGGATTTCGTAAAGACTTTGTCGCATGGGCAAATTTTACCGACAGCATAAAAACAACGGGGTAGGTATCCGATCATGAAATAGGAATATCCATAGATATTGTATTTTTGATTTTTTTTGTCTTTTTTTTTTTTTTTTTAAGAAATGTGTTTTTAATTTAAAAAGTTTAGGGTATTTTTGGTAAACGAGCTAACAGAAAATGATAAATATTATGCAGTGCATCCTGTTGAAATTAAAAGACTTAATTTGAAGTCTCTCACAAAACTGCAGTGAATTATTGGCCCTTGTTTGTGGACTTCTAACAATGTCACATGACTTGGTTTTTAATTTACTTTTAATCACTTTGATGGGTCATTTTGACCCGAGGATGGCTCAACCCCTTTAAGGTAAAATACTGTTAAACCAGAAATAGCATCCCATGATCCTAATTATAGTTCCTAGTATAAAAATTAAAACAAACACAACCATAATACATATTTGATTGTTGATTAATAACTTGTTTATTAATTAATGATGATAAATTGTTGATTAATGTAATGTATGCATGTAAATCTTTGCAGCCGTTTTGTTTCAGGTGGTCTTTCTTGGAGGTCACCACCAACAGTCTATACAATGACAGTGTTCAGGCCTATGCAGCAGGTGCAGTGGAAGCAGCAGTCACTTCACCGGTCAGAACTCAAAAAGCTTGTGTTAATTTATTAGCTCACCAAAGTTTTTGATGACGCGTGTCTTATGTTTCAGCTTATATACAAGCACTGGATGAACACCCTCATGGACTACTGTGGGCCCTTTAAGGCTCAATCAGATTACTGTAACCAGCTGAAACATTACATCAGTACAAACCTCCAATGGGTTCAAGCTCAAATAGAGAAACAACCTAATTCCCCATACTGGTATCAGGTACAGCATTTTCAAAGGAAAACCAGTGCAAAACCACTGTAGACATGGACTTGAACAACACCGATTTCATTCTTGTTAGGACATGGAGCTCCATTTCCTTTTAATCTTTTTTTAAACATAATGATAACAAATGTCATAGGAATTGCACAACTAACTGTTGCTTTCTGTACATTTAGTCTCGGACTTGACTTTTGGGACTTCATAACAAGGACTTAGTCGCATCTCATTGTTCTACGTACTAACATGTCAATGGTATGTTTATTTTAAGGTACGGCTTGCCCTGTTGCAGCTTAAAGGTTTGGAAGACAGTTACAATGATGAACTATCGTTTCCTTTGGGACCAATATCATTTAATCCTCTTGGATTTCTGTGAGGAAATGTTTGTTTTATCTATTATGTGTTGATACTTTTATCTAGCTGTTGTCAATAACTATTTAGGCTGTTCCAAATGGGAGGGGACCTTGAAGACTTGGAGGCTGCTTTGAACAAATCCAGTAAAACTAGGACTCTTGGATCTGGTTCATGTTCTGCTTTGATTAAGCTGCTTCCAAACAACAATGATCTGCTTGTATCACATGACACCTGGAACACTTACCAAGCCATGCTTCGGATTATGAAAAAATACATATTTCCCTTCAAATCATCTCCTTTAGGTAGGGTTGTCTCTCTTCTCACTCATCATACAGGCTTTTAGTTTTTATATTAAAGAACCTGTGAGCTTTAGAGTCAAATCTAAAATGTGTCACCGATTAAATGTGTGGATGAATTATAGCTCTTATATTTTTGTAGTAATTTATCTTTTGGAATGCTCTTTTCTACATGCTGTTCTCTATTTCTTTATCTGTCTAGTAGATAAACCTATTCCAGGAGCAACACAAGCGTTCTCATCATATCCTGGATCAATTTTTTCGGGAGATGACTTCTACATACTAAGTAGTGGTTTGGTAAGCACTTAAGTATTAAGAGTCCCTTTATGCGTCCCCCAGTTGGGGAATTTACGGTGTGTCTTTGTTTGACAATAAATGATTGTATATTATATGTTGGTGTTATGCTTTTATGACATATCTGTATCTGCAGGTCACACTAGAGACGACTATTGGTAACAGTAATCCTACTCTGTGGGATTATGTTCAACCAACTGGAACAGTAATGGAATGGCTGAGGAATATTGTAGCTAATCGCTTGGCTCTTACTGGGAAAGATTGGGCTGACATTTTTAGCCAATACAACAGTGGAACGTAAGATAATGTGTTAAAAAAAAGTTCTGTGGTCAAAGTCTAGCTCTAGTGTCACATGCTGAGAACTATGTGAAATGTCATTAAAGATCTGTGTTTTTCCTTAGATACAACAATCAGTGGATGATTGTGGATTATAAACACTTCACTCCTGGTAAAATGGACATTGAAGAGGAACTCTTTCTTGTGCTTGAGCAAATACCGTATGCTTTATATCATGCATTACAAATGTAAGATGGAAAGTTATTAAAATCGCATGTTGTTTCAGAGGAATGGTTTTGTATGAAGACAAAACCAAGGAACTGATGAAGAAAGGTTTCTGGGCTAGTTATAACATTCCGTGAGTGAGCACTTAATTGTAATGATTAATACAAATTCATGTTATTGTAATCACATTGAAAATACAAGGTCCCTTCCGGATTCCTTACTATTTTACAGTTTACCCAAAGCAGACATATCCTGTAAATTTTTCACCGTCATTGAGTTGTTTTTATCACTAGGTACTACGGTAAGATATTTAATGCAAGTGGCTGCAATGAGCTTGTTGACAAGTTCGGCCCATGGTTTTCTCTGGACAAAAACCCCCGAGCTCAAATTTTCCATAGAAATCAGAGCATGGTGACTGACATAGAATCAATGATTCGCCTCATGAGGTAAGTCTTTTAAAGATTCTCTTATGGTTGAGTGTCAAACCACATATGTTTTTTGGAAGATATAACAACTTCAAAGAGGACCCATTGTCAAAATGTGAGAGCTGTGATCCCCCTGCAAATGCAGAGAATTCCATCTCAGCCCGCTCAGATCTAAATCCTGCAAATGGCACTTATCCATTTGGAGCTTTAAAGCAGAGACCACATGGAGGAACAGACATGAAGGTGTTGCATTTGTCTTTCTTTGAGCTAATGCTATTTGTTCTTGACACTAAAGATGTGATTCTGTCAAACACAGTTGACATCCTATCAAATGTACCAAGATTATGGCATGCTGGCTGTGAGTGGACCCACCTGGGAGCAGGTCGCCCCGTTCCAGTGGAGCACCTCCCCATACAAAGACCAGATGCACATGGGTCATCCTGATAAATGGACATTTGACCCAATAAAAGTGACCTGGAATTCCTAATGTTGTAATGTTTGAAACAATGCCATGCAATGCAATGCAAAACCACAGAAATGTCACATACATACATATGACTAATGGACAAAAGGGATGCTTTTTATTTTGCAAGTGTGTAATGTTTTTATAAAGGTTTCCATATAGAAATTGTGTTGGAACCATAGACTGTACTGTTGGAACAAATCAAATGATCACTAAATAAAACACACTGCGAGAGTCTCACTCAAAGGGGTATTAAAAAGTTGTTTCTTCTGAATGCTCTTCTCTGTGCCGAGATGTTTTTTTTTTTTTTTTCTGTTGAATGTGAGTAACATGTTACTTTGCAAATACTTGTTATTGTTGTCATTTTGTTGTAATGTGACTTACTGCTATTTCACAAAAATATAAATAACATTATTAATAATAAGAATAAAAATTATTATTTTGCATCAAAAACACTTTCTCACAAGTTCAAACTTCTTCTCCACTGGGGAGAAGAAACAAGCTAGAAACAAACTTCTTTTTGCTGATGAAAGTAGACAGTCCAGGTTTTCAGAATCTTTTACATATTCAAAGTACACAATATTCTGTGGGTCTTGACAACCAGTGAAAATAATCAAACGGCTGGCCGGCGATGAGTTAATGTTGTTCCACATTTTGTTGGTGGAATATTAAAGACCGTTGAAGTCAAACACACTGACCAGGAGCGTGTGATTGTTTTTTCTCTCTCTCGTTTTTACTAAATAAAGCCACATATATGTTCCCACAGTAATGTAATCTAGTTAGTTTCTTGGGTAACCAACAAAAAGTATAGGAACGTATTACATTCATAGAAAAATAGAAAATATTTAAAAAATAGAAAAATATTGTACATATATATTAAAACACTCCTGACATGATTGTTGTATACGTCACTCAACACTGTCTGTGAGTGACGTATACAACAATCACGTGACCAGTCATTTCGCTGCTGTCCTGTTTGTGAGCTTGGTTTTAGAAGTTAAGTTTTTACGAAAGATTATGGATTTATAGTCCCATGTTCGCTTCACCTGGAAAGTGCACCGTAAGTTAAACGGTATATACTGTGGCCTGATCGATGTAACAGATTATTGATCACTGCTGTTCCTTAAACGAGGACGTAGGTTTTATTTTGCACATCTTAGTTTTATTTCAAACGATGGGTTTAAATCTTGTTTCTGGCAGCTTATGGTGAGCTCCTATGATGGTGATGTGGCAGCCCAAAACCAACCTGAGAGATTATGTTGCCAACAAACCACCTGGAGTGACTTTTTTCCTTTGCCTTTTAATTCTGGTCATCTCCTTCACGTTTCTCAGTTTTTACAGCTCTAACCATACCCTACCTAATCCAGACGTTGTCCAGGTACAGTTGTTACAGACCTGAAGTTTTACGACAATTATCTAGGTTGTAAATAAACATGTTTGTTTTACAGGACTGGAACCGCCTTCTTTCAACTATAGCTGAATATCACTTGTGTGAAACAAACATTACAGGTTTTACCCAACTAGTAACTCCTAAAAAAGATCAAAAAGAAGAGACTTTTAGTGACAATTCTTTGGCACTGATAAATGTTCAAGTTCCTCTTGTTTTATCTTCAAATCCAAAAGGTCAGACCTCAAGCATCTGTTTACACACCAGTTTCTCAGCCAGTCAACTACACCTTGAAGGTAGCACATTATTCATTTAATACTTTAAAATAAATATTTTCAATGGAGTGCTTTTTTTCAGGAAATAAAACGTTCAGTTTGACTCTAGACTTTTCTGCCAATGAGAATTCTGCATGTCTGACTGTGAAATGGCCATATGTGCTTTCCGTTAGTCCGTAAGTGTATTTTTGTAAAGTGTCGTTCCTCTTTGCTTTCTTATTGACCACCTGAAATATTGTTTTGACTGAAGAATGCCCCCAGCCTGCCCAGAGAATGTAGTACACAAAAAAGTGGTCTATACTAAAGCAAAGAAGGTAATTGCATCAACACAAAAGTGTCATCGTTTACAAGCCATATATGACCCAACACTTCAAGTCATGTTGACAAAGGTAAATGCAGTGATGACGATTTCTGAACTATAACCTACACACAATAAATTTCTGACTTTTTTTTTTTTTTTTTAGGAAGATCAAATTGCAGCTTCAAGGCATCTTTTGGAAGTAGCTGTTGTTTTACTTGGAGTTTGTTTAATACTTTTTTTATTTGGAAGCCTCACACATTCAATTAACCTCCACTGGGAGCAGCAGCATCTTCGTCATGTAATTTTTTTAATGATTAATTGTCGTTATGCTTGCATACAACAAATTACTGTTTTGTATCTGCAGGACTTGACAACTGATGACTAGTTCTCTCTCCTTTCTTTTCCTCACAACTTTCTGATGATCATACAACACAAGCAACAATGAACTATGGGACTAAATAAAATCAACTTGTAAATATATTTTCTGTCAGGAATGGCCAAACCCAGCTCTCCCTGCTGCTCCCTGCTGAGATGACTTTTGAAGTCAATCCTGAGGAGTGCAGCAGCATCCCATAGAGAGGGACAGACAGAATGCGAAAGCGATGTGTTACCACAACTTTTTCAACTTGTGAACACACATTATCCAAGATTGTGTTTATATTATATTATATTAAGCTCTGTGTGTTTATATATATATATATATATATATATATATATATATATATATTTTATTAGAAATATAATAATGTATAAACTAAATGTATTGTATAGCTAGGTTTTATATAGCTTTATAGCTACTTAGCTTGTTTTGAGCGCTCCTACTGGCCTGTATGTGCACTGCATGGCTGCAACACGACATGACCCCACTGTGGGACGAATAAAGTTGTTGTATCTTATTTGAATTAAAAATGGCTTCGAACACATGATTATCTTTGTTCACGCACTAATACCATGTTTTAAAACCACGCAGGTATGTGCTTGGAGTGTTCGTCCAACCCTTGTTTATATTTGAGTTCCATCTACTGGTTGCAAGTAGAACGCGTAGGCGGGATTTAGGAGCAGAGGAAACCAGTGTCCTCAGTTCGAGTACTGTGGGTTTCAGGGCCTGGATACTTTCATGTTTGGATTAGAAGAACCGAGGTGTTTTACTGCCTGGACTGGTTTCGTACACGTGTGAGGCCACCACACTATTCCCGTCGATGAGAACGGTTTGAGACATGAGTTTTCTCATTTGGATAACAGCTAGCTAACATCACCGTAGTGTCGCTAATGCTAGCAACTTAAACATCGACCATTTGTCTATTTCATGCCGTTTATAGTTGTGTCATTGTGAGGGGTCTTTGTTGTCAAACTTTTCATTGTGTATTTGCAAGTGAATCGACGTATTGGGTGTATTTTTGTAGTGCCTTGAGTTATTGTTTAGCATTTAGCCGCATACGGGGCGGGTTCCAATGTGCAGTCTGTGCCATGGCTCTGCTCCGGGCGGTTTAATGCAGCCAAACAGGCCTCCCACGTGGTCTCTCACCTGAAGCAGCATCACACTCTTATATGAGCATGTGCAAGATTGCCATGCATGAAGAGGGGTTGCTTGTGCAGATCATGACTAACTAAATATGTGTTATTCACAGGACAAATAAAAATCCATGAGCATGGCTTTCTCAAGTTATAGCACTCTGAGCAGAGCTCAGCTTACATTTGAGTATCTTCACACAAATTCGTAAGTACCAGTTCATTAATAAATACAGTGATCTGCACCACTGTGATTAAAACGTTCTTGTTTTCAGAACAACTCATGAGTTTCTTTTTGGAGCACTGGCTGAGCTTGTGGATAATTCCAGGTATGTTAAACGTGTTGGGCTGAAGTAAAAAAATCGTACAATAACTAACTGACGATACAATATTTTTCCAGAGATGCAAATTCTACACGTATAGATATCTACACAGGTAAGCTTGCACCACTGTCGCCACTATCGATATAACACAACAGATTTGTATAATAATAAAATATACATTTCAGAAAAAAGGCCAGAGTTGCGGGGCGGCTATATGTTATGTTTTCTTGATGATGGAATTGGAATGGATCCCAGTAAGTTTTCTTTTGAAAACACTGCATTTGTCAATCATAATTATTATTGAATATAATATTTTTCCTACTAGATGAGGCAACACATGTGATACAATTTGGGAAGTCAAACAAACGCTCAACAGAATCCAGCCAGATTGGCCAATATGGAAATGGCCTGAAATCGTATGTTTGTCATTGTTTTTGTGGTATGTGAAGATTAAATTAAAATCAATATTAAGTCTTTAAACATTTTTTTTTTTCCTCAACAGGGGTTCAATGCGTATTGGAAAAGATTTCATCTTGTTCACAAAAAAGGGCACTACTCTTACTTGTCTGTTCCTATCCCGGACATTTCATGAAGAGGAAGGGCTTGACGAGGTTGTTGCCTTATTGATAAAGTATTATTGTACATTTTATTATTTGCAATTTTATTGTTGTTGAACTCATGGATAATCATGATCTTTTTTATTTTTAGGTCATTGTTCCACTGCCTTCATGGGATTGCAAGACAAAACAGCCTCTGACCTCGGATCCAGAGAAGTATGCTATAGAGACTGAGCTAATCTTCAAATATTCTCCATTTAAAAATGAACAGCAACTCATGGAGCAGTTCAACAAAATAGAAGGCAACAGTGGTAAGCCCACAGACTAACTTCCATTTATAATGTTTTGATTTTTCAATATCTACTGCTCACATAAAACTGTTATTACTAAAGTATTATTTACAGTTTTTATTTTGAATCTACTTGTAGGAACTCTAGTGGTTATCTACAACCTTAAGCTGATGGATAGCAGGGAAACAGAGCTGGACTTTGAGACCGATCATCAGGACATACTTATGGCAGCAACATCAGCTGAAGGAGTGTGGGTGTTTTTTTTCCACTCAAGTCTCTAGAAGACGTTTTCAGAGCCATTAATGTATGTACAACTTTTAACAGGAAGCCAGAGAGCAGGTCATTCAGGGCATATGCAGCAGTTTTATATATTGACCCACGAATGAGGATATTTATCCAAGGACATAAAGTCAGGACAAAAAGACTCTCTTGTTGCCTTTATAAGCCAAGGTAATACTTGTAATTGAACGTTAAAACTTGTACCTGAAAATAGTAACTCAATTATCCCCCCCCCAAATCAGACTTTACAAATATTCCTCCACACGGTTCAAAACACGTGCTGAACAAGAAGTCAAAAAGGCAGATCATCTTGCTAAAATTGGTATGTGCAAATCTAAAAGTTCTAAAACTGAAGTCATGCTCTGTTTTGGTGATAACGAGAAGTCACAACATTTAATTTTCTTCTTAAAGCTGAAGAGAAGGCAAGAGAAGCTGAGAGCAAGCGGATTGCTTTGGAGGCAAAACAAGGGGACGACCTGTCTAAAGATTCACGAGTATGACTTGAATTATTTGGAAAATACCTCTTTTTATTATTACAAATTGTGCTAAAACACAAAGCATTGTTTTAGGCAATTCTGAGGAAGGTTCAGGATGCAGCCATGATGCTTCGCCGAGATGCAGAGATGAAGCAAAGAATCCTTGAAGCCAAGCAGAAGTCTGACATTTTTTTCCCCATTACATAGCTATTTTTAGTATTTGAGTCAATTCTAAGATTCTCACCTGTTTTGTGTTTTTCAGGGCATTAAAAGAGCCCAAAGAGCTAAATTTTATATTTGGTGTGAACATTGACCAGAGGGACCTAGATGGAATGTTTATTTACAACTGCTCCCGCCTCATCAAAATGTATGAAAAGACGGGACCTCAGCTTGAGGGAGGCATGTAAGTAGGGGTTTTCATCATTTTAGATGAAAGATCAAACTTAAAGTGTATGGTCATTCAATTGTTTTTGTTTCAGGGCATGTGGAGGTGTTGTTGGGGTAGTTGATGTTCCTTATTTAGTTCTGGAACCCACTCACAACAAACAAGACTTTGCAGATGCAAAAGAATATCGGCACCTTTTGAAGTCTATGGGCGAACACCTGGCTCAGTACTGGAAAGATTCAAACATTGGTGAGAGGCCTGTTTATGTGTAAAAATGTGACAGTTGGGTACAAATATAGCGGTCTATAGAAAAATCTGTTCTATAGACCGTTGCATTGACAAGCATTTTTTACAAACTGCTCATGTATTTTCTCAAATAACATTTGGCCTGTGGACAATGCAGACAATTAACATTTTGCAAATGTATGTTTAATTGTCTATAGATGGTTTTGCTAAAACAAGGATACAGGACGGTCCTAGTGATAGTTTGGTGTTTGAATTAAAATGCCACTATATTAGGCCCCTGTGTCTACACTGAACACGGCTCATCAAAAAACTAGGTCGAAAGGTGTAGAAATCAGTGTAAAGAGAAAAGGCCAACCAGGTGTTTTTGGTCAATAAACCTTGGGTTCTTTGGCCAGTGTGAAAACTCCTTTTGCACCAATAGTGTAGCCTCAAAAGGTAGCTGCAGAATTTTGATCAGTTAAACCGTGTTAATGCAGTGGACTCACACATTTTAGTTCTTTTAATCAAAAACAATATTTACAACATCAGGCAGGGCCTTTAAATTCTGCTTGTGGCTTTAATAGTTTTTGTCTTTAGGAACTAATTTTGTTGTATGTCCACACAGCTCAAAAAGGTATCGTGAAGTTTTGGGATGAGTTTGGCTATCTGTCTGCCAGCTGGTCTGCGCCTCCTTCTTCAGAGACCAGATACAAGCGGCGACGTGCAATGGAGATACCAGTTACCATTCAGTGTGGTCAGAAATCTAATGGTTGATTTATTATTGAATATATGTATTCTTATTTTTTTAAAGATAATTTTATGTGTGTAGATAAATGTTTGAAGTGGAGGACGCTACCTTTTGAGATGGATGCAGTAGATAAACGCTATCCAGACAGTTGGGTGTGTCTTATGAACCCAGACAGTGCCCAAGACAGGTTTGTTAATATACTCTACAGCAACCAATCTAAAATGTTACTCAATATTTTATTTTTAATTTACAAACTATGTGCCTTATACTCATATCTACAATATTTTTGTTTTCCAGATGTGATGCTTCTGAACAAAAGCAAAATTTGCCGTGTGGTGTTCTTAAAAAAGATAAACCTTCTGCAGTAGACAAACAGAAAGAACTTGCTGAAAAAATTAAACAACAACAGGAGAAACTAGATGCCTTGCAGGTATGTTGTTAAACGTAATTCATGTAATCACATTTGTATAACTTTTACTGATATATCTTCTCAGAAAACCAACACCATTAGGTCAGCAGCTGATATTAGAAAACTCCCACTCGAGGTGAGCATAAAGAAAACCCAGAATGTATGTCATATTTGATTTAAATACTATTGTTTGTATGATCTAGCCGACAAGGTCATCTGAGAGGGCGGTTCGTCCCCGTTCGCCACCTTTGCCTGCTCATCTTAAAAATGCACCCAGTGTTCCCCCATCTCGTGCTGCTTCTCAGCGGCCAACTCGAAGTCTCGCACCTCCTCCTAGACCAGAGCCTCCTAAGTCCAGATCTGCTGCTAAATCTGCTACAACCACAGCAAAGCCTGCAACTAAAGTACTTAAAGCAACACCCGCAAGTCGAACTTCAAAAGTGAGTTTGAGCAATTGACAAACATTGTTGTGTTGTTTTTAGCATAACCGTTTAATTTCCATACAGTCGCCTGCAAAAGCACAGCCAGCTGCAGCTTCAGGGCCACGTAAGAGGATTGTTGTGGAGGAGGACAGTGATGAGGAGGAAGAGGAGGAGGAGGAGGAGCAAGAAGAGGAAGAAGAGAATGACAGTGAAGAGGAGAGCGATGAAGAACCTCAAACAAAGAAATCAAAGATTGCATCTGCAGCTGCTACTCGAGGCAAGGTGGTGGAGAAAACCTCAGCTTCTAAGCGAGGGAAGTTGGATGAGGTAAGTTTTCTAATTTGTCCTGCATTTTTTTATTTTATTTTTGCAAGCATGTGGGCACTGTTGTGTATATTAATAGAAATGGAAATCCATATTTGAATGTGACCTGGCTCAAATCTTTGTCAGTAGAGGATTCGAATATTTTACTTTATTGACTCTGCAGGTTAACAAACTCAGCCATTCTGCGAAGAAGGGGGTTTCTACTCCTACCAGACCGACTTCTGCAGCATCTTCCCCTAAAACTCTTGCCACACCTGAGCATGGTGCTAAAGCTAAGGTAGCTTTACCTGCCACTTGCTGCTTATTCAATTCAATCTGGCTTCCTTGCTTATTTTTCACTTTCAATTAACAATTGTTCCCAGTCTTAAAATTTTCTTTTGGTGGAAATAGGAATTTACTTCTTTTTAACATCCTAACAACGCATGTGGGAATGTGGGGGATCACATTAATTTAACTTGCAATGCAATTATTTTCTTGTGCAGTAATGGCTGCAATTGTACTTTTTAGATGCAGCAGAAAGTCCAAGAAGAACCTGAAGACAACAAAAATCCTCAGAAAGGTGGATCATCTATTGTGAAATTAATGCTTTGGTATATTGTTTAAAACAAATAACATTGTCCTTGTATCCTGCAGATAAGGGTCTTTTAGTAGAAGTACGTGTCAATAAAGAATGGTACACTGGTAAAGTTATTGCTGTTGAAACAAACAAACAAACTGTCCGGTGGAAGGTTAAGTTTGACTACGTACCGACATCTACACCAAAAGATAGATGGTACAAAAAAAACATATAACTTAAAAAAATAAATGCTACCATGTTCAAATTTTTATTTTTTCCTTTTTCCTCAAAGGGTTTTTAAGGGAAGTGATGACGTTCGTTTGATGAAGCCCCCATCTCCAAACTCTCAAACACAGGACATGCAACAGGAGATGGAGAAAGGTCCATCTCCAATGGAGCCAGACACTACACAACCAGGAACCAGTCGAGAAGTCACAGGCAGCCTGGTTAACATGCTCAGGTGTGCTTTTTGTACTTCAGACGCATCACTGCTTAACTTTGAATCAATGAGATGTCTAAACCTTTATATCACTCTGACTGTATTTTAACTCTTTAACCCACATTCCCTATATAGATAGTAAGGGAATAATGTAGATAATTGAGCACATCCTATAAAGCCATGTACCCGCTGCACTGCTGTTCCGTCAATTTTATTTAAAAAAAATCAGCCATCTGTCTTTAGTAAAAACTTGCACTGGTCTGCAATGCTGCATGCGTCAACGCACATGCCACGTGGTTAAAACGCACCTGTTAGGCCAGAGAAACGTGCGCATAGCAACGCACATACAAATAGCACTTACAAATAGCACTTACAAATGGCACCATTGACATTGCATGTAAACCTGCTGCACAACTTGATCTGGTGCGAACCGGGCTTTAGACAACACTGAATAATGGCTTAGAATGTATTCTACATTTCTATTCATATCCAATTTTCCGTTAACTGTTATTTTCAGGACAATGCTCCATTACTTTTTTCCTCCTGTTTTCCGGATTCCCAAAGATGAAGTTAACAGCATGACAGCCGAGGAGCTTGTGTCTTTTCCTTTGGTAAGATGACTGCTTACATTTCTAGCTGAATGTTTCATGTATACACTAGTATTAATACAACATTTGTCTTATGTATTTTTAGAAGGAATATTTCCAGCAGTATGAATCTGGTCTGCAGTCTCTGTGTAACTCGTATCAGAGCAGGGCAGACGCCAAGGCCAAAGCTGTGGAGGAGAGATGCAACAATACTGAAAACAAACTCAAAGAAGGGGATGAAAAACTCCAAAAATTAAGAACAAATATTGTGGCACTTCTACAAAAAGTACAAGAGGTAACTATTTTGGCATTGTACTTTTTTTTTATTTATTTTTATGCAAAAATCCCATATACTATTTATTAGGACAGGGAAAATATACTGTGTTTACAGTATACAGTTATTTACAGAGTGCTTGTCATGCACCGCATGCATACTCTACCAATATCATATAACCACTAGTATAACATGACGGTTACCTTTTTCAAAAGATTGTGTGCAATGCAGTGACCAGTTCCTGGTCCCCTCTGCGCGGTATCCTCTGCAGCTCTTTTTTACAGTCTGTGCACGGCAGCGCTCAGACCTACAATGAACAGGGTTGATATCTCTGCGTTCGCACTTCAGCAGTCGTAAGTTCAGGTCTTTAGAAGTGTATTAAGTGGTGAGGGATTTTACAGCCTTAAAACCTATAGTTGCTTCTCTGGATCATTGTGTATTATTTATAGATCTATACCCCCTCAATAAATCAGGGACCACTGTACTGGGTAAACTTTTCTCTTAAATTGCCTTTTAATTAAACGTATCAAGTTATTTTTGACCCCTCTCCGACCAGAGTTTTTGGTTGTACGTTACTTCTGCTGGCTTCGTGTGTACTCTGTGGGTGGACAGGACCACTGTCTTCTTACTGATCCACCCCTGCTTAACCACTCAACCTCTCATCCACGCTGATCCTTGTGGTTTTCCGATGGAGCGCCGAAGCGCAGTGCCCCATGTGCTCAGCGCAGGCAGTGCAATATTTGCTGCTGACGCACAGGCTCTTGGTTTCCGTAAACGCACACTTTAGATTTGTTTGTTCAGATGTCCTTTGTTGCGTTACACACAGTTTACACACATATTTCACCCATATTTTTCACAAGCAAGTTTATATTCAAATCGGTTTCTTCTGCTTTCTGCAAACACTCTAGTTAATCCACTCCTCATATACGGCTTATGGTTGTGGACAATGTCATACAGTCTAAAGGACTGTATGACATTGTCCACAACCATTTATTGTCCAAGGCCTGTAGTTAAGAAATATTTTGATTTGTTTGCAGATTTTTCTGGCAATTGATTGGTTAGTTAATTAACTCCCGGAAGGTCTATGAATATGTCGGCAATTATTCAATTAACCAAAACAAAGCTCAAGTGAGTGCCCTCGGGATACGTCTTCATAGAGATCACTTAGGAGTTTGATTCATTTTTTTTTTTTATTTCATTCGGCACTCATTATCTGAGCCATACAACTCTTATCAGCATGTTCAACATTACTAAATAAGACACCTGTTTAAAGGAATAGGCCACCGTTTTTACATACTGACATATGTTCTTACCTTACCTTAGACTAGTTATGTACCTGTCTGGTCTTTGTCCGTGCGCTCTGTCATGCAAACGAAGCACAAACGCAGCCTCTTCCACATACTGTCTAGTTACAAATCGGCTCCCGTTAGAAGCTTCCAAACTCTTCCACGTGTTCCCTATTTAAATACAGTTATGTGACGTGTTACACTACAAAGTATAGTAACACAGAAATGTAACATGTCGATTTTCTCAGCGGATAAAAAGGGGTACTATATTGTGAGGCGTAATAATACGAGGAGCACTACGTCCGCGCTCTAACTCCTAAAGACTTTTCTCCCGCTCACTTCCGTCAATAGAAGCAGCGTGACTTGCAGTACGTCTTTAGGAGTTAGTGCGCGGACGTAGTGCTCCTCTTATTATTACGCATATTTACTTTGTTCTAAACTTGTGTGAGACCATAAGCTTTCTACATCCTGAAAAGTATTTGAAACAGCACTTGGACACTCAAACACTGAGTGGGACAGTGTTGATTACAATGTAGTTTCATTTAAGTCTAAAACACCAAATAACAGCCCCTTGAGATGCATCATCTCGTTTTCGAGGGTTTTTGAGAGGGTCCTCCAAAATGGCAGCAGCGGTTGTCAAATAAATGCTGTTACAGTATAGTGTAACAACAAAACACGTTTCAGTAAATGAATTCAATAAAACAGACAAAAGAAATACAAGGACAGAAACATTCACTCAAACACACAGAACTCTCAGAGGTCACCCTACTCCTCAAACTGGGACAGTGAAAGTCAAAGGATAGTAGTGTTTAAAAGAAAGTTCAGTAGAAGTTACAAACATTACACATTATTACAGCAGCTTCAAAAAGCGAAAGAAGTTAAGGAGCGAATAGAGGTCAGAAGGAGATTCCAGTCGTATGGAGCTTTATATTGAAAAGCATATTTGCCAAGTTATTTTTGGCAAACTAGAATTATTTTTTTTTTCTATTTTGTAATGTTATAATAACGACGCTAGAGAAACCTGCCCAATACTGTGTGGCAGAAAAAAACATGATTTCATCTCAATAATGCTTCTGACTAAACAAATGATGCTATTTTCTTTCAGGACATAGACATTAACACAGACGATGAACTTGACGCCTATATTGAAGATCTACTTACCAAGGGTGATTGAACAGTATGGAACAAAGCTATGGTGTCTCTTCGGACAGTGTCTGTATTGCTTCTTGAGTTGTTCAGATCATTTACATTTTTGTCATTGCTGTTGAATTGGAGTCTGTCTTGTTTTAAACATTCTGTTGTTCTCCTGTGACTTTCTATTTACATTTTAACATTACTTGCTTATATAGATATATATTTTGTTAAAATATATGTTAATACTGATTATGTTTTAGTGTTGTGTCATTATTCTACACATTTTTATTATTTTGTAAAAAAGAAAAAGCAAAGTGTTTGTCTGCGAGCCGTCAACTACAATTGTGTATGGTTTTAATACTGACAGAAAAAAGGGCTTGTGCTCTGTCAAGCCTGTATTTCAAACTTGTATTTTTTTACACTAAAACCCAGCTGTGCAGAACCGGTTGTGGCTTAAGGTTTTGTTTCATGAAAGTAAGATTTTGAAAGGGATCAGATTGTTTGAGAAATTGTTGCATGCTTTCTGCCAATGTTGTGGATGAGACAAATTCTGTATTTTTGGAACACAAACTAAAAATAAAACGGTTTCTGTAACAACGCCCATTTGTATAACCATACATTCGAAATGGCTTTGTTGAAGATGGTTATTTGTATTTTCTGTAAAAATATATTCATGGAGAAAATATTAGATCACGTTTACGTTTATTCTGAAAGGCTGCTTTTCCGGATGTACAAATGTTTACTGGTCAAGTGTTCAAGTAAGCTGCTCACAAAACTTTTTACTGGTTTTGTTTTTATAGTTTGCTACAGCCGTTGGAGCATGCGCACATCTCATAATTTCGAAGTATCCTTATATACGGCCTAACTCATAGATCCATGCAAGCTACATCTATTTTAACCTGTGTTCAGCCTTCGTCATGTAGCCTGGTTACACTATACATGTGCATGAGTGTGCTAAATTATGTTTTTTGTGTGTGTTAATTTTCAACTGCGATTGTACGTTCATCCCTGACAATAGACAGTAAGTAATCCCAACAGTCTCTGTCCCGGACTCACGTCTTCTGAAAACGCGATTGTTGACTTTGGATACCGTAATAATATTGCGGTATGTTCACCACCATAGTCAGTGGATCATGATCGAGATTGATTTAACCATAGATTAAACACCCGGTCGTTTTTAAGTATGTAGGCTATAAATCCAAGTGCAAATGATCATCTTATTGTCTAAACATGACCTTTGATCCACAAACCGAGGACCGCCCTACGCATCGCATTTGTTTTTGTTTTTAAATTTTAGTTTGTTATTACTAAAATTTACAATCCATGGTTATCACACATATCTGGTGTGCACACTGTAACGAGTTATTTTGTTTCCGGGACAAGCCTAAAACCATCTTTTCTCAAGACAACCTGAATATGTTGACTATGACGTTGACAGAGCATGAAGTTGTTTCTTTAGGGGTCGTCACCAAATTACCCGAATGGAAAGAAACGTTATGTATTAATAGATTAGGTGTTTATTTTGTACTCATACGCATTATGCATTGTTAATTTATTAAATCTGCCCTGTTGTAACGCTATGTCATTTTAAAGCGTATCATTTGTGTATCCCAAACCAAAATGGTAAACATTTATATATGGGGCTCAGTAAAATAAGTAATATTTTACTGTAATACTATTTTTCAAATGTGTTTACAATTTTTTATGATTTTAAACTCAAAATATTTGCAGTTTTATTTCTTCTATAGGTTCAAGGGCAAATTATCCAGATACCCAAATTACCTTAGAATAGTCGAGCTGGTGAGTGCGACAGTGGCTCAGTTGGTAGAGCATTGGCCTTTGAGCCTGACACTTCACCCCCCTGGGCAAGACACTTCACCCCACTTTGCCCGAAGCAAGGCTGTGTCGTATTGACAGAGCAGCCATCCTTCTGTTCTGATATCCTGGAAGTTATCTTCCCTTCTCGTAATTTGGTGCCTGTTCCTAAATATTGAATAATTGACAACCAACTTTCCCATGTTTTTAATGATCTTGAATCCATATATACATATAAACATTCATCAGTTTGTTATTTTGACCTTTTCACCACTAGTAACTAATTCACCCCAGAAAGTCCATTCAAGGCAAGTTTATTTGTATTGTGCAACTAATGTTCTAACTTGTGCAGCACCTGGAACTAATTTCCCAACTTAAACTATGAACAATAATAGAATGCAAGTGTTTAAAGAAAAGATATAAGGTGGTCTGGCTCTCTGAATATAACTCTGCTCTTGCTTTACAGGTCTAGCATCATGCAGTGTTCTATATTTCTGTGTCAGGGAGTTAAGAGAGTCCCCTGTAGACCTTTCCAGTCAGTCAATCATGCCAATTACATCCAAACTATCATCAAAGCTGAAAACGAGCAAACGGTGAACAGGCAACTATTTGCCAAAGCCAAAATTGGACATTTCTTTCAAGAGAAACCAATGTTAATAAACCCATTTCTTGGAGATAGTCTGTTAACAGGATATTTGAGGAGGCACATACCAAATGAGGTGAGACATTGGGTTTGTTTTTACTATTATTTTTTACTTAATAAATGTGTGTGTCTGTACAGTCTGTTTTTTCAGATTTGTGTGCATTCGGAGAACGTGTGGCCAATGAAGTTGATGGTTGGGGCAGAGAGTGTGAAGTTTCTCCTCCTCGACTCGTCCAGTATGACTCTTGGGGAAACAGAGTTGATTGTATCGACACAAGTGCTGCTTGGAAACGAATGAAAGATTTATCTGCTCAAGAAGGGCTTGTTTCCATTGGCTATGAGAGACCCTTTGGGGAGTGGAGGTTATTCAGCTTCACTAGAGTATATTGTATATTTAACATTTCTTCAAGTAACAACCGTATCTTCTCTGTGTTTTAGTCGTGTTTATCAAATGAGCAAGTTGTTCCTCTTCTCGCCTTCCTCTGGGCTCTACACTTGCCCTCTGGCTATGACTGATGGAGCAGCAAAAGTTATTGCGGTGTGTTATTGAAATATTGAATTCCGGTGTGGTTTTTCAGTTGTTCCTCACCAGCGCAAGTTCCTTAAAAAATGTAATACATTGTTTTACCTGTTGCTGTTATTTCAAAGTTACACTGGTGGAATAGTATAAAAACAAAACACATATTTTACAGTTTTTTTTAGTGCTTTACATTACCGCTTTACAGCAACTAGCAATACATTACAGTAATTATATAACGCGTTACTCCCAACACTGTTCATCTCTGGGCATTATTTAATATCTTAGATTTTTTTTTCTAAAGTCCATAGGTATTTCTTGGCCAGTGAAAGAAGCCTTTAACCGACTGACCACTCGTAAATCTGACTATTTTTGGACATCTGGTCAGTGGATGACTGAGAGACAAGGAGGATCTGATGTAGGTCAGTCATGTCTGTGCAGTTTACAACATGAACATACATGTTTAAAGGCTGTTTAAAGGTTAATCTCCACAGCAAATGGAACAGAAACCGTGGCTGTTCCTCAAACGGATGGTTCATTCAAGCTTTACGGTTATAAGTGGTTCACATCAGCAACAGATGCAGACATGACTCTCACTCTGGCAAGAGTACAGGACTCCAGAGGATCTATAACACCGGTACACAGATGTTAAGGAAGCAAATACAATGATTTGTTGGGTTATATTTACTTAATATGAATCCTCTGTTCCGTGTATGTGTTTATAATCCCTCATAACATGCAGGGTAGTCGAGGATTGTCTTTGTTTTATGCTGAAGTGAGCCGTGATCAAAGTGGTCAGTTAAAGGGCATAGAGGTGCAGAAACTGAAGGACAAACTGGGGACCAGACAAATGCCTACTGCAGAGCTACTGCTGGATGGTTTGACCGCTCATATGGTTAGTGACAAAGCGAACATCCAATACACTCTATTCTTTTGGCTCCCTAATCAATGAATCCTACTTTTCAAACTTATTTAAAGATTTCTTCAGAAGGAAGGGGCGTGGCTTCCATCGCAAACATGCTTACAGTAACAAGGATACACAACAGTGTATCTGCCGCAGCAGCAATGAGAAGGCAAGTTATACTATCTTGTCTTCACCTTGCAGAACAAGAAATCAAAAAATCCTATATCTTTTTCCCCAGATTCTGAAATGTAAACATAAAAAAAGTGTGAACGCTTTCTCATGGAGAAGAGTGACCATAAGACGTACATTTATGTTTAAAATGTTTTACTCACAAAGTTACGGCTGAATTTTAAGTTTTGGGGTGAGAACAGCCACACTGAGGATAGTAACCACATTACCACATAGCCAGTAACCCTCAATCATGCGCTTAATATTATGATTTTTGTGATTTGAGATTTTACTTCCAGAACAAGTGATGACTATTATATATTTCAAATGAGAAAATGTCCAATTCATTTTGCAGATAACTGAGAAATTAGTTCATTGTTTCTTTCTCTTTAAAGCTGCAAGATAATATGTTTCATGTCATTGTTTAATATGCCGGCAGGGTGGTTCAGCTTTCCCGTGACTATGCAACCCGCCGCAAAGCTTTTGGGAAACTTCTTAAAGACCACCCACTACACATGCAGACTCTTTCCAGGATGGAGGTAACATAGACAAAGCCACTGGGACCTTATTGTGTGTTAACCATTATTGTGTTTAGATTGAGACTCGAGGGGCATTTCTCTTGGTGATGGACATTTGTCGTCTTTTGGGTCGAGAGGAAATGGGTACAGCAACAGAACTTGATTCACATCTCTTGCGTCTTCTCACACCAGTGGTCAAATTGTACACTGGTAAGCAGGTAAGTATCAGGCCAAGAGTAAAGACACTACTTTAGTCAATTTTTTTATTTGTGTTGTGTAACTTAGGCGGTGGCTGTGGTGTCCGAGGGGTTAGAAAGTTTTGGTGGTCAGGGCTACATTGAAGACACTGGGTTGCCTGGACTTTTTCGAGATTCGCAGGTGACCTTTTAAAACCACTGTATTCGTCACACAGAATATTCTCCATATTAAACACAACCTGATTCCTAGGTCTTGAGTATTTGGGAAGGTACAACAAATGTCCTGTCATTGGACGTTCTCCGCTGTGTGTCAAGAAGCTCAGGCATGGTTCTTCATGCATATTTTAGCCACACCAAGGTAATTATTCCTCATGATTACTGGTTTAATTTAAATCTATAAATGCGTTTTGCTTTGGACCTAGATCCTTCTTGAAGGTGCATCTGGAGTTTCAATATTGACTCCAGCAGTAAACTCAATGCAGATCGCTCTCTCTAAACTGGAGTTATTGGTACAGGATGCTGCCACTAAGGATCCAAACTATTTAGAACTGGCAGCGAGAGATCTAGCATATAGTTTGGCTCGTATCTATGCAGGTAAAACATGAACATTATGGTAAATGTATATAAAAAAGGCTCACAGGGTGATTCTTCTATAGGTGCGCTTCTTATTGATCATGCATCTTGGAAAGGTGCCTCTCCAGCTGATGCCTATGCAGCTTTAAGGTAAAGGGCTAATGTTTTTTTACATGGAAAATATCTATTCGACTTTCCCTTTACATTACTTTTTTGTCAGGTGGTGTGAGCAAGATTTGTGTCCTGTGGCAACTAACCATGAGAGAGGCTGGTACAACCCTGGCTCTCCCAGTGATAATGCAGCGTTAGTGTATCATGAAACACAGCACTGAACAAATGCCTTTTAAAACACCTTTAAGACAACAATGTTTATGTTATTTTCAAAGCAGAAATGAATATTTTTGAGTAGAAACCGTATGTAACAAAATTACAATGTTTATTAAAAACGATTGAATGTTTTAACTTACATTGTGTCAGCTTATGTCAAACTGCTTTTTCAAACATATTTTTATATTTAGTCTACTGTTAGCAGGCTGGATGTTAATAGTGATAATATTAGTAATGGAAAGGGTCAAGATGAAATAATAATGTGTTAATGTTATATAGTATAGAATAAACAGTTGTGCATAGAAACCATGGATCTATAACCATGATCTATAATAATAACGATAGAAACACGGAACTTGTTTATTGAGAAATGTAAATTCCCAGCTTTAGTTTGGCCTGTGAACGCAGCACCGCCAGTAAACAGGAGCAGGCGGAGTTTGCCTAGGTAGGTAAACGACACAGGACACTTCATTTTGATCTCTGACTGTTGAACTCGGACTGAAACACGATGAATGTATTTGGAATAATTGAATGTAGTTCGAATCGATAACACACGGCTTGAAGCCACAATGAGAGCTGCTTCAGGGTTTGTGAGGACAGTCCGCTTATGTTGAAGATTTCAACATTTCAGGAAGGACATTTTGACAAGACTAAAACCAAAACAAGACCATGGCGTCGCAAACTACGGACGAGGTTGGTTGATAAATGATACAGTCTATGGGCAGACTTAGCAGCTGTTCCTATCCTGGCACTATCCCTGCTGCACCCCCTGCTCTCAGCTAATGCACCCCTTTCACAAACAGATTGCAACATATTCTTGCTGTCCATCAAATAGATAAAGATGAATAGAATTGTCTTACATGCACAGTTTTATAAATTGCCATCACGTTTTACACTGAGTGGAATAGATACAAATGTCCCATAGCTTGTCATGTTTGTGGGTTTCTTGTTCTTTAGTGTGATAAAGTGATGAGCCTCCCAGCTGCAGAGCGCTGTGACTTTGTGAAGAACACTTCAGACTGCAGTTCTGAGGACAGCTTCATCAACTACATCCATGTGGCTTTCTGCCTGCTCCCTGCCCACCTCAGCCCACTCACCATCACCCTTTGTGTGAGTGCCACTGTTTAGCATTATTGTCCAAGAGCTGCTTTTTGAACCACACTGGCTGGTGTTAGATTGTAACTCCAGCGTTACTTTATGTAAAATAAATATCTATTGTGGGCTAGTTCAATTTAAACTTCAGGGGCAGACACATTCTGTGGGGAACATTGCATTGTAAACCTACATAAAATGAAAGATGAGGGAAAACAGGTCTGCATTTTACTCTACAACACAATCTGATTGCAACATATTCATATCATGAACAATAGGACTTTATAAAATGTTGTAATCTAAATGTAATTGATGTCACTTCCTAAAATGTGCACATTAAATGCAGAAGTGGTACTTGAAGAACAGCCCAATTACCTATACCAGTAGAATTGTATTTCTTTATTCACCATATTTCCACTAAATTGAATACAGTTCATGTTGTAATAGTTTTAATATCTTTAAAATGTACATGTTATGTATTTTCAGTTTTATCTTTGTATTTCAGAAAGTCCTGTTAACTTTTCATTTTTGCAGATCATTTGGCTGCTCTTTCTATTCATTATTCTGGGCCTCACTGCATCTAAGTTGTAAGTTTATTGAAAGATTTTGTTGTTTTATGGTTGAGTCTAACTTACATAGACTTAGTCTTTACAACTTACAAAAATAACACGTTCTCCTGATTAGTCTCAGCTCCATGCTTTCAGTGCACTCGACAAACCGGCTTTTATAGTCACATGTCATAGTCATGTGACCAAAAGCAGCTGCTATTGTTTTACTGTAGCTCAGCTAAAATGTGAACTAGTGATAAGTGATAAGTCACTCACTGATGATTTGGTTCAACAGTTTCTGTCCCAATCTCTCTGCTATCTCCACAAGTCTGCGCCTCACACACACTGTGGCCGTATCCTTTTTGTCTCTTTATGATTTTCTACTTCTTAAATACACATTTCAATGCAGTTGTGCCCGTAACAGTAATTGTAGGGTGTGACATTCTTGGCCCTTGGTAATGGTGCTCCGGACATCTTTAGTGCAATGGCAGCCATCTCTCGACCACACACTGCTGGACTGGCTGTGGGAGCCTTATTTGGTTAGTGTGAATTCAATAACATGGCTAATAAACTTAAATAAGATAAGAGATCCTTTATTCGTCCCACAGTGGGGAAATTTCAATGGATCTGTACTTCACTCTTATATCCTTATTATTTTGCAGGGGCGGGCATTTTTGTGACAACAGTTGTTGCAGGCAGCGTGGCACTGGTCAAACCGTTTTCTTTGGCGTCGCGTCCTTTTCTCCGTGATTTGGTCTTTTATATGTCTGCAGTATTTTGGACGTTTGTTATTCTTTACAGAGGAACCATTTCACTTGGAGAGACACTGGGTAAGATTATGTTATTACATTGACCTAAAATCCTTATTCCCGTCATGATTTTGTGTTGTTTTTTTCTCTTTCTGAACATAGGTTATCTCGGCCTCTATATCGTTTATGTACTGACTGTAATCATTAGCACCATTATTTACAACCGACAGAAGCGTTCATTGAATTCAACTGTTCAAATAGTTTCACAAGTACCAGGTTAGAATTAGAACCTGCAATCCTATGGTAAACATGTGAAATAATATGTTTTGTAATTAGAGTATCAGTCATCTGACACTTCCGATGATGATGAGATTCCGTCCTTAAATGCAAGGTTCATCCCACACGAGTATGGTATGTACCTATGCTTCACATTTCTAGTTTATGTACATTGAGGCTCTGAACTTTTGTTCCTCCCAGAGACAGAATACAGACCCCTTCTGCCATATTCAGAATCAACGAGGGATATCCTGCTGAGCTCTCTGAATCCCATAGAGAGCAGTAAGTGGAGGAGAAAATCAACTAAATGGAAAGTGTTTAAAATACTGAAGGTATTGTATTTAATACAGTAATTAAACAATTCCAGGAACAATTGAAGCAGTCTGGTGTGCTTTTGTTTTACCCCTCAGACACCTCTGGAGTTCTTGCTGCTGCTCTGTATTCCTGTAGTTGATCCTGACAAAGAGGATAAAAACTGGAAGCGTCCACTCAACTGCCTTCACCTCATCATTGCTCCAATCACGTGTGTCTTTGCATTCCAGTCTGGAGCCTGTAAGTCACTGTCTGATACAGCACATTAAAGCGACAACTAATGCATCTTTTCCCGGGGAGTCTACTGATGTTATGGCTTTCCAAAGAAATTCCAGAGAAGTAGATCACACCATCAGACATAATTTACAAAGCTTTGTGTGGAATTCATGGTGAAAGTTTGCAAACTATTCACCATGAATTGAACTGCAACAACATGCACAATCACTCTGAAAAGTGAAAATATTGATTTGTTTATGCAGCTCATTAGAATTTTTACAGAATTTTAGAGTAAGATGAAATGGCCTATGTATGTTTAAAACCTATTCTTCCCAGATGGAGATTTTATGATACAAGGCCAGTTTCCTCTGTGGCTCCTCTTTTTGCTCCTGGGTTTGTTCTTGTCTGCGATTGTATTTTGCAACTCAAACAATGACCATCCTCCATCCTACCATCTTGTAAGTCACCCCTGTGAAACAGATTTCTGCTCTTTCTTTCAATTACGATGGACTTTTTTTTTTCTTTTAACAGGTTTTTGCCATTTTAGGATTTGTGACAAGTGCGTTATTGATCAGCGCTGCAGCCTCTGAAGTGGTCAGTCTCCTGCACATGTTGGGTGTAGTGCTAAGTCTCAGCAGCACTGTCCTGGGGCTGACTCTGCTGGCCTGGGGCAACAGCATTGGAGGTGACTATTTGTTATAGATCTACCAAGTAAGATGGATGCATTTTGATTATCATAATTCAGGAAAAATCAAATATACAACTGTGAGCTTGTTAAGGGCTGATCACAAGGACATTGGATAAACCCCGAGTTGTTCATGCATCTCATTCAATTTGACAAGTTATTTTTTTTAAAAGAGCAACAGTGGGTGGTACTAGTAACCAGATAGCGAATTCCTTTTTCATATACATTTTGTTTGTCTTTAGATAACATTTTGTGAACCAGACCACAACATGCTGTCTTAATCTTATTCAAAAACATGTTCTTTACTAATGATAGAACTGTTTTGACCAAACTATTTAAATGTAATGGAATCCATAGTTCATGTTTTACAGTTTCTGAGTTGCAAGCCTACGTCCTTACAATGCCATTTTATCTTCTCAGACTGTTTTTCTGACATCACGTTGGCCAAACAGGGTTATCCACGGATGGCCATTTCTGCCTGCTTTGGTGGGATAATTTTCAGTATCCTTGATATCAATGAGTCACAAATGCTTAAAAGGCAGATTGTGTTTCATCCTTGACCGGAGTGTGCAGACATGCTGTTTGGTGTGGGCCTGGGATGTTTGGCACAGAGGTTTCAAACGCATGCGGAGGTTCAGGTAATGAAGACATTTCTGAGTGATCAGTCCTGACTGTAGTTGACATCCTGTTTTCTGCTGACAGATTGAACCGGAGGGGGATCTGCCGTGGGTTCTTGCTGCATCTTTGGGGTTGTCTCTGGTTTTCTCATTCATCTTTATTCCACTGAGGAACTTCAGTGTGGGGAAGCCCTATGGGGTATTTCTGCTGCTCTTCTATTTAATGTTTCTTACTGTTGCACTACTAACGGAATTTCGCATTATTACATTTGGACACTGAGGCCAGTTCATTATACTTGAAAAACGTTTTTCTATTCACATGCCCGTTGTACAAAAAAACTTTATAAAATACAATCAATGAAATGTCACTTAAATTATTTTTCTTGGTAATTTTGAATTTGTTCACCAGAATAGACTTCAAGTCTTTTCGTGTCTACAGGTGTTTATTAAAATAACTCTGAATACATTAAGTTTAAAATAATAGATTTAGACACACATAAATCAAGCTTATGAGGCTTCTGTTCATGTTGTGCTATTATTAGGATACTGGTCCATTGGCTGATGAGCTGGTAATAGTACAGGTACAGTGGTCACTTCCTTCAGTGAATACAGCTCAAACACCAAACTATTTACATTGTGCACATTGTCCAGCAACAAGCAAATTTCAGGGAGACCTTTCGTCAGTCCAATGGATTCAGTACCATTTCCACAGGCACTAAACCTACTGTGAGAGTGGTCAACTGGGAGTGTGGTTCTAACAAGTGAACTTAGTTGATGCTGTGTAGTCCAGTCTGTGCATTGAAATTAGGTTCTGGGGAGGGAGACATGTTAGACAGCGGACAATCCAGTTCCTGCACACTTTCGTCGCGTTGAGGCAAGATTTCTCTTGAATAATCTGCATACCACTCCTAAACACAGCACAAATGAATATTAGTCAGTTCTTTTTTTTCTCTTCAGATTACAACATGGTACATTGTCCTACCTGCATCTCTTCTTCGTACATTTTCATGCTGAGATCACTCTTTGTTCGGGATCTGCGACCAAGGAAAACTAAAGATGTGTACTGTCAAATGAGAAACAAATGAATTCACAATTATAAAGTGCATATGGTTAGACAAAATATTAAAACAATTTTAAAATCTAACTTTACCAAACCAAGGAAAACTAAGCACTTTCTGGGAGACAAATACAAGTAGTTTCTAAGCAATCACAATATTTTACACCATAGTTAAAATCACATTCGGGAACAACATGCATTTATTCAGAATCAGAATCAGAATCAGAATCATTTTTATTGCCAACGTAAGTAACGGGAGGTCACAGACTTGGAAATTGCTTTGGCTCAGTGCAACAGTCAGAAAGAGATAATAAAAATAAGAATAAAAAACACTTCTAAAGAATAAATTTAAATTTAAAATAGAGTTACAGTTACTATTTACAATATACAAGTGCACATGGTGCACACAATGTAAGGTGACAGCAGTACAGTGAAGTAAAGTGACGTATGATGGGCAGTAAAGTGACTTTATAAAGGGCGGGGGGACAGGTTAAGAAGTGTTCAAGAGTCCAACAGCAGAGGGGAAGAAACTGTTCTTGTGGCGGGAGGTTCTAGTCCTGATGGACCGCAGCCTCCTGCCTGAGGGGAGTGGTTGGAATAGTCCATGTGCAGGGTGAGAGGGGTCGGCTGTGATACGACCAGCCCGGCCTCGAGCTCGGGCGACGTACAGGTCCTGCAGCGATGGAAGGCTGCGGCCGATCACTTCCTCTGCAGAGCGCACAATGCGCTGTAGTCTCTGTTTGTCCCTGACTGTGGCTCCAGCGAACCACACGGTGATGGAGGAGGTGAGGATGGACTCGATGATGGCCGTGTAGAACTGCACCAACATCTGTGCAGGCAGCTTGGCTTTCCTGAGCTGCCGCAGGAAGTACATCCTCTGCTGGGCCTTCTTGATGAGGGAGCTGATGGTCGGCTCCCACTTGAGGTCCTGGGTGATGGTGGTGCCCAGGAAACGGAAGGACTCCACAGAGGTGATGGGGGAGTCCATCACGGAGGGTGGGGGCGGGGGGACAGTGCTCTTCCTGAAGTCCACAATCATCTCCACTTGTCTTCTGGGCGTTCAGCTCCAGGTTGTTACCACTGCACCAGGACACCAGCCGGTCCACCTCCCTCCTGTAGGCGGACTCATCGTTGTTGGAGATGAGTCCAATGAGGGTGGTGTCGTCCGCGAACTTGATCAGCTTCACGGAGTCGTGGCTGGAGGTGCAGTGGTTGGTGTACAGGGAGAAGAGCAGGGGAGAAAGAACACAGCCCTGTGGGGCTCCTGTATTTATAATCCGAGAGTCCGAGACATTCTTCCCCAGACGCACTCGCTGCTTCCTGTCCGTCAGGAAGTCAGTGATCCACCTGCAGGTGGAATCGGGCACGTTGAGCTGGGAGAGCTTGTCCTGGAGCAGGGATGGCAGGATTGTGTTGAAGGCAGAGCTGAAGTCCACGAACAGGACCCTGGCGTAGGTCCCCGGGGAGTCCAGGTGCTGTAGGATGTGGTGGAGGGCCAGGTTAATGGCGTCGTCTACAGATCTGTTGGCTCTGTAGGCGAACTGCAGGGGGGTCCAGGAGGGGGGAGGTGAGGGACTTGAGATGGGAGAGAACCAGGCGTTCAAATGACTTCATGACGACAGACGTAAGTGCTACAGGTCTGTAGTCATTGAGTCCTGTGATCCTGGGCTTCTTCGGGACGGGGACAATGATGGAGGATTTGAAGCAGGCCGGGACATGGCAGGACTGCAGAGAGGAGTTGAAAATGTCCGTGAACACAGGAGTAAGCTCACTGGCGCAGTGTCTCAGAGTGGCCGGAGACACGTGGTCCGGGCCAGGAGCTTTGCGGGGGTGCAGCCTCAGGAAGAGTTGTTTAATCTCTTTAGCGGCTATTGTTAGGATGGGGGCAGGGCTGATGGGTGGGTCGTTAGAGTAGTGGGGGGTGGGGGAGGGAGAGGTGTCAGGGGCAGCATCAAAGCGACTGAAAAATAAGTTCAGATCGTCAGCTAGCTTGTGGTCATCAGCACAGGGGGGGGGTTTGTAGTTGGTGATCTCCCGTAGGCCCCTCCAGACAGAAGCAGTATCGTTGTTACCAAACTGCTCCTGTAGTCGTTCTCTGTGCCGGGACTTGGCTGCTTTCAGTTCTTTCCTGAACTGATATTTAGCTGCTTTGTAGCCGCTGCGGTCCCCCTCCCTGAAAGCAGACTCCTTTGCTTTCCTGAGCTGCCGGAGTTTAGCAGTGAACCAGGGTTTGTCGTTGTTATAGATGACCCTGGTCCTTGTTGGAATGATGCTATCCTCACAGAAGTGGATGTATGACGTCACAGTGTCCGTATATTCATCCAAGCTGTCTGTGGCAGCTCTGAAAAGGTCCCAGTCTGTAGATTCCATGCATGCGCGCAGCTCTTCCACAGCTTCATCAGACCACACTTTGGAGCTCCTCACTGCAGGTTTCGAGAGCTTTAGTCTCTGTCTGTAAGCAGGAACCAGATGTATCATGGAGTGATCTGAGAAGCCGAGGGCTGGCTTGGGAACAGCGCGAAAAGCTCCGCTCACGGTGGTGTAACAGTGATCCAGAGTGTTCTCCTCTCTGGTCGGGCATTTGATAAACTGTCTGTATTTGGGTAATTCCTGGCTCAAGTTTCCCTTATTAAAATCCCCCAGGATAATAATCAGAGAGTCCGGGTATAAGCGTTCCATACACAGTACTTGCTCTGCGAGTGCGCGCTGAGCCTCGCGCGCGTCCGCGCATGGCGGTATGTAAACAGAGGCAAGAATGAATGAAACAATTTCCCGCGGGGAGTAATATGGTTTACAATGAATGAAAAGATATTCCAGAGCAGGAGAGCAGTGCTTGGAGATCACTGTCACATCGTTACACCAGTTTGTATTGACGTAGAAACACAGCCCTCCGCCTCTGCTCTTCCCTGAGAGCGCACAATGGCGATCCGCGCGAAACAGCCCAAAGCCCTGCAGCTCCAGAGCGCAGTCCGGGATCCGCTCATTTAGCCAGGTCTCAGTGAAGCAGAGGACACAGGATGTGGCGAAGTCCTTGTTTCTTCTCATGAGCAGGCTGAGTTCGTCCATCTTATTGCCCAGTGAGCGTACGTTGGACAGAAAAATGCCGGGGAGAGCCGTGCGCGCTCCTCTCCTCCTAAGACGCACGAGCAGGCCTCCTCGCTTTCCCCTTTTACGGGCCCACACTTTTTTGGCTAGAACATGAACTAAATCAGCCGCAGATGCCAAGAAAACAGGCAATAGGTCCATGGGAACGGTGGGTCGGATGTTCATAAGTTCCTCACGGGTGTAGGAACAGCCAGATGCACAGTTAAAAAGTAAAAACAAAAGAAAAAGAGAGCAGCAAAGAGCCATGTCGACCGTACGAGGCGCCATCTTATATCCTCTTATTGTGGATGGAAAAAACATTTTCCATTTAATTTATTTTAATTTACAAATACACACATGTCATTTGTGCCTACACCACATTTTAAAAGATGGTCAACATATCTATAGGTAACTATTTTTTAAAAATACAAATGTTGTGATGAGAGGAAATGTCTTTACAAATTAACTCCTATAATCTCCTATAAAACTGCGATTATCCTTCTGCTCAGATTGCAAGGAAAGCACAAACATGTATTCCTTTAATAATATTGCGTTAAGAATGTTATTTTGACAAATCAAGTGAGGGTTTATCTACGGCCTTCATTCACAAGGGGCTTTATTCTTACATGTGGCCATGAATGATATAGTGTTAAAATGCAGCAAAAAACACTAAATAGCATTTCTATTCCACCAATGTAATCATGTAGTGCTTTTTTGTTTCCTTACCCCATTTCTCTCCATGGTTTGAATGACGCTCTGAAGTGAGCTCAGGGACGAGTGTTCGGGGCACATCTGTTTGTACAGGTCCAGAGTACTCAGGACTTCATCACGATTTAATTCCACATCAAACACAATCCCATTTTCATCTGAGTTTTCATAATAAAATACATAAAAACCAAACAGTTTTAATATTGAATGATTTCAGTCTCACCTTCAGGATTTCCCAACGAGTCCCGATTCTTGCGGCTGTAGTTCATACGGAATACAAAGGCATCCAAAATGAAAGCCACAATGATCGTCATGACGACCTGTAGAAACAAAAACGGCGACTTTAACAATGTTAAATTAAAACAAGACTAAAAGATTATTTCTTGTCTGCTGCACCATTGTTACGATGTAGAAAGTCATGAAATAGAGGCGACTCCAGTGACTTGTCATGTAGGTGACTCCTTCCTACAAAAAAAATAATAATGAAAATGAGAAAACAACTATAAAACAAGAACAACATTGCTAAATTTACCATAGTAATATACCAGTTGTTCACCACAGTTAGTTCAAACAGCGTCACTGAGAACAAAAAACATTGTCATTAACTAAAATAAAACACATTATTATGTACAACATATTGTGGAGAATTACCAAAGCTGCTGAGAATATTGTTGAAGTTATTGAGATAATAGTAGCCTTCTTGTAACTCTGTTTTATTTCCAACCGTGACATTGATTTGTCTGTAGGAGTCTGCCACTGTGCTCCCACTGAAAGAATAGATTTAGTATTACATGTTCATTTATGGTGAATACAATGGAGCAGGGGAACACATACTTGCAGCAATTAGGAAAGACGACACCGGCGAAGAACTCCATCCCCACAATTGCAAAGGAATAATAGAAGATGATCAAAGTGAGACCCAGGCTTGCCATCCGCGGGAAGAGTTCAAACATGGTGTCCAATACATTACGATACCGTTGCTTTATTTTAAATAACCTGCCAAACAACAAATTAAATAGAAGAAAAAAATAAAATAAAAAATAAATATTTAACTTGTAGGTTAGGGTTAGGGTTAGGTAAGGTTTAGTCTGTGCCCACCTGAGCAACTGAAAAGGCCGAAGTATTACGATGAAGTAAAAGGGCTCCATATCGAAGGCAAGCGCGATCAGGCCCAGGAAGGCAAACACTGTTACTGCAAAGTCAAATCTGGGATAAAAGAGCAAAGACTTGTTTCAAAATGTCATTATTCTGAGAAAGAATACTTTTAGCTATTACACTCACAGATTCCACCCAGAGCTGAAATAAGCCATTGGGCCCAAACCAGTTACTTTCAACAACACCTCTACACCATAAACTGAAAAAGAAAGCCCACGATTATGTCATTTACAAACAATATAAAGAGTTTATCATTGCATGGGATGGGTCACTTACTTGTGAGAAAGACAACGTAACTCCATGGTACAGGTCTGGACCAAGTAAATCCACCTAAGACATTGATGGAATCTTTAATGCATTTCATGGCACTATTAGTTATTGAAATGAAAAAAACTTACTGTCCAGAGCGTACATCTCGACTAGAATCCACACTCCATTGATGGCCACTACTACACCTGTAATTACAATGAGCAAGGTCTTTAAAAATATAAACATAAAGGATTTTCAATTAAGAGAACTATTGTGTCTAACTTACACATAGCATATTGAAAGGCCTTTGACTTTACAAGCAGATTTATACCTGCAGAATAACAGAACTAAATTTACAAAATGAACTAAAGTTACAAGTTTACCATGCACAATAGGACACAGAACCTTTAAAAATGAGAAAGGTTGTGTGTGGAAGATCGTCAAACCAATATTCTCCACTTCGTCGCGCCTATGAGATGTTAAATATCATTATCATCATTAATGTGGTTCAACTGGCTTCAGCCCACGACAGACTAACGGCCCAATTACCTTCCATTTAAGTCCAGTCACTTCATAGAACTTGTAGAAGTCCTGCAAACTGGAAAATGTAAACAAATGTAAGCGACGGCGTGACAAGTGACAGTATGTAGTAGTATGTAGTATTATTTAGTAGTTACCTGAGCATCGAGGCCTCCGAGGTGTTCAAAGCTTTGTATGTGAGGAAGCGGTCTCGTGCAGACATCCGCGGCCTGTAGAAACGCATCAGGCCATCAAACTGCTTTAAAGACACTCCCATCGGCCTCTGAAATAGACATCACGAGAGATTAGAAGCAGCATAAGCCTGAGAACGTCGTCAATGGGATACATCCAGGCTGCATAGATAATAAAACAGTACCTGTCGACTAACTAATAGTTGAAAGGCGTGGTCAATAGCGGAGCGTTTGTGGAGCCATAAAGATTTGAACTTCATTTTCTCAACATCATTAAATGTATCAAATACCACTGCCAAAAGCTACAAAGAAAAACAACAGACCGATCTAGATTATATGAATTATAATAAATTATTCAAATGATTAAATTCATGTGATACCCACTAGATTCATTACAAAGTACAGTTCAATGGAGAGATAAACAATGAAAAAGACACAGGACCAGCGGTTTTTGGCATATGCTGGCATCATCACATCTGGAAAACTACAAGAAGAGGAAGTTACTTTAAAAAAACAGAAAAAAACAAGTGTCATTACGTGAGAATGCTCTAAAAGTGGGAAGCACTGAGTAAAAACATAATGTCAAAGGATAACTAAAAAGGACTATGTGTCCTGCACTTACTTTGCTGTGGTCAGCAGAACAAACAGACTGACAAGACTGTTCTCCAAAGTTTTGAAGTACTGTGGCGAGAAAGACAGGAAGTCAGATCAGGTCTCTACATAACACACATGATACAAGCACATACCGGATCAGCATTGTTAGTGGAGAAGAGACAGAAGCCTAATCAGAGACCAACATTTAGTATTTATGACCAACATGTACGTGTACTTATATGATTGTGTTCAGAGGAATAGAAAACTTACCCAATACAGCAAATATAACCATGAAGAATAGTAGCAAGAGAAGGATGTCAATAAAAGGTGGGAGGGACTGGAAAATCTGCCTCAGGTTTCTGATTGTGTAGAAGAAACATTGTCAGTAGCAATATTACACATTTGACATGAATATAAAAAACAACAATTATATATATAATAAGTTTAATACAACAGCAAGCATCTTGTGATGCATTTCCTACCTGCGTACAGCTCCACAGTATCTGCAGTCCACCAGAAAAATGGGCCGCAGAGCGCGGGTCACTCTCATGTGTGACGTCTGTCGCACCAGGACCACTATGGCCTCCACAAACTGCAGCAGCAGCACACAGGTCTGTACAGGAGGACACATCAGTATCTGCAGGATTCTTTTGAGCATGTTTGAAACTACAAAACAATGTAAATGGTTTTAAACTACAAAGCAAAATAAATGTTCTGTCAAATGTTCAGTTTACTAGTATTATTCATGTTTTGAAAGCTACTCTGCTTCAGGTGTAATTCATCGATCATATTGGACCTTGAACTTAGAAAAAAAAGTGTGAACTATAGAGCACATTTAGGACACTCAAAGACACTGCATTTATTCACTCCAAACCAGTGGTGGTAAACTACTACTGCAGTCACACCTGGGGAAGACTGACAGAAGCTCTTCTGTCAGTTACTAATCTGCACAATCGGACCATTCAACCACCACTAATCCTTAAGTCACAAGCACAAACACTAAATTCATAACCTATAATATTTCACCAACATGCTCGTTGGTGAAACATCTTGCCCAAGGACACAACAGTTTTGCACTTTACATGCTCATAAGGATGTTTGGGTCTTCTATACCAGAGTAAGTTAGAGACTTGCTAATATACCATTTTCTGGTATAGAAGACTGTAGACAGTAGACTACTGCGAAGACGGAACCTTCCTAAAATACTTTGCAGCCACAGAACTGACCAAGCAGGTATGACCAGAAACGTGTCCGCTGATAAGTCTCCTTATTTCCTTTTAATTTTTCTCATATGCTGCTCTATATATAAACATTAGTGATAGCCAGTGTGGTAGATAATTATTTTATACAATAGACGGACATGAATCTATTATATCTTAGGAATATTACCTTGACCATGGTCCTCTTGTGCCGGATGAAGGTATGGAAACCCAACCAGCGGAGTTTCATGCACAGTTCAAAAGCGACCATAACTAACGCCAGCAGCTCTAACGTGGCGTGTACCTGCATAGATAATTAGACCTTTTTAATCAATTAAAATAGTCAAACAGAAAAAAGTCTCAAATGCAACATTGCATAGTGAAAATAATTTCTATGTGTTGGGGTAGAATGATGAGTGTATATTTACATAAACATCCAGTCGCAGTGAGGGCACGGCCGGAGCCTCGCACAGAGACAGAGTCATGAGGAGGAGGCCCGTGAGCAGCTCCATCATGTAGAACAGGTGATTGTGGGCAAACAGATACGCAGACAAAGCCTTGGGGTTTCGAGGGTGTGTAAAAAACTTGTCATTGTTCTCTCCTTCCTAAAAATAATAAACACGAAACTTGATGCAAATTGTTCCTGTATTCTTCTCTTGAGTGGCATCAATCCAACTATTTGAGCTCTGGCACCATTGTCACTCATGCAAAGGTTGTACAAATCTTTCCAGTAGATCGAACTTGTTAGTCAGCTTTTCACATACAAATTGGCCAAGCCCCATATCTAGCACAGGTCTAAAATTATTAGTTAGGGGAAAACCAAGTCATAAACAGGGCTATTCACAAATATAATAGATCTATCAAGACAAATAAAAAATAACACCTCCAACAACAGGGGACCCCATTTATCTAAATTTCAATAATGGTGGAAGGACTAAATCTGTATATTTATAACAGGTTATTTCCAGGTTGCCAAAAGCAGACTAATATTATCATAATATTAGGCGAGTTCCAGTCATAGATATATGTTTTGAGACCATTAAGTCAAAAATGGCAAAGAGACGCATTTGAGCCAAAAGTTGTTTTTGATGAGGGAACCTTGTTAAACATGGTTAAAAGCTCAAAATAACAGACTTTAAATAATATTCTTCTATTAAATTAAGTCCATAACAAAGTTGAGTGCTAAGGCCGTCATAAAATATCACATGGATTCTTCAGATTCTGTTCTATAAAATTGGCTTTTATCGGTTTGTGTGAAAATCTCTCACACACTGTACCTGCAAATAGATGGCTGCTTCTTGGTAGTTCATCTCCCAGCTCTGCCGTAAGGTGACATTATGGGCTGCATAGTTTTGGGGCCCTGGAGTTGTTATGACATCATTATTCATCACATCGTAGTTGCCTCTTCCTCCTCTATCTGTAAAATAATGTTTACATTTGTTAATATTTATTTTAATAGTCTTTTAATTGTTTAATATAGAGCATGCAGACAAATTCATGACTCCTACCAGGACTGTCTGACCAGAGTAAAGTAAAAGAAGAGATCAGTACAGGACCCTCGTTGTGGTTCAAGTCTTCATAAAAGCTATTTGTTCCAGTCTGGCCGTACAAGCGCTCCATTTGGAATATCTTTGAATGTCTGATTGTCTCGACTTGCGCACCATTGGTTGTTAGCCAGCATTGACCACGAATCAGATGAAACGAGCTAAAACATGTACATTATAACCTCAAAGCAGTCAAAAATAGAGACAAAAACACAAAACAAAGCAACAATCCCAAGGTCTATATGTTTACAGCTCAGCTTCATTCACAGAACCTTCTCTGCATTGATCATTGAACCCAGTAAAGTACAAGCAAACTACTGAACCATAAAAAGACACTGAAAAAAACTATTAGTCCTGTGTTCCATTTTTGAATTCTGCACATGCTTTATCCATCACACGATTTCATTCCTGACCGGGCTTCTTAAACAGAATAGTGATTCAAACTAAACGTAGCATCATAGATTTGATCAAAAACTGTTTCTATCCATATCACTTTTACAGAGAAGTAAATGAGTAAAAATGTAGTACTATTTGAACCACCCATTTGTGTGAGAACATGTTTAGAGCTCCTGGTCCATAACACAGTCAATTCAGTCTCAGAGAAATGTACACAACCTTTAGGCTACAGAAATGATCCATCAATCCCAGTTCTCACAAAGTTTAATCCAATTTCTGCCATAGATGACAGACTGTTTGGCCTGAACGAAGCGATATTTCATCCTCTGACCAGTATTTGTAATTATCCTGGAGGAAAATAATCTCTTCTCTTCCTGTCCTCCCTGGAGCCTGCTGCTACAAAATAGACTTTGACAACACACAGACAGACATCGGTGCAACATGGGCTATGGACTGCCCTGTTCATCAGGAGGGGCTGCTGTGCTGAGGGTGCACTTTCTCACATGGGTCATTTTGTAGGAGGAATTCAAAGGGAGCAGGACGGGGTGTGTGTGTTTGTGTGAGCGGGTCACACAGACATGGACACGTGGCTTGATGTTCTACACAACGGGTCTTACTTAAAGCTGCGTGGTACCTACTTTGTTTTTCAAAAAATAATGATGTTAATGTTAGTTTCAACAGAAGCGGTCTTGTAAAAGTAATAGACAGTGAACATTTCCGATCAGAACATGGCTGTTTAAATCTTAAAAGTACACGTGTTATCTTTTTCCCACATGATCAACAACCACATATGTGGAAAAGAGAGCAGAAAAGGTAAGGTGGTGTGCATCAAGGCCTTTTGACACACATGCTTATATAAGTTAATATTTCAGTAACACATTATGGAACATCTAAACAATGAGCAGTAAAATCATAGTGAAATCTTACAGATGTGACAAAAGCATGGCAAAAACATTTCGCGTTTGTCAAAGTTTCAATATGTAAGAACAATTGGGTGAATTCACTGATTGATGCAGAAACTAATGGTTAAAAAACTTTATTCGAAACGGACTTTTCTTGAAATATCAAGGCTATGCTCTCACAGACAGAGCAGCCATCCTCCTGTGGACTCACCACCAGCAGGAGGATCAGTGAGGGGCTGGTGCTCTGAGAATTGGGTACTCAATTTTAATTTTATTGACAACTTCCCCACAGGGGCCACATATAAGAGAGTATTGCAGGGGTACTAAAAGTAAATACAGTAAATATAAGGACAGATTTGGTGTAATACCTCATAAGATAAACATATATGATAGAGTTTAGATTCACAAAGCCGCCATATTATTCCCATTTCAGTGAGTCCTGTCGACTGGCCACCCTCAGGCATACGTTTTCAGAAGGGCGCATGTGACACGTCCGTCTAGTTCCAACCAATGCTAAAACTTGTGCGTTAGGTCTTTGTTGTTTTGTTGATCAAGACCTTTAATTTGATAAATAGAACTAATTGTCTCCCAAAATTCTACTTATGTGTGTATTGTATTTTATGGCATCAGTGCACCAATACCAAGAACTACTGAGTAATATGTATTTGATCGGTCCATTGCTTTGTTGGTGGATGTGTTTGATGACCACTTACTGTCCGCATCTGTCCTCTCCGTGTCCTCAGTCAGGAGTCCGCTGTTCGCCTCGTCCCAGGTCAGAATCAGAGGAACATCGTCCTCTGTGTCCATTCTGCTCACGCTCATTTATCCTGTTAGCCGCCCAATAACTCCTCTAAAGCGCTGCATAATAGTGTTTCCACAACACTAAAAACAAACATTGCAACTCTGGGTCAACTTATGATGAAGATCTGTCTCAAATCACGTTTTAAAGAAAAAGTTACTCATATACACACGGTCTCTCATTTGTTGTCTTTTTTGTAGCTTCTGTCAGTGGCGTCCAGACATCACCCTTCGAGCTACCACCCATGATAAACACATTTTCTGTCGTAAACATATATGATATTCATATTCAAGAAGATACTAGATTAAGCTCTTAAAGTGTGTCTAACAAACACGGGGAATTTTAACTGGCTTTCCTCAAAGATGTATTTATTACCAAACTTTCACGACACTAAATTACTTGACGGCAGAAGATGACCCGGCCCGCGCTTCAAAATAAAAGTCCCGCGATTTTAATTATATGCTCAAATATTTCAGAAGAGATTTACATTATTATCATGTACTACTCAAATGAGCTACAGATCATACTACAGACAAGGACACGTAAGTTATATTTGATCATAGCCAAATCGTTGTCCAACATTGGTCCAAGATGTTAGTTAGACTCAACAATAAAGTGACTATGGATCTTGCTCTAAACCTTTATCTCTTTTACGACTGACATACAGACAGCATCAGAATCTTTTGAAAATAAGTTAATATAGTATTGCAGTGTATATTATAGGGTACCATAATGACCACGTGGGAGCGCTAAAGGGCTTTTGTTGAGTATCATTCATGAAGCCCTCTTGTGTACAGTCTATGGTTGTAGGTCGAATGCAAGGCAGTGTTAGATAAGTAAATAGTTACATTTTACTTATTGTCTTAAAAATGTAAGAAGTTACACTGCTTCCTCAAGATTACTAAACAGTTTAAATTACGCCTCATGTTAGAGCTGTGTTTAAACTCTAATCTAATTATTTATATATACATATACACACACACACACACACACACACACACAGTCTTAATTAGAACATATCAAATTGGTATTAGTTATTTCATGCTTTCTTCTCCCACTGTTTAATATTAATTTGACAAAAAATTCCAATATAGATTAATGTGGTGTCAGTGTTACTAAAAGTAACAAAAAGTAACTCAAAATTGTGTTACAAATACTGTTACAATTTAAAGACAGTAATGAAAATCACGTTTTCAACCCAGTAACGATAAGATAAGAAAACCTTTAGTTGTCACACACGGGACAGAAGTAGAAGCACCCAGGGGGAGCACACAAAATATACAATAATAAATATATATATATATATATATATAAATATATGCTAAATATATATATATATATATATATATATATATATATATATATATATATATATATATACTGTACACTTTATACTGTATACTGTACACTACACTTTACACTTTATACTGTATAAAGTGTAATCCTGGCAGGATTGGGCTGCTGTGCACCCAGTGTTTTAGGGGAATGGAGTGTATGAATGAATTTGTTTGTTTATTGATGTTTGTGTTTGTCTCACACCAGTGGCCTTGTTTAAGCTGTTTGCAAACAAGCTCAACAAGCCTCTTGAGAGTATGCCAGCAACGGGAAGAGGGTTGGAAGAGGCTTTTAAGGAAGCGTGATTCTGCTCAGAATAGTTTTGTAACGTGTACAAGTGCTCGGCCAGTTACTTTATAATAATAATAATATATAATATACTACTCTGTCCGCTTTGGAGAGTTGCTTCAGTGACAGACTTAATCACCCTCACCGTGTGAAGGAGAGGTTCCGCAGGTCTTTTCTTCCTGCTGCTGTTCGACTGTACAATGAGAACTGCTGAGCCTGTACATGTCATTCATCTGTAAATAGTAAATACTGCAATCATGTGCAATGTGCACTGTGCTTTATTTAGTTATTATCCTGCCAGGATTACACTTTATATATACATATATATATACACATGTGTATATATATATATATATATATATATATATATATATATATATATATATATATATATATATATACATATATACATATATATGTATATATATATATATATATATATATATATATATATATATATATATATATATAAAAAAAAATTGTCCACTCACCTTTGGCCCTCCGCGGGCGGTTATCCCTCTCTAAGCTCGGGTCCTCTACCAGAGGCCAGGGAGCTTGAGGGTTCTGCGCAGTATCTTTGCTGTTCCTAGCACTGCACATTTCTGGACCGAGATGTCCGAGGTTGTTCCGGGGATCCGCTGTAACCACTCATCTAGCTTCGGGGTCACTGCCCCGAGTGCACCGATCACCACGGGCACTACTGTCACCTTTACCCTCCAGGCCCTCTCCAGCTCCTCTCTGAGACCTTGGTATTTCTCAAGCTTTTCATGTTCTTTTTTCCGGATGTTACCATCGCTTGGAATTGCCACGTCCACCACCACGGCTGTCCTCTGCCCTTTGTCTACCACCACGATGTCAGGTTGGTTTGCCATTACCATTCGGTCGGTCTGTATCTGGAAGTCCCACAGGATCTTCGCACGCTCATTTTCCACCACCTTTGGAGGAGTTTCCCACTTAGACCTTGGGGTTTCCAGCCCATACTCTCCACAGATGTTTCTGTACACTATGCCAGCCACTTGGTTATGGCGTTCCATGTAGGCCTTCCCTGCCACCATCTTGCACCCTGCAGTTATGTGTTGGATCGTCTCAGGTGCCTCTTTGCACAACCGACACCTTGGGTCTTGTCTGGTGTGGTATATCTGGGCCTCTATCGCTCTGGTGCTCAGTGCCTGTTCCTGTGCAGCCATGATGAGTGCCTCTGTGCTGTCCTGTAGGCCAGCCCTTTCTAGCCATTGGTAGGACTTCTTGAGATCAGCCACTTCTGTTATGCTCCGGTGGTACATGCCGTGTAGGGGCTTGTTCTCCCATGATGGGCTATATATATATATGTATATATATATATGTATATATACACACCAACCTGTGCACAGCCTGGATTGATTACCAGAAAGCCTACGACTCAATGCCACACACATGGATCATGGAATGCGTGAAGTTGTACAATATCAACAGGACTCTAAGGGACTTTGTTGCAAACTCGATGGGAATGTGGAAGACCACCCTTGAGGCAAATGGCAAGCCGCTCGCACAAGTGACCATCAAATGTGGTGTCTACCAAGGAGATGCTCTGTCCCCACCACTGTTCTGCATAGGCCTCAACCCTCTAAGCCAAGTAATTGACCAGACTGGCTATGGATCCCGCCTCAGGAACGGAGCAAAGATCATTCACCTCCTCTACATGGATGACATCAAGCTGTACGCCAAGAGCGAGAGAGACATCGACTCTCTGATCCAAACAACCAGGATCTACAGCCATGACATCGGGATGTCATTCGGACTCGAGAAATGTAGCAGGATGGTGACTCGGAGAGGCAAGGTAGTCCACACAGAAGGGATCTCACTCCCAAAGGGAACAATAGCAGACGTTGAGGACAGTTACAAGTATCTCAATATACCACAGGCAAATGGCAACCTCGAACAGGTGACGAGGAAAGCGGCAACTGCCAAATACCTCCAGCGAGTAAGGCAGGTCCTAAGAAGCCGGCTCAATGGCAAGAACAAGGCCCGGGCAATTAACAGTGATCAGATACCCTGCAGGAATAATCAGGTGGCCAAAGGAAGAGATTCAGACCACGGATGTTAAAACTCGAAATCTCCTTACCATGCATGGCGGGTTCCATCCCAAATCCAGCACCCTGAGACTGTACGTAAGCCGTAAAGAAGGAGGCCGAGGACTAGTGAGTGTGAGAGCCACTGTCCAGGACGAAACATCCAAACTCCATAACTACATCATGGAGAAGGCCAAAACGGATGACGTACTCAGTGAATGTCTCAGGCAGTGGCGAGATGAGGAGGTGCTGGAGGAGAGCCCATCATGGGAGAACAAGCCCCTACACGGCATGTACCACCGGAGCATAACAGAAGTGGCTGATCTCAAGAAGTCCTACCAATGGCTAGAAAGGGCTGGCCTACAGGACAGCACAGAGGCACTCATCATGGCTGCACAGGAACAGGCACTGAGCACCAGAGCGATAGAGGCCCAGATATACCACACCAGACAAGACCCAAGGTGTCGGTTGTGCAAAGAGGCACCTGAGACGATCCAACACATAACTGCAGGGTGCAAGATGGTGGCAGGGAAGGCCTACATGGAACGCCATAACCAAGTGGCTGGCATAGTGTACAGAAACATCTGTGCAGAGTATGGGCTGGAAACCCCAAGGTCTAAGTGGGAAACTCCTCCAAAGGTGGTGGAGAATGAGCGTGCAAAGATCCTGTGGGACTTCCAGATACAGACCGACCGAATGGTAATGGCGAACCAACCTGACATTGTGGTGGTGGACAAAGGGCAGAGGACAGCCGTGGTGGTGGACGTGGCAATTCCAAGCGATGGTAACATCCGGAAAAAAGAACATGAAAAGCTTGAGAAATACCAAGGTCTCAGAGAGGAGCTGGAGAGGGCCTGGAGGGTAAAGGTGACAGTAGTGCCCGTGGTGATGGGTGCACTCGGGGCAGTGACCCCGAAGCTAGAAGAGTGGTTACAGCGGATCCCCGGAACAACCTCGGACATCTCGGTCCAGAAATGTGCAGTGCTAGGAACAGCAAAGATACTGCACAGAACCCTCAAGCTCCCAGGCCTCTGGTAGAGGACCCGAGCTTAGAGAGGGATAACCGCCCGCGGAGGGCCAAAGGTGAGTGGACAATTTTTTTTTATATATACATGTGTATATATATATGTATATATAAAGTGTAATCCTGGCAGGATAATAACTAAATAAAGCACAGTGCACATTGCACATGATTGCAGTATTTACTATTTACAGATGAATGACATGTACAGGCTCAGCAGTTCTCATTGTACAGTCGGACAGCAGCAGGAAGAAAAGACCTGCGGAACCTCTCCTTCACACGGTGAGGGTGATTAAGTCTGTCACTGAAGCAACTC